TGCTGCAAGACGTGCTCAAACTGGGCGACAATGCGAACCACTTCGGTATGCGACAGCACGGCATTGTCAAAGTGAACATGAATCTCGACAGAGCCATCGGTGGCGAGGCTGCATTCGAGAGTGAGGGCCACGGTGCTGAAGTTGGCTTTGGGGGCGGAGAAAGGCCGCATGATGTTATCCTCGGAGACAGAGGTTGCGGGCTGGATGACAAGCAAGGTTTGGAAGTTGCAAGCGGCGGCAGCACCCTCGGCGACACGCGCAATGTTTTGAAGACCGTAGTTCTGAGCAGGAGTCATCTCGATAGACTGCGAGTTTACACGCTGAAGCCATTCGGAGACGGGCTGCTCTCCGTTGACCTGGGCCTTGATGGGAACCGTGGCAATCACAGCACCGACAATATCCTCAACACCAGGCACCGGAGCATTTCTTCCACTGAGAGTGCAGCCGAATACGGTCTCGGGGGCATCGCAGTACCGAGCCTGCACCATAGACCATGCAGCACGGATGAGTGTCGCAGTTGTGAAGTCGGAAGGACCCTTGCGCCTGAGTTGGAAATTGTGGATGAGCGATTCGTTGGCCAGTGGCTGGTGGGTGGCAGAGGGAAGAGTTGGGAAGGTAGTCATATCTCCCTCAGAGAGCTCTCTGCGCCAGTACTCTTCGGTGGCCTTGTCGGCGTTCTTCTGCATCGTGTGCTGGATAAAGTCCCGGAACTGAGTGCGAACAGGCGGGGTGACACCCTCAATCGCCTGAACAAGGTCGTTGAACATCATCTCCAAGGACATTCCATCGTAGATGGAGTGGTGGATGGTCAACACGAAAGTGTTTGTGGGGCCGGTGATGATGCCGTGATGAACGAGGGAATTGCCCATACCCATGTGAGACTTCTCGTCCGACTCCATGTAGCTCTCCAACTCTGTGCCGTGGACCCACTCAACATGAGCGCGGTCGACAACCTGAACAGTACCGTACTCGTCTGTGTCGACGATTCTGGTCCGTAGCACATCGTTGTTGGCAACAATCTGCTCCCAATGCTCCTTGAATTTGTCGACACTGAGAGTGCTGGGAAGCTCCAAAGTGTGGCGGGCGATGTAAGAGCCAGGGACCTTGTTGGACAGGGCCATAAGACCAATCTGCAGGGGACTGCAGGGATAGGCATCCTGGATGAGGCCAGAGGGCATACCAGTAGCAGAGACAATGTTGGCATGAACTGTGTTGGTGTCCTTGTCAAGCAGCTCGAATGGAGCGGCCGCAGGGGTCTCAGACGAGGTTGTAGGCATCATGGCTTTGGCCATGTCACTCAGAACCAGATTTCCCAAGATATCACCAACCTGGAGCTGGAAGCCCTTAGCACGGCAACGGCGAGTCAGGTTCATAGACTCAATGGAGTCACCTCCCAGATGGAAGAAGTTGTCAGTGGCAGCAATATCCTCCACTGGGTAGTGAAGAATATCAGACCAGATTTGCCGAAGGGTGAACTCAGCCGGGGTTTTAGGCATGCGGCGCTCGGCGGTAGTGACATTGCCGGCCGCGGCAGCGAGTCCATTCAAGGTAAGGCTGTCACCGAAGGAGGCGATGAGACGGCGGTCAGTCTTTCCGGAGGCAGTCAGCGGCATGTAGGCCAAGGGGAGGAAGACTGAGGGGATCATGTAGGACGGCAATTGCTTGGTGAGCTGGTCGCTCATCTGAGCAGCCAAGGCAACCACTGAGGTCTTGTCGGCTGGAGCAGAAGAGAACTCATGAGAGAACTCGGGGCCAAATCCACTCTGGCTTGAGATGAAGGCAGCCAGCATTGTCTTGCCCGCTGGAGCAATCATCGCAACCGCAGTCTTGACGGTGTTGTTGATTGCGCGCATGTGAGCCTCAATCTCAGTCAGCTCGACACGCTGACCACGGATCTTCACCTGCAGGTCCTTGCGACCGATCAAGTGTACGCGACCTTGGTCATCATAGCGAGCCAGATCACCGGTCTTGTAGAAGCGGCGAGTGATGCCGTTCTGGCGAGCCCATTCCGGGTTTTCAATGTACACGGCCTTTGTCTTCTCGGGGTCCGCGAGGTAGCCACGGGCCAGGGTAGGGCCTTCAATCACGAGCTCACCAACGGAGCCAATGGGCACCAGACGGTCGTGGTCGTTGGCATCAACAAGCCATGACAGGCCTCCAGTGGCTCTGCCAATGCAACTCCTCGGTGTATCGGCAAACATGCGGCCAATCATCACGACACTGCATTCGGAGGCGCCGTAAATATTAATTAGTTGGGCAACAGGTCCCCAGCGATCAATGATATCCTGCGCCACAGCCTCACCGGCCACGATGAGAGTTTTCAAAGAAGGAATGTCTTCGTGATAGATAGAGCGGGCGAAGCTGGGGGTGAAGATGGCCCAGTTAGCATTCAAGGAGCGAATGGCGGGACGAATGTCGGTGTGTCGGTCATGGTCCGACGGGATGCAAAGGCATCCACCAAAAATTAGGGTAGTAAAGATTTCGAATGTGCTGATAATGAATGTGTAGGCGCCGAATTGGAGGGCGCGGGTATTATTAGAGATATTCATAGCGGACGCGTGATGCAATGCGCTGGAAGACACGGAAGCATGGTCGTGGACAACGCCCTTTGGCTTGCCTGTGCTTCCAGAAGTAAACATAACAAATGAAATGTCGCGAGGTTGTGAGCGGGAAGTGAAGGCAACCTCAGGAGTGTTTTGGATAAGTGAGGGATCGAGCACGAGGACTTGCGAGGCCAGTCCCTGCACGAGGTCTTTGTTTGGTGAGGAAGCAATCACTGTGCGAGCTTCCACCGACTGGATGATGGTATCCAACCGCTGTCGGGGCTGCTTGGGGTCCAAAGGCACCCACGCGGCGCCCAACTTCCAGAGAGCGATCATGGTGACGATGGTCCACATGGTCTTTTGGAAGCAAATGGGGACCAGCTCACCACGCCTGATGCCGGCGGACTCAAGGTAGACAGCCAGCTTGTTTGCAGCCTGGTTGAATTGAGAATATGACATCTCTCCATCCCAAGACACCAGCGCCGGGGCATCAGGAGTCTCCTTGGCGGCCTTCTCGATCAATTGATCGACGCAGACATTTCTCCCTCTCGGTAGAATACGGTTCCAAGTCTCAATCTGAAGAGCGTCCAGCTCACTAGGGTGGCACACATTGGACGCAGTTTGGAATGGGTCCTCGCACACAATCTGGAGGTAGTCGGCGAACGTATTGGCGATATACTCGGCCTGGGCACGAGAAACATGGGGCTTGTAGAAAACGAGATCCAATTTAGATAATGAAGGATCGATCTGGACGACGTAGTCGAACTAAATATTGTTAGATCTGAACCGGGGCTTGTAACCAGAAGATTTACTTACAGTCCTTTCATTGACAGCATCGGTCAAGGACAGCTCGGCCTTAACCTGGGGGTTCTTGAGCCAAATGGCCGAATTGCACGGCTTTGGGTCTAATGTGGAAAAGATGCTCAAGGCCTCAGGAACAGAAACCATTGACTCTGCTTGTAGCAGGCCTTCCTCGCGGGTTGTGTCGAGAACGGAGATGACGGAGCTGTCATGCTCCAAACGGGCCAAGCAGACAGATGTGTTTGTCCATGGCTGCTTAGCTGACCGTGGGTTCATGCCAATGCCCGCAAACATAACATTGTCCGCTCCGGAATAAGAACGCAAGACGGCAGTCCAGGCGGCCTGGACAACCATCAATGGGGAAACACCACACTGCTGGCAGCAAGCATGGACAGCGGCCATGTCCATGGGCACGTTGAGCCGTCCGATCAGAGATTGGATTGGGTTCTTTGAGAAGAGCCCCGAGGGGAGTTGTGAAGGAGTCACATCAGTCACCAGCTGCGTCCACAGCTGGCGAAGCCGACTTGCATCATCGAGGACTGTGGCCGGCATTTTTAAAACAAAGAATTACTATATCCAGGACCAGTGAGTGGCGGTCCGGTCTGACAGACTGAGCAAAGACAAAAACAAAAAGGAACGCATGAAATCTGGGAAAAGGAAGAAGTTGGGTTTGTGGAAGCAAGAATACGATGAAGTACTGGCCCACTCTATTATGTGATCTTTTTTTCACATGGGGGATTTAATGATTCTCCCGGACTTCGGGCTCTCCTATTGTGGACATGCATGGGTACTTGGCTACTGAATCTGAAATCTGAACCAGCTGAGAGGCAAAGCGGGTCCAAATGCAGCATCGGGAAAGCGAACTGGAGTTCCCCTCCAGTGGCCCAACCAGGGCGTACATAAAGTACTAGTTTGGTACATCACTGCTGCTAGGGTTCGTGTCATGCCAGCGCGTCGAAACTTTGCCCAGCTGCCGATCCGGTCTGTCGGTAGAAAGTAATGACTCCATTCTGACGCGGATTCGCAGAGCAGTAGACGGGATGTAACCGAGGGTCTGACAAATTCTGGCTCCCGTGCCTGAATGTACCTGACCCAAATGGTAGGTAGGATCTGCGATGATCATTTAGCAGCCGGCTTTGACGTGTGCTCTGTAGCAAGTACAGTAGATGTTTGATATTCAACGCAACCATTGATTTCAGAGTTCTCCCTTGCATTTCTCAGATAAACAATCCAGCGTATAATGGGTACGACGGTGCGACTAGGAACCATGGAACTCAGGGGTGTTGATACCCATGTTGTCACAGACAGCTGTAGTGGAGCTGGGTTGAGGTCAAGGTGAAGATGAGGTTGTGCCGTGTGGAGCCTTATTATCCAAGTCCGGTTAGCGCCATCGGCGGGGCGATGTACCGAGTTTCACCGTCAGTACGTGTATTTTATCAGTACCAGTATCTTATACGGTATGTAATATATGCGTTCTACAGTATATCAAAACCTCACCCATGCGGATTCATCGATCTCTTTCCGCCAACTCCACTCCATCTCCGCTTTCCTAAAACTCGTAGCGCTTGTACACGTCTCCGATTATCATTTCCCTCTATGCCGTCTGATTGATGCCCTGAGTTCTGAAAAAACAATCTTATCGCCAATCGATCCACAATGTGCCAACTCCTTGGGCCGGAGCACACTATAGTTTGGTGGCGAGAGAACTCTATGAGGGCTATGACCCGCTCATGTATGTACGAATGTCAGACAAATATCCGTGCACCGGTACGGTGTAGCTGAAAAGTGAAAGAATTGCGAGGGATCGGCCAGGAGAGATTCTAGTGTCTTTGGGAAGAACGATCTCATTCGATCGTAAGCTCCATATACGGGAACGCAGGCTGGATCCAGAGCTCCGATCCAGCTTTATCCCTCAGGCTAGAAAGAAATTGAAATAAATAAATTTGCACATGTGTAGAAGTGGTATTAAGGAGTTGTCCTGAAAAACATTTATAGATTCGCCAGCCTGCTCAGAGATTCTGTATCCAACCTTTTGTTATCAAGTTCTTCTTCCATTCATAGCAACATGCCTAGCGTTTCGGCCACCCCCTTCTGGACACCTCTGACATTGAGCTTCTGCGTAAGAAACTCGCCGAAGATGTCCGCATCGAAAAATACACACCACTGGCCCCTCCTGAGCTGGTTCAGTATGAGATCGGACACACTGCCAACAGTCTCCTCACAGTTCTGAACAGCCGCATTGAGGCTCGTCAGATCATCCGCCGCGAGTCCGATCGCCTCCTCGTCCTAGTCGGCCCCTGTAGCATTCACGACCCCGAGTCTGCTCTCGAATACGCCGGTCGTCTCCGTGAGCTGTCAGACGAGCTACGGGATGACCTGTGCATCGTGATGCGGGCCTACCTGGAGAAGCCCCGTACAACTGTCGGCTGGAAGGGTCTGATCAACGACCCCGATGTTGATGACTCGTTCAACACAAACAAGGGTGTCAAGGTAGCCCGTCAGCTGCTTGTAGACATTACCAACACGGGTGTGCCCGTGGCTTGTGAGATGCTCGACACCATCTCTCCCCAGTACACCGCGGATCTCATCAGTGTCGGTGCCGTCGGCGCCCGCACCACCGAGTCCCAGTTGCACCGCGAGCTGGCCTCCGGTCTCTCGTTCCCTGTCGGCTTCAAGAACTCCACTGATGGTACCGTGGGCTCCGCTGTAGACTCGCTCAAGTCCATGCGCGCCCGTCACAACTTCCTCAGTGTCACGAAACAAGGCGTCATTGCCACCACTACCACCAAGGGTAACGAGGACGGCTATGTCATCTTGCGTGGTGGCTCCAAGGGCACCAACTTCGATGCAGCCTCTGTACAGGCAACTTGCGAGCTGCTGCGCTCCAAGAATGAGCGTGAGGTTGTCATGATCGACTGCTCTCACGGTATGTTCTACGTGTTTAACTGACAGGGTTCATGCTGACAATCACAGGTAACTCTCAAAAGGATCACCGTAACCAGCCGAAGGTGCTCAAGGTCATCGAGGAGCAGATGCGACAGGGTGAGAACAGCATTATCGGTGTCATGGTTGAGTCCAACATCCGTGAGGGCAACCAGAAGCCGGCCAAGGGCCTGGAAGGCTGCGAGAAGGGCGTCAGTATCACTGATGCCTGTATCGACTGGGAGACCACCGAGGTGTCGATGCGCTCGCTGGCTCAGGCAGTGCGCGACCGTCGGGCGCGTGCCGCCAATGGCAAGAACTAAAAGTCATGTTAGTGTTTGAAGTTGATGATTGTACTTAATTAGCAGCTGCGTATTAGTCGGCTTAATATATTTAATCGTGTCAGTATCGCAGTGTGGATGAGTGAAATATATATTCAATCAAGAAGGTTCATACCTTAGCCCTCATAGCCTGCGAAAATCCAGTCTCCGATGAAAAGCTAAATAGACAGCAGGTCAAGAAGTTTCTTTCGACTTGGAAAGTTCAAAGTCGGGTTATTAAACATCCATACTGGATGCCCAAATGGTTAGTGACGATCCTTGAGTGTTGGCCTTATTTAGCCGCCAGTGCATGGTGTAGAGTTCACCAACAGAGTAGACAAAATGCACCAGCAAAACAGAACCACCTTGTGGAGAGGATGGGAGGTTCCTTATAGCTGAACTACATTTATACGCAATGGAAGCGATCTACATCGACCGGAAAAGCGTTTAGGGGCTGCAAAAGCACAGTGAATTATTCTGACCGGGTAAGCGGTTAGCCACTATGGAATGCAGCCCTGTTTGTACACAGCCTCCTACCATCCTCCGTCATCCTCCGTCGCCTCCGTATCTAACCGCAACCCTAATTCTGTCTCGGACTTCTCGTCTATCAATCTGTCAGCTGCCGTTCCGTCATCCGTACATGTAGATCTGGATCTTCAAGTACATTACATACCGTGCCTGTCGATCGATCGATCTAGCATAAGCGAAGGAAGGAGATGTTGTTGGTAACATCGCCATCGTTCACAGGGTCCACCTTGCCGTCGGTCGGAGGGCCGGAACGCTGGGCTTGTCAGCATATACTCAGTTGATAATGGGGGTTTAATCGGACTTACTATCTTCATCTTCCGCTGGGAGGGGGTTAGGTTAACTGAGATTCATGATGAGTATAGATTGGGGCATCTTACGCACTGTTGCAAGTTAGTAACGAGTCAAGCGGAGGGGAGAAGGGTCAATCATACAAGCTATATTTGGCGAAAAAGACATCTTAGCAAATGTCTGCATAATTCAACAGGCAATCATGCACTTACGCTCTGTGAAGTGTTAATATACATAATCATGCAATTCAGAGAGCAAACGGTCACTTACCAACTATAGTTAACCAAGTAACATGGTCAGTTTGGAACCACCTTACTGACGTCTTTAACAGGGAGTCTCACAAACTGCGACTGTTAGCATACCCCACCATCCATTGGAACATAAGACTCACGCTCTATTATCGATCAGTCATGCTCCGTAGTCAGTCATTCCATAGACCTCGGGGTCATCGGATACTCACAACCTATAAACCCGTTAGCCGAATACTGATACAGTCAGAAATCGATCCACTTACATTCTGTATGTATCGTGTTAGTTATGCTGGATCGATTAGTTGTCTCAGCTTAGATCAGCGCCACTTACGTTCTAACTCTCGGTTAGCTAGATCCGACATACATGCAAGGTGGATAAGAAACTCACTGTCTGGGTAGTTTGGCAAGCATCATGTCAGTGGAGTTCAGCTGATACATGTACCAGTTGGATAAGAGATGTACGTACCACCTGGGGTCAAATGTTAGCAAGAGTCCTATCAGTGTCACAGTGCCAAGAGATATACGTACAGTCTGATACCGATGGTAATGCCTGGTTAGCATCTAAGTCTGGGACATTATCGTTCTCATGAGACACTCACGCCCTGTTTTGTCAGTATGGATCCAGGGACTTGGTGGCAGAAGATCATACATTCTGGAGAAGGTCAGTACAGTTGATCCAATCACGAATGGAGCAACTTACGTTCTGGCAGCTCGTCAGCAATCATTGTCTTTCTGTCAATAGTCTGTAGATCTAGAGAATGGAGTCATACAACCTGTCCAGTATGTTAGTAGTGCACCCAAAATGGAAGTGATCGGTTCAACTCACAGGCTAAACATGTCGATCACACCAGGTTAGCAACTCATGCCAGACACGTCCGATCGAGTGGGTTCACATACAGCCTGCCGGGTTAGCTTGGAAGCATATCAAGGCCAAGAAGAGATCCTTACCACATCACCATTCTGTACAGCAATGACGAAATATCAGCTAATGTCACTTGAACGGAGTATCCGTCACGAGAAAAAACATACGGGGTCCATTGGGGAGGTCAAAGGAGCTCCGGCACAGCCGGCGACGAGGGCCGCAGTGATCCAGATGAACCGCATAATGAAGTGGGATTCGGATGATCGGGCAACGAAAGGCAAAACCAAGAGGATAAAAGTGGGGAAGAGAATAAAAGAATGAATGAGAGTTAGGGGGAAAAGAGGGTCTCAGAAGGGTAATAGCGAAAAGTGAGAGAGTGAAAGAGAGACTGGAGAACTAAGGAAAGAGAAAGGTGTAAGGAAAATGGGCAAGACAGAAGGTCAGAGATTTTCAGGGCTCCATCGCACAGCTCCCGACGATCAGGGGATCGGGAAAGCAGGCAGATAGAGTGCGGTCTTGGGTGGATCGGACAGGGGCCGGTGTGGATATAGATCAGGGTCGATCGTTTCCAAGTTTTGAGGGGATGATCTAATGGGATCCACTCGGCGCTCAAGCCGCTTTTCAGCCACCACTGCCTGAACTATAAGGATATATGAAAGCAACGTCCTGTGTTTCCAGTTGTCTCAGTGAAACCAGCCGTGCAGTAGAACCATGGACTCACAATTCTCCAGCATTGAAACACCGGAACACCCACATTGATTAGCATGTTCAACATGTGGAGAAATAGTGGATCGAAGGAGCAATACAGGTTTACATACCATGAAGGACCAGGTGTTCTGTGGGTCCTCGGGAAATTTTAGTATCCGCATGGAAGCCATGACATTGCGTACCTTTACCATACGAAGAGTACCCCTAGTCCACAAAGTTCATAGATCGACATGGAGACCCACTGTTTTAGATTATTATTGTTTTTATTTTTAAATCTATTAATTTATTATGGTTATTAACCCTTGTTTTTGTTTTGACTGCAATGCCGAACCATGTTGCCGAACTACATGTACCTTGAAGATCAAATAATAACATGAAGTTGTCGGATTAAAAATACATGTACTATTTATTTACACAGAATTTATTTGTGCCCATGCCAAGTTTATCGTCTCACATCCAAAATCAAGACCTCTGTAGAAGCTCACGGTGACCATATCGGGCCGCGAAGTAGGCGGCGGTAATGCACAGTCCATACACTGCGATCTTCTTTCCCAACCGAAGAAAAGCGGCACGCACGACAGTCGCCGACTTGTCTTTGAAGACGGCGGCGTCATTGGCCCGAGGGAAGGAAGTCTCGGGTATTGGCTTGCCTAGAAACTGGCACAGCGGCTCCCATCCTTCCTTGGGGTTCCATTCGAGAAGGTTGTCAGCCGGGACCACTCGGCGCACAAGGTCGTAGTGCTCAACAAAGGCCTGGCGGCCGTTGCGCTCGAAATCACCACGGAACAGTCCGTTGAAGCCGACGCGACACATGTGGTTGCCGACGCCAAAGGCCCCCCAGTCGATCCAGCCCATCAGCGTGGCAATTGGGCTGTAGGTCTGGGTCATAATGGTATTTTGCATGGAGCGCACCCAGTCGTCCGGGTCGCGCAAAGTTAGCACAACCTTTGCATCCGGGTAGGCCTGGGTCAGCTCCTCGACGAAGATGGCACCGGGGAAGTCGGTGATGGCCTCAACGTGGCCGAGCAATTGGTCCCAATCCTTGCGTTCGTATGGCTTTCCTCCGTGGTACTTGGCCTGGAAGGCCTCCGTCCACATCTCGGCGTCCTTAGGGTTCTGCATGATGGACGTCATGTGGTACGTGTCGTAACCTAATTCCTGGAGGGCGAGCCATGTCGCTGAAAGTTGTCAGTGGCGTTCGGCGAAGCGGGATGAGGATTTAATCCTAGACCTTGCTAAGTGTAGATACTTACATAGGGTACCAGTGCGGCACAATCCCAGGACTAAAACCTGCATAGGCTTGACACGGCCGCATGTGCGCCGGTCAATATTGCTTTGTACGAGTACACTTTCGGTGTCCTGCATGATGCTAATGCGATTGACAGATATCAAGTTTAATGTGACGCGAAATCTCTACTACTTATGAATTTTCTATGATCATCGACTTCAGGCTGGAAATCTCCTATGTTGGGTCCAGTATCACAGTTGCCTTGGCATCTCCCGGAATTTATTGGAGGCATTGCCGGATTACCAATAGATAATACTCTGTACTGGATGTACATGTAGTGTCATGGGTGGAAAAGCATGGGGGTGGAGTGGGAGGACAGTGAAAAACCTGGGAATACAGTAAGTTCGTGCTGGTGGATAGTTTTGGGCCGAGAAGCTGGGTTTGAGGTCCACTGCTTAGTGATGTTCCTTGCGATTGCCTTATTGGGAAACTCACCCCATCGGTGAATGTTCTGATCTGACTGAAAGAGCCCATCCAGCTTGAGGTTCGACTCTTCGAGAGCAACAACGGAATATATGATAGTCGGACGGGTATACAGCTTCAGATTATGACATAAGTACCATATTTGGTCAATGCCACCCAAGTTGATATGGTAGTCCAAATAAGAATTTTGAGCGTCGCACAGTGGCAGGAAAAAACAAACCAAAAACAAGTTGAAAGAAGGTTCCAGCCAATGGGAACCTAGGGATCGACCCACATGATCGCATCGATCTCAATCTGTATCACGAATGCCAAGACAGCACGAAGAAGATCTCAATACACGGTAATGCCGTCGTATTTACGGCAGTACCCGTGGGTCCGTTCCATGGGATTACTTCGGATACACCTTGATACGCATCTCATACCTAGCTCCACTTCTTTCCATCTACAGTACAGTACACGCTTCAGCCGCATCCACATCATTCAGGTACATGTACTCTCCACGGTGGATCAACCCCCTTTCAAGCTATCTCAACTAGTCTCCCCCTTGAGGGTTGATCCTAGGTTCATGATGGGTCAGATCGGAAGAAGTCTTGAATTTGTAACCGAGCCGTGGGATAGATTGAGAAAAAAAAACTTTGCAGATCCGACGCAAAAGCAGTCAGTGTATCGGAGATTGTGTTGATGATTAACCTGTCAGACTTGCTTCTCACAAGTGTCGCAGTCCCTCATACAGCCCCCAGCTTGCCCCTCGTTCGTCATATACTATAATCCTTTGAAATTCTAGCCGATATCTCGCCTGGTTTCGTTAATTTCCCTTCATCGCCATGTTGCAAGCTGTGTCGGGTTCGTTGGACATCGCGCCATGCTTGTTTCCCACAGAGAACCTCCAGGAGCGGAGGTTCAAATCCATCCGACTGAACCTGTCCGATTCCAGCCCGATCGTCAGCGAGGTGCTTCTGCGCGCGTGGGCGGTCGTCCTGCGATACTATGTGGGCAGCGATACGATTGCGTTTGGAAGAGTCGATGACACCGACTCTGCATCGCGATTCGCAGTCTGTCATGGCGACATCCCTGCTTCTGCTGCGTTGGAAACATTGCAGGTTTCACACGGTTCAGGCGAGTCAAATAGCTCGTCTTTTTCAGAATGGATCGCATCAAATACCTTTAACACCCTTGTGTGGAAGAGCGCGAGCCCTTCCCTTGATTATCTGGAGAACACATCGGTAAGTCGCTAGCTTTAGGATGAGTTTCTGGTTGCTAATTCTTACAGTGCTCTCTTGCCCTCTTAATTTCCGATACCCCCTCCTTAGCCTACGCTTCCAATACTATTGGCGAGAACGTCGCCACCGCTGCGGCTGAAGGCGTGGCTCATGTGGCCAGTATAATTACCGATTCACCTCAAACCACGATTGGCGCAGTAGATCTTTTTGGTCCTGCGTCATGGTCCCAGCTCGAAGAGTGGAACGCAAACGTCCCCGAAGTGATTGAGGAGTGTATGCATGAAATCATCGACCAACAAGCGCAGACTCGTCCCGAATTCACAGCATTGGAGTGCTGGGATGGCTCCGTATCGTACGCGCAACTGGTAGACTACACTGACCGACTGGGCAACTTTTTGATCTCCCAAGATGTTGGCCCTGAAGTCTTTGTGCCGGTCTGTTTCGATAAGTCTCTATGGGCCGTAGTCTCCATGCTGGGTGTCTTGAAGGCTGGCGGTGCCTTTGTGTGTATTGACCCGGCTCAGCCAGTAGATCGATTGCAGACGATCATAAGCGAAGTAGATGCGCAGATCGCGATGGGAGCTCCAGCTTACCGCGACATGCTCTCCGGCATGACTTCGAACGTCATCTCTATCGACGCCGATTTCATCCTCCGCCTTCCTACCTCCTCCTCTCTTCCTCGTCGTGCCTCCCCCCACGATGCCGCTTTCGCCATCTTCACCTCCGGCAGCACGGGCAAGCCCAAGGGTGTCGTGCACGAGCACCGCGCTATGTGTTCCAGTGCCAGACGACACGCTGCTAAAATGAACATTGACAGCGAAACCCGCACCTTCCAATTCGCCTCATATACGTTCATCGTCAACACATTTGAGCTGTTTACTCCCTTGGTGGAAGGCGGCTGCGTCTGTGTCCCCTCTAAGGAGGATCGACTGGGACGCACCGCAGGCGTCATGCGCGACTTGAACGCAAATTGGGCATGCTTAACCCCGTCCTTCCTTCGATCCATTAAACCCGAAGACATCCCACAGCTCCGGACCCTCCTACTGGCCGGAGAGCCCGTCCAACAAGACAGCCTAGACACCTGGCGCAGTCGGGTGACGATGATAAACATGTACGGTGCCTCCGAGGCTTCGGTTTGCGTGACTGGAGACTTGTCGGGCCAAGTTGAGCGATCAACTATTGGAACTGGTACTGGTTGCATAACCTGGGTCGTGGATCCTATGGACCATGATAGACTCGCCCCTCTGGGAGCAACCGGTGAGCTAGTCATCGAGGGCCCAATTCTCGGTCGCGAATATATACACCAGCCTGAGAAGACGGCTGACGTTTTCATCTCCGGCACACCTTGGATGGAGAAGATGCGCGGCAGCGTGCCATCGCGTGCATACAAAACCGGAGATTTGGTTAGATATGGAACCGATGGCCGCATCAACCTTGTCGGCAGAAAGGACATGCAGGTCAAACTGAGAGGTCAGCGAATCGAGCTGGAAGAGGTCGAGTTCCACCTGCGACAGGTTCTCCCTCGAGGTACCGAGGTCGCAGTCGGTCTGGCAAAGCCCGTTGACCAGCCCGACCGACCCATGCTCGCCGCATTCGTCGCCATGAAAAAAGCGTTCGGCGACAACTTTTACCCTGTCGACGAGGACGTCGCCGGACAGCTTGAATCTCAGCTGACTGGCTGGAAGAGCAAGTTGGCCGACTCTGTCCCCGGGTACATGGTCCCATCCGCCGTTGTTAAGCTGAACCACATGCCCTTGACCGCGTCCGGAAAAACCAACCGCAAGGCCATCGGCGACTTTTCCTGCACGCTTACTGTGGCTGAGTTAACCGGGGCGGCGAAGAAGGACCACAAGGAGCCCGCGACAAGCACCGGCAAGGTGTTGCGTAGCATGTGGGCGGAGGCGTTAGGCTTGAAGGAAGAAGCCATCTCTGCCGACGACAGCTTCCTTCAGCTTGGAGGAAACTCCATCGATGCCATGAAGTTGGTCAATTTGGCCCGGAACGCAAACATCAAGCTCAGCGTGGCAGAGATCTTTACCCACCCAGTTCTGGATGAGATGGCCGAAGGCGTGTCGCAGCTGGATTACCAGACCTTTGACGACATCCCATTCTCCCTTGTCAACGAGAATGTTGATGGTCTGGTGAAGGAGGCCGCCGCGCAGTGCCAGGTCACTCCATTGGAGATTGAAGACTTGTACCCATGTACCGCAATGCAGGAGGGTCTGATGGCCCTCTCGGATAGCCGAGATGGCGCCTACGTGGCTCATCACACGCTCGCTCTGAGCCCTGCTGTCGATGTGAATCAGTTCAAGCGCGCCTTCCAGGAGGTTGTGACCGCTCATCCTATACTTCGGACATGCATCGTCTACCCTGAACAGGCTGGCTCGCACCAAGCCGTTATCAAGGGAGACATCGAATGGCGCACCGCTGATAGCCTTGAAGGTTACATGAAAATGGACAAGCAGCGCCCCATGAGGGCAGGCGAGCTCCTGACCCGGTATGGCCTTGTTCCCCACGGAGAAGGATGGACGTTTGTCTGGACCGTCCACCATGCCGTCTACGATGCCTGGACTCTGGACCTGACCTTCGATCGTTTGGACAAGGCATACAAGGGCCAGTCTATGGAACGTGATAGCACATTCAAGGAATTCATGAGTCATGTGGTTAGCACTGATGCCAGCGCTACTAAGCAGTTCTGGCAAGAGTACCTGGCGGGTGCCACCCGGAACGAGTTCCCTTCGGCCGTTTCCACATCCAAGCAGCCAGTGGCAGATGCCTCTGTGGAGCATGAAATGACCATTACTCGGACCGACGAGCTGGCCGGCATCACTATCGCCTCTATGATCCGCGCCGCCTGGGGAGTTCTCATCGGCTCTCATTCAGAATCAGACGACGTGGTGTTTGGCTCCATTGTCTCTGGTCGTAACGCTCCCATTGCCAATGCAGACCAACTCTTTGGACCTGGTATCGCCGCAGTCCCCCTGCGCGTCAAGTTCCCTGATAACGATACTTTGACGATCCGCGATTTCATCGGTGAGGTACAGGCTCAGTCTACGAAGATGATCTCGTTTGAACAAGCTGGTTTGCAAAACATCAGCCGTGTGAGTGCAGCTGCCACCCAGGCCTGCGACTTCCAGACTCTCTTGGTGATACAGCCCTTCAAGGAAAAGTACGTCCCAACGGACGAGATTGACTTGCGAGCCGTCTCCGATGTCGATGCAAACTTTGGTACCTACGCCTTGACTCTGGAATGCAGTCTCAAGTCCAATGGGGCCGCTTTTGCCGCCCACTATGATTCCAGTCTGGTCTCCAAGGACCTTGTGCAGCGCATCCTTGGTCAGCTGGAGAACCTTGTTCAACAGATGTGTTCCGCCTCCGCGGATAAGAAGCTGAATGAGTTGGTCTTTATCAGTGCTCAGGACCAGAAGAGCATCCGCGAGTGGAACAAGCACATTCCGAAGCCTATCCACAAGACAATCCACCAGATGATCGGGGAACGCATCGCCGAGCGCCCAGACCGCGAGGCGGTATGCTCTTGGGACGGCTCTTTTACTTACTCTGAACTGGACAAACATGCTGCTCGTCTCACGCGATGCCTTCGCCAATTGGACATCCAGCCGGAAACCTTTGTCCCGTGCTGCTTTGAGAAGAGTCGCTGGGCCTTGCCCGCCATGCTGGGTGTCTTGCGTGCTGGAGGTGCCTTCCTCAATCTTGATCCATCTCAGCCTGCCAACCGGATTCAGCTGATGATCAGAAAACTTAAGGCGAAGACTGTCGTCTGTTCTCCCCAGCAGTACGATCTGTGCCGCAGCATGGGCGAAGATCTCAACGTCGTTGTCCTGGATGCTGAGACTCCCGAGGCATCTCTTCCGGATCTGCCTCCGGTTGACGTGAAGCCGGATAATGCTGCGTATGTGATTTTCACATCTGGAAGCACTGGTGAGCCTAAGGGTACCATCATCCAACACGGCCACTTTGCCATTGGTTCGGTGACGCATGCTCCGGCGATGTTGATGGATAGTAACACCCGAGCCCTGCAATTCGCCTCCTGGACCTTCGATGCCAGTATCGTCGAGACAATCACCATACTGGTCATCGGTGGTTGTATCTGTATGGCATCTGAGGAGCAGCGAAAGCGGGATGTGGCCGAGGCAGTTCGCAACACAAGAGCCAACTGGGCGGCGCTCACGCCGTCCTTTGTCAACCTCCTCAACCCTGACGATGTGCCGTCAATCAAGGCTTTGATTCTGGCTGGAGAAGCCATGTCTCAGTCTCACATCGAAACATGGGGTCACCGTGTGCGACTGGTCAACGGATACGGCCCGTCGGAATGCTGTGTTGCTTCCACTTCCAACATTGATGTGACGCTCAGCACCAGCCCACGTAACATCGGACACATGTGCTCGGGTGTTGCGTGGGTTGTTATGCCCACCAACCACCACCGACTGGTGCCTGTTGGCAGTGTCGGAGAGCTGGTTCTCGAGGGCTGGAACGTTGGCCGCGGGTATCTGGACGAGCCAGCCAAGACACAGGCTGCCTTTGTCGAGAACCCGTTGTGGATGGACCTTGGCGGCGAGATGAGATCTCCTGTAGTCTACAAGACCGGTGATTTGGTCCGATACAATGCCGATGGATCCCTCGAATTCCAGCGCCGGAAGGACACCCAAGTCAAGCTGCGCGGTCAACGTGTCGAACTGGGCGAGATTGAATATCGCATCAAGCAGAGCTTGCCCAACAAGCCCGATGCCGTCGTCGACATTGTTTGCCCCAAGGACGCCTCTGATCAGCCCCGACTGGTTGCATTCATCCCGGTGCCTCCTGAGGAGGCCCGCCGGAAGCCAAATTCGATCTTCATGCTCAACCAGCCCGAGACAATCGTTCCTGCGCTGAATGAGCGACACTTGGCTTCTGTTTCTGGCCTCGAGGATCGACTGTCAGACTTCCTTCCCATGCACATGATCCCCAGTGCCTATCTTCCGGTTTATCATATTCCCAAGATGCCCTCTGGCAAGGCAGATCGTAAGACCTTGGTCAAAATTGGAAGCGGATTTACGCATCGCCAGATGGCTGAGTACTCTGGCGCCACTGAAGATACTCGCCCGGCCACCACTGAGATGCAGCTTACTATGCAGCAAATGTGGGCAGAGGTCCTGAAGATGCCTGCTGCGCAGATCAGCTTGAATGACAACTTCATTCGCCTGGGTGGTGATTCTATCACTGCCATGCGATTAGCCTCGGCGTCGCGTACTCGAGGCATTCCCCTGTCCACGGCCACCATATTCCAGCACCCAACGCTTGAAGCCATGAGCACCCTCGCTGAGTCTCTGTCGCAGCAACAGCTACCCCAGACCTTCGAACCCTTCTCTACCCTCAAGTCAATATCCAAGGATAGGCTCCTTGACGACATCATTCTGCCCCAGGTCGGCGTGCCTGCGTTCCAGGTCCAGGATGCCCTGGAGGCCACTGACTTCCAGTCACTCGCCATCAAAGGGGGTCTCAACCAGACCCGCGGCTGGAGCAACTACTTGATCTTTGATTTCGATGGGCCCATTGACCTCCACCGATTGCAGACAGCCTGTGAGAAGCTCATCGCGCGCCATGACATCCTCCGCACTGTATTCGTGTCTACTGGCTCAGCGCTGATCCAGGTCGTGCTCCGCTCAGTCACCCCCGAGTACAGCCTGCACTACCAGGATGAGCAAGACCCAACCGAGTCGCTCATCCGCGATGATCTCGCCCGGCCGCCTCATCTGGGCGAGGTTATCGTGCGGTTCATGCTTGTCAAGAACGGCGCCACTAAGCACCGACTGATCATGCGCATTTCGCACGCTCAGTACGATGGTGGTTCCATGCCGCATCTGATGCAGGATCTGCGTACTGCTTACCGCCGTGACGAATTGCCCGAGAGAACCCAATTCGGCGACTTCGTGCGCATGCAGCTCTACAGCAGTGAGAACGCCGAGGCCTTCTACAAGGAAATGCTCGCTGGGGCGAACATGACCTCTGTCGTCTCGCACAGCACATCATCTACAACTAACGTGCTCAACACGATGCTTGGGGATATGGTGCCTTTAGTGGCATTCAAGAACCACGGCATCACATCTGCCACTGTCGTCAAGGCAGCATGGGCCCTTGCGCTCGCCGATATGGCGGCAACACCGGATGTTGTTTACGGACACATGGTGTCTGGACGTAACCTGCCGCTCGACGGTGTGGAGTCTATCATGGGGCCATGTCTGAACATCGTGCCAGTGCGAGCCAACATGACAGAGATGACCACCGTCCTCGACCTGCTGCGCACCATCCAGCAGCAGCAGACCGACACAATCCCACATGAGAGCATGGGCTTCCAGCAGATCATCAACAAGTGCACCAATTGGTCTACAGCAACTCGCTTCAGCACCGTCTTCCAGTACCAAGACTTCGGAGGCGAGGAAGCCGCCCCGGGCCAGCCGGTGAACTTTGAGGGTATCCTCAAGTGTGCTCCTGGCTTCGTCTGTCCCTCGCCAGACGCCTGTGACATATCCATTCTGGCCACGCCGGCTGGCGATAAGATCCGCATCGAGATGATCTTTTCGAGCCATGCCATGTCGCGCGAGTTTGCTGAGGGCATGCTGAAGAAGCTCGGCACCAAGCTGGCACTGATCGCCAGTAACGTCGATGGCCCGCTGGCTACACAACAGATGCGTCTGCAAAAGCCTCAAATCCCTCTTCCTGAACCGGGCCGCAAGATCATCCCTGCGCCTGCCGATCCTCCTCGCAAGAGCAGTGGCCGTGGTCTCAGTGGCGTTGTTAAGGCTATGGTGAACGGTATCAACTCGCACCTCTCCCCCCGAGCAGCCCAGTTACTCCGACTAGCCCAACATTGCCAACTAGCCCGGCCAGCCCAACTAGCCCGGACCGCCCGATAAGTGCGCAAAGTGGAAGTGGTGCTCCGATCGATCAGAAGATCAACCTGTTGGCGTCGGTGAAGATAAACTGATTTCTTTGTGTTTCTATAGAATGTTTAATATCGGTTTAATCTGTATATATTATGAGCCTGAGAATGAACTGCACGATTGATTGTATACTCCGATGTGACCTTGATGAGAAATGCAGCTGCGCTCATCTGGGAATTATTCTTCGTGCCACTGAACGTACACATATTTCCCCGGGCACCTCTGGATCAGGTCAGTATACCACCGAGGACGGCAGCTTTCCGAGTACGGTAGATGTATCATACAACAGGGGTCATGAATGTGTACACGGTGCCTGCCATGAAGTATTGGACAGTCCTACACGAAGCCCTGAAGCGATTATACCATTTTATGTATTGTTTTCAACCTACTTTGGCCTCTCTTTTCTTCATCTCTATTTTGTCCATCTTTGAGTGCCTCGGGTTAACCATCTAGATTATACAAACTTATACAAAGGCGGGAGTGTGAATGGACTTACGGCCTATGACTGTAGTTAGACCGCTGCTAACTTAGAGAACGATGAAGCCATCTTCCCCTTTTAGTCTTCTCAGCGTAGAGCTGGCATAGCAATGTAATTGAATAGAGAAAAAGAGCATATTATATTGCGTGGGATAAAAGTAATAAGCTATACGGTGTGCAAAGGGCCTAGAAAGCTGCGCTCTGTCGCTAAATCTGCCCGTGCCCTGGAAGCCGTCACCGAGGTCTAGGATATGATCAATATGGCCGTGTTGCTCCAGCTGGTTTGGGTCGTTCGTGCTCCATTTCTCAATGGAGAGGTCATGGGCTTGTAGGAGGGTTTCACGTCCAGATTGTTTGTGGTCCAGTCGTCTGTGTAGATGAACGGCTAAGCCCGCGTGGTTGTTGATGAAATTGACTGTAATTCTGTATAAACTTATGGAGATATAGAGGGTCGAAAATTGGCCATTGAGCTGGTGAAAGTGGTAATAGTGTAACGAGAACAATGCAACGATATATATTTAATGATATCAGCTTAGTGACATGCAAACGTCAACGAACACCGGTCAAGCAATCAGCAGAAGGTAGAATTCCCCGAAAATCTTTAGATAGCTCAACAATTGGAGCACATACCAATGGCCAAGCCTACCAGAGTCCGTTGAAACTCGCATTGAGTTGCGGCAGGCAATATAGAGCTAGCACACTTCTTATCAATCATGAATCGGCTCTATTGAGATCAAACTCCATGGAAGTACCTGTAAGGCTCTAGGAATAAAGGAATATGAGCGGACTTTCAACCCGGGACACAGGCTTTCTTCGCTCTATCTATTGGAAGTGGGAAGCCAGAACTATAAGGGCTTTTGCAATGCGCTACGATGAATAAAGGCCTCTAGGATAGGTCAATTAAAATGGTAACTAAAAAAAGCCTAAGTTCGAAGAGACCCTATTCCCAAAGTTGTTCGCCCATCAAATAACACAAGCCAACCCAAGCATACTGGAGTGGTCCAATACACTACTGCCTATTATATACAACCCAAGAGACTAGAAGAAACCAACGCTCTAGTTCGCGCTGCCAGCGGGGGCAGGACGAGCGGGGCCGTTTCCAGTAGGGCCCATACGGCGGCTCCTAATTCCGACGTTAGACTGTAAACAACAAATCGCGGGGCGGAATCCACTTACATCATGGTACGGCTGAAGAAACTGATACCAATCATGAACAGCCAGCTGGGAACAGCACCGAGAGCCCAGATAGCGTAGCCAATGGGAACGTTGAGCTGGTATTGGGCGAGCCAGCCGTCAACAGGGTGGAAAGCACCCTCGTAGATGGGGGCCTTCTCGTAGGTCTTCTTGCCGTGGATATCGTAGATAACCTCGGGTGTAACGGTGGTGGAGTTCAGGTGGATAGTGCGGAGGGGAGTAGGGGCGCGCTCCTCGCCAGCGGCACGCTCCTGGGGAACCTGGTAGTAGTACACGGCAGGGGCGCTGGCAGACCAGATGGCGCAAAGGACCTGGTTGGCCTCGCAGTCCAGGTATCCGAGGTGAGGAGAGGTAGGGTCGGCGGAGAACAGAAGGACGGATTCCTAGAAGTTGGAAATGTGATTAGATTTGGGACCTGGAAAGACGCGTCGCAGGGGTATCAACTTACATTGAAGGCCTTCTCGGCGCGCTCGCAGCGACCGAAACAGGTCTTGTTACCGCCGGTGGTGAAGATCAGCCAGTCCTCTTCCTGGGGGCCCGGGGTGAGGATGGACTGCCAGTTGTTGAGGGTGACCGGGGTGACGCGCTTTTCGGTGACCTTCTCCGCCAGCTTCTCGACTGGGGCAATTGGGGCTGCTGTCGGCACGTAGGACTTAACCTGGTTGAACCATCCTTGCACACGGTCGGCGAGGGGGATCTGCTCTTGGGCCACAGCCAGGGCAGGGAGGAGGGTGATGAGCGACGTGAAACGCATCTTGAGGCTAAAGCGCGGATCGGGTTAGAGGGACAGTCGAGTTTAAGTCAAGCAAATAGATCCACGGGTACGACTAAATCAAGCAACTCACCTGAGACTGAAAGGCGCGATGGCGATAGGATTGACACAGTCGGAGACAGAAGAGGTGTGGTGAGGAAGTTCAGGGTAGTTGGAACGACAGCTGGCCTGAGCGCTGACCAACCACATCTGTTTCATTTACTTTCCAAGAGTTGTCCACAACGCCATGTTTACTTACGGCCGAATTAATGCATAGAAGGTTCTATTGTATTCTAAGCGTGTTTCTGCTATAGTCTATGTCTATATTCTCTTTGCACATTGATGGAAATCCTTCGCACCCATGTGGATTCTGGCTTGCATAGCTCCCCGTCCCCACAACTTAGCGTGGCGTCATTAAACAGATGTATTCTACCTATTTATATTAAGAAAATTGGAGTAACATAAATATCAGTCAAAGGTTAGACTAGAAATCTATTAAGTTTCTTAATTTCAATCATGGTTTTGTATAAGCAACGATCAAACGTAGGATTGCAAGCGATATAATAGTTCGGCGTAGGTTATGCTCAATGTTGACATTGAGATGCACAATTCGATAGTATTTAACAATCTAACAAGTTAAGCTGGACACATTTTAGGTTCCAAGCTAACTTTATCAAACATTATATTCACATGCGAAGCATTTATAAGGTATAATGGAGCTAAAGAAGTTCATACCTAGAGACCTAGACCAGAGAATACCGTAATATAGGATGGTCGATCTTCGTATGCAGGGATCTAGCATTCGCTTCTAGGAATCGAGGATTGCTATCCTTCTTTTCACAATGGACTAAAAGTTCATACACTAGGCAACACAAAATATCCATTGTGGAACATAGACGCATAAGTTATATCTGATAACTTAGATATCAAGTTTCACCGGGACATACTACCTATTGGAGATTGGGATCCGTATTCCATATCATGTTTCAAGTATTAAAAGCGTCCCTCTGTGACATCTTAAATGTATTAACGTTTTTACCAGTGGTAAGTTGTAAGGTTATCAAATAACAGGATCAAGTATGGAATCTCTTCAATGTCCCCGTAGAAACTGTGCCACAGAGATGTCATCTAAGGATGAACCTTAGCTTATACTGTGTACGCGTATGAATAGGTGTTTCTCCACATTTCAAGTATGTGAGATTATGAACAAGATCCGTGTAGATCATTTAAGACCAAAAATCAGATGACATCAAGACCTCTAGGGCTTCTTCATAGCTTGACCTATGTATCTTATCTTGCGGCGTAAGTGCAGAGCAGACGATTATCAATATCGAAGGGGCCGGTGACAGTCTATGGATGACTCAGACCCCGCAGGTCCGATGTCGGGTATGAAGTTCAAATGTATACTGGCAGTTCGCTTGTGCTTCCAAGTATGTTGATGCATATCTTTGGTATGTCGGCAAGGCAGAAATTGGCAATGATGAGCATTGAGTCATAAAAGGTACAAATAATGTAGAAGTAAAGCATGCAACGTAGTCAAGTATCCTATGACATCGCTCGGTCTTCCCCACCCCCAGGCGAAATTTTTCAGTTTTTTGCCGCCGAGCGAGCGAACGCCGATTACTACGCAAATGGAAACCACACCGCCCGCTATATTTGCGTATGACTCTTTCTTCCTTTTTTTTCCCCTCTAAAAAAGATCATAAATAGCTTGCATCTGGATCATCTTTCTTTAAGATCCATTCTTCGTCCATTGCCTCACTCCCGAGTCTTGCTTCACCTCGATACCCCTCCATACTCAACCCCACCATCTGCGCACAATGTGTCCCGGTGCCGACCACGAGCCCAATGGGCAAACCAATGGCCAGGCTGTTGGCCCCAGTATGTTCACTGGCAATTTATCCCCAGGAATAAACACCTAATTCACATCTAGACGGCGAGCACCCCGGCTTCACTGGCATTGAGACCCGCCAGAACCCCCACCCCTCTGCCTCCCGTAACCCTTACGGCCACAATGTTGGCGTCACCGATTTCCTCAGCAACGTCTCCCGCTTCCAGATCATCGAGTCTACTCTGCGTGAGGGTGAGCAGTTCGCCAACGCTTTCTTCGATACCGAGAAGAAGATCGAGATCGCCAAGGCTCTCGATGACTTCGGTGTGGACTACGTGAGTCATCGCGGAAAATGAGAGATGCATTGTTTATGACCAGAGGTTGACTGAGAATGCTGCTACAGATTGAGCTCACCAGCCCTTGCGCTTCAGAGCAGTCCCGCGCTGACTGCGAGGCCATTTGCAAGCTCGGCCTGAAGGCTAAGGTATGATTGGCTTTGCCCGAAGTCTCGTGAGAATTGGTCTAATACGTGTCATAGATTCTCACTCACATTCGCTGCCACATGGATGATGCCCGTATCGCCGTCGAGACCGGTGTTGACGGAGTGTGAGTCAAATTTGTATGCATTGTGTGGAATTTGTACTGACCATTTCTCTAGTGATGTCGTCATTGGCACTTCCTCCTACCTCCGTGAGCACTCTCACGGTAAGGATATGACCTACATTAAGAACGCCGCCATTGAAGTTATTGAGTTCGTCAAGTCCAAGGGCATTGAGATCCGTTTCTCCAGTGAGGACTCCTTCCGTTCCGACCTGGTTGACCTTCTGTCCATCTACTCCGCTGTGGACAAGGTTGGTGTGAACCGTGTTGGTATTGCCGACACTGTTGGCTGCGCTTCTCCCCGTCAGGTCTACGAGCTTGTTCGTGTCCTGCGTGGTGTTGTTGGCTGTGACATTGAGACTCACTTCCACAACGACACTGGCTGTGCCATTGCCAACGCCTACTGTGCCCTCGAGGCCGGTGCCACTCACATCGATACCTCCGTTCTCGGTATCGGTGAGCGTAACGGTATCACCCCTCTGGGTGGTCTAATGGCCCGTATGATGGTCGCCGACCCCGAGTATGTCAAGGGCAAGTACCGCCTTGAGAAGCTCAAGGACATTGAGGACCTCGTCGCCGAGGCCGTTGAGGTCAACATTCCCTTCAACAACTATATTACTGGTTTCTGTGCCTTCACCCACAAGGCCGGTATCCACGCCAAGGCTATCCTCAACAACCCCAGCACCTACGAGATCATCAACCCCGCCGACTTCGGCATGACCCGTTACGTCCACTTCGCCTCTCGTCTGACAGGCTGGAACGCTATCAAGTCGCGTGCCCAGCAGCTCAAGCTCGAGATGACCGACGCCAACTACAAGGAGTGCACTGCCAAGATCAAGGCTCTCGCTGACATCCGTCCCATTGCCGTTGATGACGCTGACAGCATCATCCGTGCCTACCACCGTAACCTGAAGTCGGGTGAGAACAAGCCCCTCCTCGACCTTTCTCCCGAAGAGCAGGAGGCCTTCGCCGCTAAGGAAAAGGAGCTGCAGGCCGAGGCCAAGACTAGCAGTGTCATTGGTTAAGTGTCTGGATGCAAGATATTACATTGCCCAGATTCCCCATTTGCGCGTCATACTGCAATGGCTTATCCCTAGTCAGATGTGGTGGGTCTTTGATGATTTCATGTTTTTTTTTTTTTTTTTTTTTATGTATTTGGGACATTTCTTTTTCCGTGGGTTTGAAACGTCTTCCCCTTTTTTTGGAGACTCAAAAGAACGATTGGTGTTAGGAGAGAGTTCCCTCCATCTTGTATATAAGCGCACAATTCCATCCGTGACTTATTCTTCATGTTAGCCAACTATGTAGGTAGACACCTGGGCAGCCTGGACCAATTACGTCAGTCCAGATAGAGTAGAGAGAAGAGAACAATAGAGTACGGAGTAGGTATAAGTTATCTCAAAAATGGCCATTTTAACTCACTAAATTGAGATACACGGATATAGATACTAAGGCAATCCTAAGTACTGAAGTAACAAGGAGTCAGACATTGAGCGCCTGCTTCATGTGGCAGCCGAGGCACGCTAGGCTCAACCAGTCACATTCAAATGCAACTTCCCATCGCCACACCTCCATCCTTATTCCACCATCCCTAGGCAATGAGCTCCTCAATGTTACCGGTTGCCCTCCAGAACAAACTGGTCGGCTACGGTCGGACATCCAGCGCGCACCTATCCGCCTTGAACATCGACCTGTAAGACCCTGTTCCCCGCGGACTCCAAACCGGGGATGATCGCTGACGCATTTGCACTCCATAGAATCCGCAACATAGTATTTATTCTCTTTATCCTTCGGTATACGCGCAAGACCTTCTATTCCCTCCGCGGCTACGGCATCTTCGGTAGCATCCGCAATGTCTACATCTCGCTCCGCTTGTTCTTCTACGGTATCTTCCTGCGCATCCCGGGCGTCCGCGGCCAGGTCGATAAGCAGGTGAAGGAGGCCATTACCAACCTTGAGACTAAGCTTATCAACAGCGGTCCCGATGTTGTCCGCTATCTTACTCTGCCCAAGGAGGGAATGACGCCAGAGCAGGTTCGCGCTGAACTTGATAAGTTGGCTGGGCTCGAACATACTCGCTGGGAGGATGGCCGGGTTAGTGGCGCTGTTTACCATGGAGGTGAGGAGTTGTTGAAACTTCAGGCTGAGGCTTTTGGTCAATTTGGTGTCGCGAACCCGATCCATCCGGATGTGTTCCCGGGCGTTCGGAAGATGGAGGCTGAGGTTGTCTCTATGGTATGACTTCTTTGAAAGATACTTATCCGATGGCCGCGAAACACAGGGCTAATGAATCTTTAGGTCTTGGCTCTCTTCAATGCTCCATCGGATGGCGCTGGTGTGACCACCAGTGGTGGCACAGAATCTATTCTCATGGCTTGCTTGGCTGCCCGGCAAAAGGCTTTCTTGGAGCGCGGTGTCACGGAGCCTGAGATGTGAGTCTCCATCCCAGTATATTAACATTCGGGAGCACAGCAAACTAATATTTGCAGGATTATCCCCGATACCGCCCACGCGGCATTCATCAAGGCTTGCAACTACTTCAAGATCAAGCTGCACCGTGTCCCCCTGCCCGGAGCCCGAGTTCAAGGTTGACGTCCATGCCGTTCGCCGTTTGATTAACCCCAACACTGTCCTTCTTGTTGGCTCCGCACCCAACTTCCCCCATGGTATTGTCGATGATATCCCCGCTCTTTCGAAGCTGGCCACCAAGTACAAGATTCCCCTTCACGTCGACTGCTGTCTGGGATCTTTCGTTGTTGCACTTCTCAAGAAGGCCGGATTCCCCGAGCCCTATGAGGAGGAAGGTGGCTTTGATTTCCGTCAGCCCGGTGTCACCAGTATCAGTGTCGACACCCACAAGTACGGCTTCGCACCCAAGGGTAACTCCGTTTTGATCTACCGTAACAAGTCCTACCGAAACAACCAGTACTTCATCTACCCCGACTGGTCCGGCGGTGTTTACGCCTCGCCCTCCGTGGCAGGCTCTCGCCCTGGTGCTCTGATCGCAGGCTGCTGGGCCAGTTTGATGAGCATCGGTGAGACCGGCTACATCAACAGCTGCACCGAGATCATCAACGCAGCCCGCAAGTTCGAGACAGCCGTCCGCACCGACTCAACCATATCCCTGCACATGGAAGTCATCGGCAACCCCATCGTCAGCGTAGTCGCCTTCCGCAGCAAGAACGGTGCCATCGACATCTACGACATCGCCGATGATCTCTCCGCCAAGGGCTGGCACCTCAACGCCCTCCAGTCCCCGGCCGCCATCCACGTCGCCTTCACCATCCCGACGGCCAAGGCCGTCGACCTGCTTATTGCTGATCTAGCCGAAGTCATCGGCAAGGAGCTCGAGAAGGCCGAGGAGCGTCGCAGTCAGGGTAAGGCCTACATCCTTAAGCGTGGTGAGACCTCCGCCTTGTATGGTGTGGCTGGCAGCATTCCCGATAAGAGCGTCGTCAGCCGTCTGGCGGAGGGCTTCTTGGACACTTTGTACAAAGCATAAGTCTTGGAATGCATTCCGCTTCTCCTTTCCTTGTATTATTTTTAGCTCGGCCATCCTGAAAATGATATTGTGATGTTATAATTATCCAGGTCCTTTTCAAATTGCACATAGTTTTCCAAGTTTCCGTCCGATTCACTAGATCGTAGTAATGCATATACTGTAAAGCGTATCTTAGTCTGCTTCGAGGAGCTGCTTCACGCTTTGATTTCATCTTTTGCCGACTTTTGATAATCGAGTTGCTACCTTTTTCCTTTTTGTAATTGGTACACCCGCCGTAATAACGCAAGGCTGCATAGGAATTACTATAACTCATTAGGGTTCCATTGGACCCCGCTTGAATATTGCAGGTCTTAAAACACATATTGTCAATGAAATCACTTAACTTCTTAAGTCGTATAATTATAAAATCCCTTTTGCCATACCATTAAAAATCCATAGTTGCCTTATTCCTCTCCTCGCAACTTCTATATCCAGCGCCCTCGGGACCCGCTATTTCCCGCATTAGGAACTTGAAGGGAGTGGGGCCAATATAGTTAAAAATTTAGATAGACTACCGAGTATACACTGCTTATTTTGTCTTCTTTTCCAGATTCTCGAAGGTTAGGCACAAAGCTTCTATGGAAATCCACCGCAGTCTATGCTCTGCTGGAAAAATTGAAGGTTCCAATGTTTCATTCTCAAAGGACATACACCTATAGGGTCAGGCTTGCCCCACAGCCTACTATATCTACGAAGCAATTCTTCCCTAATTCCTGATATTCATCAAGTTCTCTTCACTCTTTATTTACTGCTACAGCTTTCACAGCCTCTCAGCAATCCACACAACCTAACTCCAACATCTTCTTTTCAGCCATGGGCGTGACACACACCGCACAGAAGATGCTCGAAGCAGCACATATATCCCCACAAATCTTCCAGCTACGCCCCGACTACCGCGCACTCTTAATGGTAGCCGAAGGCATACCCCCAGGCGCAAGCGATTCCAACAGCGAAGCCCTCCTCCAAGAAGCCGAAACCAGCATCAAACAACAGCTCTCCAAATCCGCGGTCACAGAACTTCCTCACATAGCCGCATGGAGAGAAGCCTACAAAGCCTTCGGAGCAAAGCCCCAAAAGACCCGCAACAGCCTCGAAGCATTGACACGTCGCGCGGAGGGTGGATTACCGCGAGTCAATCGGTTAACGGATATCTACAATGCCATCTCTGTCAAGCATCAGATCCCACTTGGCGGCGAAGACCTCGATAAATACGATGGAACGCCCTTTCTGATGCGTGCTACTGGCCAGGAGGAATTCCAGACGTTTTCTAGTGGGGAAGCTCTGAGGGAACTTGCTGCGCCTGGTGAGCCGATTTGGTGTGATCAAACCGGGATTACTTGTCGTCGTTGGAATTGGAGACAGGGACCGCGGACTGCGTTGACGGATGAGACTACGCGTGTTCTGTTTATTCTTGATGCTTTGGAGCCGCTTTCTGACGAGGCTCTTGTTTTTGCTGCTGATGAGCTTGCTTCGTTGTTGAAGGGGTTGGCTCCTGAGGTGCAGACATCATACCGGATCATTTCTGAGACTTCGGCTTCTGATATGTCTTGATTTGGGTTATATAATGGGGTTTCAATGGGGTTGGCTAGCTTGACATGGAAGCGGTGTTGTCCGTTGCAACGTCTTGCATACCATTTGGTGACACAAAGTAAACTGGGAGGAAATATTGAGTTTTTGGACATCCTTGTACATTGATTGAATTGTATTTGCTTAGACGAACCAATATACAGGCTATGTACGAGACTAGCGTTATAGAACTTTTCCTCGTTGATGGTGACGATTGGAGGCTCAAAGGAACAGTTGGAAGGGCGCTTAAACCCAGCACATCTATCGCTCGAATTTTAAAAATGAGATTCCACATTGTTTTGGAAAATATTGTAAACTATTTAGTGGTGTAGACTTGAAAGCCGTAGCATGTATCAAATCCAGGGCGGTCGAGCTCCCCTCAAAAATTATTCCGTCAGTGAACGCCGATATCCCAACAACCACCCACCAATTCAAAATGGCTGCCCCAGTACCTCTCGATCGCATACCCCCAACGACGACCGCCTACGTGATCGCAACAGCCATTATTGCAGGTGTCACAGGCTACTTCATCGGCCAAGGCTCCTCGCTCAACCTCTTCAAAGAGAAGGAAGGCTGGCCAAACAGCTACAATGTGAAGGTCCACAGCCACTCCTCAGACGAAGAGGAAGAAGAATCCGAAGAAGAGAGCGACTCGGAAGACGAAGGCAATGGCGAAGAACTAGCCAGCTTTAAGGACAACACTGAGGAAGTGAAGCTTGTTCTGGTCGTCCGGATGGACTTAGGCATGACCAAGGGTATGCGATGCGCTCTCTGAATTGGCCTTTTCCGCACCACGCTACAGATTGCTAACATTCTCATTTTTTTGACAGGCAAAATCGCCGCTCAATGCTCTCATGCTACCCTCGCTTGCTACAAATACTTCCTCGAATACGCGCCTGACTCGGCCATCCTCCGGAGATGGGAGCGCGGTGGCCAAGCCAAGATCGCGCTGCAGGTTAAGTCTGAGGAGGAGGTTCTCGTTATGCAGGCTCAGGCTATGAGCCTTGGACTTTGCGCGCGCGTTATCCAGGATGCTGGTCGCACTCAGATTGCTAGCGGTAGCAAGACCGTGTTGGGAATTCTAGGACCCAAGAGTGTTGTTGATGGCGTGACGGGACACTTGAAGCTCTTGTAAACTACGCTTCCCTCGCCCTCGTTGTGTATAGGCGTTTTGCATAGGCCGTTATGATCATGACCCCCCAATGAAGAGCTTTTCAGTGGATCCACCGCAGCAAAGCATGTAGCTTGAGCGCATCGTATAGAGCGCAACGCATGCGTTGGTAAAATCTGGAGACAGTTTCCTAGAGAACGCAGAGGAAAACCAGTGGCATGTCTACAAAACACTACATAGCTAAATAGAGATGTTGGCTGGTCATGGTTATTCCCTAGCCTCAGCGGCCAACGGCCAATCGGCAAAGAGATTAGGAATATGACGCCGTCCGCAACCAAGCTATCGAGCCGAGCTCACCAGTGGGAGCTCAAGACCCGCGTCACAAGGCGCAGACATTTAATCTGAGATCTGTCAACCGGAAACCGTAAGTGCCATCCACGCGAAAAATGATGGCTCCAATGTCGTTGAACTGCCCAGCTCTCAACCATCACACAAAAACCCGAAGGAGTTCGTGGACAGGAAAGCTGGACACAGATCCGTGTTTTGGTGAAGAAAAAAAGAAGAGAAGAAGAGGGCGGGAGGGCTGATATTTATGGCCTAAGATTTTTGATGCACTAGTCCGTTTTGGGAATAGTGCTATCAGTCAGGTGATATGGTATCAGGATGGAGCGCGGCACTTGGGGCGACCTTGGGGCGACATCATTACTTTCTCCCGTCCTCACTTTTCTTTTTTCCTTCGCCGTCAAAATGGCGGACGCTCTATCCATTGAGCAAAACAACAAGATACGTGTGGCCTTGGGTCTCAAGCCACTCCCTGTTCCTGGCGCCGGACCTGAATTCAAAGAAGACGACAGCGACTCCGGCGACGAGGAAGAGCCCGCGAGCACAGTCGAGACGCGACAGGCGGCAGGATACGACAACTGGAAGAAACTCCAAGATGACGCCGAAGCGAAACGGAAGCGCGAAGAAAGGAACGCCGCCATCAAGCGCGCCCGCGATATCGCCCAGCGGAACCTCAAGCTCGAAGGATCTACACTGGGAGAGGCGAATGGTGATGAACTCGATACCAAGACTTGGTTGATGCAATCTAAGAAGCGCTCGAAGAAAATCGAAAAGGAACGCGCTCGCAAACTCGCCGAGGAACTGGAAGAGCGGGAACGCGCCGCGGCCGCTGAGTATACCGCAGCCGATCTCGCTGGTATCAAGGTTGGACACTCTGCTGGAGATTTCGATGGTGGTGAAGATCACATCTTGACACTGAAGGATGCTGCGGTGGACGACGAGGATGAGGGCGATGAGCTCCAGGATGTCAACTTGGTTGAGAAGGAGAAGACGGAGGAGAAGTTGGAGCTTAAGAAGAAGAAGCCCGTTTACGATCCTACAGCCGAAAACCAAGGTATCCTTTCACAGTACGACGAGGATATTGACGGCAAGAAGCGCAAGCGATTTACACTCGACGCCCAAGGCTCGACCGAGGAGGAACGTGAAGCAAAGCGACAGGAGGTTTCTGATCGCCTGAAGAAGAATGTTATCAGCCTCGATTTTGAGCCCGAGGTGCCGTCATCTGATTACATGGACATCAGCGACGTCAAAATTAAGAAGCCTAAGAAAAAGAAGGCCAAGGCGACGAAACAGAGAGCCGTTATGGACTACGATGATAATGCCCCTTCAGAGTCAGCAGCACAGGGTTCGGCCATGGATATTGATTCCAAGGATGGGATTCCAGTTGCTCCCCCCCGCAAACCCGCCAACCAAGATGTCTCTTTCGTCGATGATGACGATCTCCAAGCTTCTCTTGCCTTGCAGCGGCGCGCAGCATTTAAGAAGCGCAAGAAGATTAGCCCTGAGGAACTCGCCCGACAACTTCGAGAAGAAGAAGAACAGACTCCAATGGAGGTAGAAAACGAGGATGAGGAAGGACCGGGCCTCGTTATCGACGAGACCTCCGAGTTTGTGTCGAATCTACAAAAGCCTACACTCCCCGAACGTGACGAGAGACATACATCAATTCCCGCCGCGGGGAAATCCGCCGAACCCCAGCCCGAGCCCGAGACAGAGGGCGTGGAAGTGGATATGGACCGTTATGGCCACATCGAAGACGAAGATGAGCTGGCAGCGCAAATCAAGCGTGATCAACAAGCCAAGGTTGAGCCACAACAACATCTTACCGGCACCGGACTGGAAGAGGAATCTACTCTGGACCAGGGTCTGGGTGCTACTTTGTCGATGTTGAAATCACGTGGTCTAGTGAAAGAGAGCGACAGCAGCAGTCAAAACGCGCTCATGCGCGACCGCCAGCGCTTCTTGCAGGAAAAGAACAACCGCGAGTCCGAAGCCGAGAGACGTGCCCGGCAACAGCGTGAGCGAGACCGCGCCTCTGGTAAGCTGGACGGCATGTCAGCCCGTGAGCGTGATGAGTACGCACAATGGGAGAACAAGCACCGTGACCAGCAAGAGGCACGCCATACTGCCGAGGCATTTAACAAGCAGTACAAACCCGATGTTCAGCTGCGCTATGTGGATGAATTTGGTCGCAACATGAACCAGAAGGAGGCCTTCAAGCAACTCAGTCACCAGTTCCATGGCAAGGGCAGTGGCAAGATGAAGACCGAGAAGCGCCTGAAGAAGATCGACGAAGAGAAGAAACGCGAGGCCATGAGCACTCTGGACAGTAGTCAACACACCGGTATGAATAACGCTGTGGGAACTGCTGCGCGCAAGAACCGTCAGGCTGGAGTGCGTTTGGGTTGAAGCTTCTTAATGCATAGAGTCAAGCTGCTACGATATCCCAATTGAAAAGTTCCTTAACTGCTTCTGTCATGTGCCATTAGTGTAAACGTAAGATCCGATCTCTGTGGGGGAGAATGCGGGATTTCCCACACAAATTAACCGGGGGTTTGTATTCGCTAGTTGGCACCGAGCAAGGGATTAACCACTAAGTTACGTACGTGGCAGCGACAAGTGTACCCCGACTGTGTGAGGGGAAGTGTGGAGTTTCTCCTCAATCAGTTCACCGGGCATTCGAATTCCCGAATGGCGAAAGGATGGGCTGATGTGAAGCTGAATAGAGTCGATATGTATGGGTTAGGTTAGGGTATAACCCACTGTAAAGGGTAGATAGCAACAGTTGAAGGCAATTGTAATGAATACATTGTGGTAGTGCAACAGTTCAATAGTACCGCTACAGTTAAACAGTAATACCTTGCATTTGTGTATAATTCTATTTAACCGGGGTTAATTGTCGCATTTCTCGGGGGTGTACCTGGTACCTGGGCTGCGGCAGGGGAACATACCACAGGGCAGGTACCCGGTACCGTCATCACATGAGTCAAACAAAAACATCGGGACTGCGTCTCCGATCCTTTATTATTTCTCTCCTCCCGATTCTTTCCTTTCCCCCATCTCCATTCTTAGAGGTTTCGCCTTTTGATTTTTCCTGCCATCATCATGCTCTCCACTCTTAGAGTCGCCAGCCGCTCGGCTGCCCCCCAGGCCAACAAGCGCACCGTCGTCCTCGGAGCTAGACAGGCCTCGGCCTGGGCTAACGTTCCCCAGGGTCCTCCCGTAAGCTTTGATTCGGAGCTTGCCATCATCACAATGATGGGTCAAGGGGCCTCTTCTGACTTAATTGGGTCAATAGGATGCTATTCTCGGTATCACCGAAGCTTTCAAGGCCGACTCCTTCAAGGAGAAGATCAACCTGGGTGTTGGTGCCTACCGTAAGTCTCGACTGCCATCACCAGCGAGCTTCGCACAATAGATAGCTAACACAATTGAATTCAGGTGACGATAAGGGCAAGCCCTACGTCCTGCCTTCCGTCCGCGCCGCCGAGGACAAGGTCGTCGCATCGCGCCTCGACAAGGAGTACGCTGGCATCACCGGTATCCCCGCCTTCACCAGCGCCGCCGCCGAGCTCGCCTATGGCGCCGACTCCTCCGCCATCAAGGACGACCGCCTCGTCATCACCCAGACCATCTCCGGAACCGGTGCTCTCCGCATCGGCGGATCTTTCCTCAAGCGCTTCTACCCCGGCGCAAAGAAGATCTACCTCCCCACCCCCAGCTGGGCCAACCACAAGGCCGTCTTCACCGATGCTGGCCTTGAGGTTGCCAACTACAGCTACTACAACAAGGACACCATCGGTCTGGACTTTGATGGTCTGATCGCCGATATCAAGAACGCCCCAGAGAGCAGCATCATTCTGCTCCACGCTTGCGCTCACAACCCTACCGGTGTTGACCCTACCGAGGCTCAATGGCGCCAGATCAGCGATGTCATGAAGGAGAAGGGCCACTTCGCCTTCTTCGACATGGCCTACCAGGGCTTTGCCAGCGGTAACGCTGACAAGGATGCTTTTGCTCCTCGTCACTTTGTCAAGGAGGGCCACAACATCGCTCTGTGCCAGTCCTTCGCCAAGAACATGGTGAGATCAACCTCCAACCCGTTATATTAAAGAGAAAACAGCTAACCAGACGTTAGGGTCTGTACGGTGAGCGTGTTGGTGCCTTCTCCCTCGTCTGCGAGAACACCGAGGAGAAGAAGCGCGTCGAGTCTCAGATCAAGATTCTCATCCGTCCCCAATACTCTAACCCTCCCATCCACGGTGCCCGCGTCGCCTCCACCATCATGAACGACCCCGCCCTCAACCAGCAGTGGCTCGGCGAGGTCAAGGGCATGGCCGACCGCATCATTGAGATGCGCTCCCTCCTCCGCACCAACCTCGAGAAGCTCGGCAGCAAGCACGACTGGTCCCACATCACCAGCCAGGTAAGATATAGCAACATTTCTACATCGAGTTTAGTACCTAACAAAGACCCTTCCAGATCGGCATGTTCGCCTACACTGGCCTGAAGCCCGAGCAGATGGACGCCCTCGCCAAGGAGGTAAGCACCTATCCATTAAACACCTTCCCCCCCCACCTAAACAAGAACAACACCTAACATAATCCAATCTCCAGCACTCCGTCTACGCCACCAAGGACGGCCGTATCTCCGTCGCCGGTATCACCTCCGGCAACGTCGGCAGACTCGCCGAGTCCATCTTCAAGATCACCGGTTAAAGTGATTTCTTCCAAGGAAAGAAAAATAACCGGATACACGAAGAAAAATCGAGGGATAGATACGATAAAACGAACGTAGCGGGGTGTAACATAATGGGTTTCCTTGTGTCATTCCCATTGACTCACCGGATTTCGCGCCCTTTGTACTGATATCTAATGTCTCTGTGTTTCATATTTAGCATTGTCCGTTATAACGGGGATTTTGGATTCTTTTACTATGATCTGCTGACAGTAAATTAATATGCTGTAGAGGAATGCGGAGTTGTAGTAGTAATAAGTAGGGTGGGAAGGTAATCAGATAGTTGACGGACGATAATAGAGTATGTATTGACAAGCAGTTTGATAATATGCAATCGACAAGAGACGAGAACGAGTCAAGTCACATGAATCCAGTCCAATCCAACCCTATAAGATAACACCAGTACACGCCAATACAGAACCGTTTTGTGCTCAAAATCTGCATCCTCAATCTCAATCTCAATCTCAACCTTCCAAAGGCGATAGTATGAAATAATAAAAGAACAAAAGAACAAATCAAAGCCCCATCATTCCACTAATACCAATATCCGCACCATTAACACCAGTCCCCATAGAAGGACAAACACACCCAGCAGGCATATTAGCCGGATACCAACCAGACGCCGGAGACGGAACAGACCGTCCCATAGCGCGGGCAATGATACCAGCCGGCGTACCGGCAACGCCTTCACCTTCGCGAGCGTGTAGCAGACCAAAGCGGAGGAAGACTTCGGCCATTGTGACGATGATAGAGATGACGATTAGGACGATGATGATCCATGTTTGGTCTGGGTTTGTTTGTGAGTATTGGATATTAAATATGAGGGTGGGGATGGGACTGGGGGTAAGAGTGAGGGTAGACATACGGGAAGTGCGGTTATCAGCTATTGAGTCAGATAGAATCTCAGCGAGATCTAAGAAGACGCGGCATCGTTCGTTGAGGACTTGGATTCGGGGTTTGATTTCGAGGTATTCGCGTACGGCGATGTAGAGGGGGTAGAGGGTTGGTTCGCTTTCCCAGAAGAAGTTCGGGACGTCGAGCATGTTTGATGCTGGTGATTATTATTAGTAGATAGTTGATGCTGGGGGTTAAGATAAGAGAACTTACAAAGGTTGACTTCGACACGGCTTTTGAATAGTCGGCCTAGGATTCGGAAGACTTCTTCGCGTTTCATGCCTAGTTGGCCTGTGACGGCGAGTCGTCTCGGGACGTCCTTTGCATCATCCATTTGGCGGGCCATGACTTCTTCGAAGAAGCATAGCTTTGTACTTTGGGCTATGCCATGACTGATAGCGAGTTTGATCATGTGGTCGCCACTGCGGAGTGTGATCATATCATTGTAGACACGGGGACGGAGGATCTCGGTCGAGTATTCGAAGTGGAATTCCTCTGTCTCAAAGTCTTCTTCGTCGAGCGGCATTGTCGCCAATGGGACGGGGATGCCCGTTGCGGAGGATGTAGCGAATGCCAGATCGGCGAGGAGATCCTTCTCCTGACGTTCTGTGAAATTCCAGAAGACGACAACGCCATAGCTGAAGACGAACATCTCGGCGACGTTGTACAAGGTGCGGGCTGGGGCTTGAGGTGTTGATGATGGCGCGGATGTTGCATGGAGTGGTGGGGAGGGACGGTCTCGGAGTAAAGCATGGCTGTCATCGGTGCTGTGTCGACGACGGCGGAGAGCAGGCTCAGGCGATGGCGGCCGGTTCTCCTCTGTGCCATTGGACTGTGGAATATGCTGCAGCCTATCCACGCTCTCGCCAGAGCTGGCAGCATGCTCATGCTCGTCTGGTAGGCGATGAGCCTCCTCAGAGATACGGTTCAGGAACTCCTTCCGATGCTCCTCGTGAGAGCTGTGATCCCCCGAGTCTCTCGGTGAAGCCTCATAATGATGCTCCTCATCAGGACGATTCCGCCCACCGACAGAATGCTCCTCAGCCTCGACCCCGAAATCATCATGATGATCACGAAGTTCATTGCGCTCAATCTCCTCATCCAGAAGTGATTTCCCACCAGGATACTTCAACACAGGGCTACTTCGCAACCGATAACCCTCATGACCGGGCAAAAGCGGCAGATGATAAGCCGTATACAGACAATCATCATAAAGCTTCGTCCGCCCACCATGCCACTCCTTAACAAAAGAAGCAAGCGACCCCATCTTATAAGCCTGAGCGGTACAATAAGCCGTAACACGAGCCAGCTTCTCCGTCCGACGCGCCTTCGGCAACCGTTCCGCATAACTCTTCGCACGCTCCGGCGCAACACGACGTTTCCTTAGAATCTCCTCCTCAGCAAGCAACGGCGCAATATCATTATCAACACCGAAATCTCCACCAAGCCGCTTCTGCACAAGCAATTGATGTCTCACCATTTCCGGATCGACATTTTTCTCCCGGGCAATACGAGCGACGACCTCTTCGTCCACGAGATCCGCGTGGTCTTCGGGCACATAGTCCTCGTCATCGATCTCGGCTTCGCCTAGCTCGCCCGTGTCGGGCAGGAGGACTAGCTTCTCGCTGACTTTCGTTGTTCGTGGTGGGAGACGCGGCAGTGCGGCTAGTCGGCCGGCTTTGCCAGCGGCTGAGGCTACAGCGCTGGAACTGCTGCTTCCCGAGCTGCCGATCAGGCCGCCGGCCGCGGATGCAAGGCGCCGGGATCTTGAGGTTGGTGGCGGGCCGCGTTGCTGCATTGAGGGGACGTCTGAAGCATATTGGAGGACGTTGTCTACGGTGATGAAGCGGGTTGCGGGGGAACGCCGGCGTCGGGCGGTTGAAGGGGGTTGCTGGTCGCGGGAATCTGTGACCTGGTGGTTGGAACATGTGTTAGTAGAGCTTGTATCAATTAGTTGCATGGGGGAGTCGCGACTATCGTACCAAGACGGTCGGGCTGCGTTGGCTAGTCCCCCGACCTCGGGCAGGGGGCGTCATTGTTAAATGAGCCTGGAGAGGGTGCTCCTGGGCAATATGAGGACTATTAGGAGATTTTGAGGTGAGAATCACCAGACTGGGGTGGGAAATTGGCCGTGGGTGCAACCTGCAATGTATGATGCTCCGAGCCAACAAGTTCGAATGTCTGAGAGACTATTCCTGATATGGACTAGCGTGGTAATTATGAAATGACGTGGGACAATCATGTGATTCTGCTTACTTGCAGTCTCATCCCGTGATTCTGCCACGTGCCAGCCAGCCAATCAGAGGTGATACGGGTAGCCCACTACGTGAAGTGGGACTAGCAGGGCGATCTGGGGTAAAGCGAAGATCAATTGGCAAACTACTGTATGGAAGAAACACATAATAATGATATTCATATTTGCTTATTTGTTTGAGGGCCTTTACCCATCCGATGTTTGTGTACTTCTGGACCAGGGCATTCTGCTGTCGAATGCGGTGTCCAGGACATATGGAAAGGAAATCATAAAGATGCGAAAATAATTCCAGGAATGCGATGTTGGGGGGGGGTTGATAAAATGCAATATAAAAGATAATGAAAAAAGACAGAAAATCAGGCGCTGGTGCTGGTGCTGTCGGTTCATTCGAGGACAACCATGCAGAATGGTTATGCAGATGGAAAAGATGAGGTTAGATCAAGAGCGGAGGCCGTCACGGAGCTGCCGGTCTTCGTCCCAGATCTCCTTCTTCATGCGGCGCAGGCGGTTGTGCTGGCGCTGCAGTCGCTCTAGGTCAGCTGGCGCGGGGTCGGCAAGGGCCGCCAGGGAGTCATGCAAGGAGCGGTACTTGGTGTAGTACTGCTTGAATGTCTGGGATTTTTCGCGGAGCTGTTGGCGCAGGAGATCGTGGCTCATGGGAGGGGATGCGCTGCCGGTACTTCCACCGCTGGAGGGGCTGGCGGCACGGCGACGCTTGGCCTCCAGGTCACTGGTGGGACGTCCAGCAGTAGCGTGGGGCGCAGACAGTCGGTCAGAGTCCGCCTTGCGTTTCAATGGATTGGCAGCGGGCACTTTCTTGACACCGTTGGTCTGTGCAGGCTTGGTGGCGACGGTAGCAGGACGAGCGACCTTGTTGCGAGCCAACTGAGCAATCAGAGGTGAAGACGAGGAAGATCCAGAGGACTGGTTCTGGCTGTCGGAACGATTGCGACCAGTAGTATTTGATGCATTTGCAGGAGGAGACGAGCCGAGAGGGGACGGCTTCTGGGGTGAGGTGGAAGGACGAGACGGAGGGCGCTTGGAGGCTGCAACCTTGGTGGCTGGCTTGGTTGGCTCGAGCTTGGGCTTCGGGGCCTCGGCCTTAGGGACCTTGGAAGCAGCAGATGGAGTCTCGACAGCACGAGGCTTGGGTGCCTGGGGCTTCGTGGCGGATGGAGTTCGCTGGTGTCCTTGCGGCTTCTTGGGGGCGGAAGCGGGAGCGGGAGCCGGGGCGTCAGACATGGTCGCATCTTCATCGTCGTCATCAGAGCTGTTGACAAATTCAGCAGACTTGATCTTGCTGTCGACCTTAGTAGCAGGCTTCGCAACGGTTTTCTTGGTAACACGGCCAGTGAGGGTAGTGTTGTTGGCGGTCTTGGCCTTGACCCGCTTGTCCGAGGAACGGGGCTTCTGAGTCGCGCCTGCCTTGGCGGGTTCCTTCTTGGGCTCCTTCTTATCTGCTTTGGTGGTCGCATCGACCTTGGCAGGAGCAGTGCGCAGCTTCAGACGAGAGAGGCAGGTCCCCTTGCCGCGTTCGGCTTCGGGCAGAATCATCTGCCAGGCGGGATCACTCCGCTCCAGGCGCATGCGATCAAAGGCGCCAATACAATTGTCAATGGCAGATTTGCGATCATCCTCACTAGGGAACTTGAATTCCCAAACGTCGAGATCTTTGTAAAACTTGTCCTTGAGGTGGTACTTCGTCGTGTCGAGGCGGTGCTGGAGGCCGTACTTCTCGGCGAGAATGAGGCAGTCTTCGGAAAAGGAGCGAGTTGTTTGGGCGAGATACCGGATGGAAACAGCCCGAATGGCCAGAACATGGATCAAAGGCTTCTTGAGGGCAGCCAGCTTCGGGTTATCCTTGGCTTGCGACATCGGAGCTGAGGTAGGAGCCATGGCAAGAGAGGGAGATTTGGGAGGGAAGGTGGGACTGGCAGAAGCAGAAGAGCGGGCAGCTTTGAGGAATCTATCTTTCTCCAGTTCGACTTTGCTTGATGGAGCTTTGAGGCCCGATTTGGAACCCCGAAACCCTTTCAGCTCATCTGGGTGAGAGATAATGTGCGTCTTTTTTGACTCCTTTCCTCTCTCAAATGCATTCAGACTTTCCTCCAGATTGGCCAAGGCCTGATCCGTAGCCGCAGTAGCACTTTTAGCCTTTTCCACCTCCAGACTATGGCTCAAGACCCCCGTAAAGTACAAGGTTTGTTTATCGTCGGAGCTATGGTACATCTCGGATCGGTGGGTTTCGGGATACGCATGGAAGGATTGGGATTTGCCCCCATAATGAATCGATGGATGTTTTCCTAGGCGGACTCGGACCGGTTGATCCTTCCGGAGGCTCTGAATCAGATCATCGAGGGTGCTCTGCACCAGGTTTAACCGCATGATCTGACTCGGCTTGGAAGGATCTCCGGACTGGTCTCCTGAGCGGAGAGCCAGTCCAGACTGAGGAATCTCTAGGCTGGTAGACATGAGGTCAAGAGGAAGGGTGAGGTCGAGGTGAGCAGGGTCGGATGGCAGCGTGAGAGCTGCAGGTCAGGCGGCCAACTGCACGGAAAGAGGCACAACCATACGCCATAAGATCAAGGAATGAGTAGAATAGAATAGGATGCTATGTGATATGAGCAATGCAGGTAGAAGTGAGAGTGAGAGGAAGAGAAGAGAGGGAGCCACGGCGAAGTGGAGAGTGGGGAGAGCTGACGGATGGTAAAATTACAGGGGCCCGTTATATTACACTATTACACAGTTGAAAATAGAAATACTTGTCTTGCTTCTTCTTTCTTTACTCTTTATTTGTGGTGTAGTTGTAGTAATAGTTAGAGCTGTACTTGTAAGCTGTAGTATATTCTTTCTTTTGTCTCTACTTTGTTTCTCTTTCTACTTTTTTCCCCCTACTCTTAGCCTGTAGCCAAAGAATACAATAAATACCGGATACCGTGAGGAGAAAGCCCGAGTCCAGACTTACGGGTGTGGCCGGGCGTTACTCCGTATATTAACTTATAACTTATTCTCTTTATTAACTCAACGTTCCTTTGTACTTTTAGTTACCCAGGAAATTAGTTACCCAGGTAATGACTTAGTCCCGACTCTTAAAGAACTTGAAACACTTGAAACTGGATATTCCAACATACCAAATCCCTCGACGATCACCCGGACCTTTTCTGGCTCCCAAGAATGCCAGCCTTTTGCCTCTCGTCCACCTGTAGGCAGGTGTAACAGTGGGCCTCCGGACTCTTACTCCTTTTAGGTCTCGGGCAGGTAATATAGCCTAACGCATGCTAGTCAGAAAAAAGAAATCCATTCCCCGACTATTGGCTGTGGTTTCACAGGTCAATCCGTCACACTGTACAGTATTACCAGTCACTTCGAGTCTTCTCGATCCGATCACGATTCACATTCTTACTGGATGACGCTGTGGCAAACATCTACAGAAAGCTAAGTAACAAGCCGAAGAGACGTGGATCCCCTTGCGGTGTAGTCTGAGACAAGGGGAAATAGCCCTGCATCCTTGCTCAATCCTGATCGGCATGCAATTGTTAAAGGGCCCCCATGTCCCATGTCCTGCATGAGGTCCGAATATCTGCCCGGGAAACATCATTTTCACTTTACAGTATTAACTTATTCCAAATCCCACATTGCACTTAATAACAATAATCTCCGCACTAACCCAGCCACTTTTACTTTCTATTTTCATCTCCTCCACCCCGAACACCAAAAACAAAATGGCCCCATCCGACCATGCCAAAAACATCACCTCCACTCCGCCCCCTAACGTACCTAGTCAGGTATTCTGCGCCGCAGCCGCAGCACTCGCCACCCTGCCCTGACAAAAGCAACTATATCGCCATAGCCGCAGTGATCGACGAAGACAACTCACGTCCCACAAAAGCTATATGGAACGGCGATCGCGACAATCGTCTTCGGTCGTGTTACCACACCGTCACGCGTCCAAGATAGCTATATCGAGAAGGTGATTGCTAGGTCATCTCGGGTGCATACCCGAAGATCAAGCGATGGAATATTCAACGGGAACCGAGGTAGTCACGGCTGCATACAGTGCTGTCATCTCCACTGAGATATTCATCGTCAGGCCTTTCAAGCCTCGTAAGGCCCCCTAGGCCTAGGGCGTCCAGTGAGAAAGCCGATGCCCCTGCTACCTCTGATAGGATGCTCGAACAACCTATCCCGCAAGAACCTACAGTGTCAAAAATAGCCTAGACGTCACATACTGTAGAAATACAAATACGGAATAGAAATTCCTAAATAACAATATACTACCAAACGTGCATAACAAACTCCTCCACCGACCAAATACCCTTACCCTCACCCTTACCCTTACCAATCTCATCAAGGCCTTGAACAAATCCCGTCCATACAAATATTCCCATAACAGCAATGATCATCCACAACACAAGGTCCATTATCCTCACTACAGAACGGGTAAGTGTCGTCGGTCGATCGGCACCGAGTTGCTGCGCAGTATCCCGAGCAACAAGTTGGACCTGGGCCGCCTGCTTGGCAGGGTGCTGTTGCAAATATACGTGTATGTAGTTAGATAGGTTTGATACTTTGATTGGGTTGTGTATGGGGTCTCGGTCTCTGTCTCTGCTTCTTGGTACGTCCACATCTATGCACTTACAGTAAACTCCTGCGCAGGTGGCTGTTGGCACGCAGGTTGTTATTGTTGTTGTCGTGGGTGAGACGAAGGTTGCTGTTGTGCAAAACTCGGTTCCGATGCATGCTTGTGCAGTGCCGCATCCTGCTGGTGCTGGGCAGACTGATGCATCTGGGGTTGGTTAGTTGGGTTGGGGTTGTATGAGTTGGTTGTGGTGGTGGGATACATACTGCTTAGGGTGAAGTGGGCGAGGCTAAGGACGAGAAGGGTGAAGAGATGCATATTAGATCCCCTGCTTCTTATTGTTCTCTTTCAATCGCTAGAGAGGCAGTATTTGTTTGGGAAGAGAACTTGCTCGATGGTTTATATAGTGGATTGTCAACCTGCCTTCGGCACATTTATAGCAAGACACAACTACACAAAGCACCGGATTTTAATAGAATGTACGGTCCAGATGACCATATACGAGGGGACCTGATCTCACAATAGATTGATGTCCCATCTCTACGGTGTTTATCTTTACCCCGGATTTCCAGTCTTAGCCGCGGTCTGTGTTCTCCGCCGCCACATCAATACGAGGTCTACACGAGAAGGCCACGGAGAATGAAATTCAATTGGTTTTGTTTGAGACATCACCACGATTAAGTCCATTTTAATGTGTGCGGTTTCATCTGGTATATAGTAGAATGGTCATGAGTCCTGACATATTAGACCTTGCAGTCAGTATATTCCTGCGAAGCATGACCACCCGACTAATAAAACTATGAGACACAATAAGTACTCTTCGTTCAGTTCTGCAACAAAGAGGATCCATGGGCCGTACAAGGTCAAAGAAATGCCAAGACGCACGAGGCTGAAACAGATGCCAATTTGAATCTACCTTACAGCCACTCTTAGAATTACAGCAAGACCCAAGATATCATCCATTCGATATGATCGTCCATCTCACATTATTCCCAGAAATAACGAGCTACAGCCTCATCAAGGAACCTGTAACACCTGACCTATACCGAATCTAGTTCGACACCCTGCCATGACCCTGAAAGGCTCCTTCTGCAGGAAAACGTTACACAGGGCCAACCAAGACTGCATCTGTATTGCAGTCTAAGCATTGACTTCTCCGGAAGGACTAGGTTTTGTACCTCGTGCTTTGGCAAATGTGCAGAAATGACTTTATTGTGTGTTCTGTTGTGCCAATTGACATGAGAACAGTGGGTGATATAATAGGCGGCCGGGTCTTTAAGCTTTCCGATACTGTATTAGGCGAGAGTCGCATTACACTCACCCCGCCTTTTGCTATCCGAGGTGTACGGGGGAAATTGGGTGGTATTGAACCTTCTCTAATTTCCTGTGTACCCTGAGCAGTACATTTTTTGACTGGTAAATCCCGTGTGACTTTGACATATCTCTTCTGTCAACTTATGGTATCAGGTACACACCCCGTAATTCACATAAAGGGTGTCGATAAAGTCCCGCCTAGAAGGGCGAATCCGGGAGATCAATAGCGATCGACCACGCTCGTGCGTTTTAATTGCTTATACATGACAGTCTCCAGATGGCTAGCACCAAGTCCAGCCATCTTCCCACAAAAAGTAAAACAAGCGATAACTTACCCTCCCAAAAGATGACCAATTAGCAAAGTTCACAGTAAGCCTCTCACTTCCGGAGTGATAGTGGCCGCGGAGATAAAGTTGCATACTGCCGATATCCAACCCTAATAGAGACAAAACTAGCGACTGGTGGTTGGGTGTCAAATTCTAATTCTTTATGCACTTTTGCTAACAACTTCATCTGCTTAGGCGAATGCCGATGTCGATTCTTTGATGCAAGCATTGTTTGCACGTATAATACCCCTCGGATTGAGTCTGACCGGGGCCTAAATAGGTATAATTTCGCTCGTTGCGTGTTCCTTAAGAATAGAAATTGCATGAGTGTCTGGCTGCGCATCACGATCACACATTAATACACGACGAGAGCTCCTCTTCTGGGTACAATTGTTTTATCTGGCCCAAAATCGCATTCTTGGGCTGCTCGTCTTGCTGACTTGGGCACCGGCTGTGAATAAGTCGTTGACTACGATTTGTTTAGCCGGTGGAGCCAGTGGACGTCAGCCAGATAACGTTGCTATTGATATTGCTTACCACATTAATGAATCTTCATCGCCGGGTTCAAGATGATAGTATTACCAAGATTTTATATTGTCTCATGTAGTTTGAAGGATAAATATCAAGAAAAAGCCTTCAAAGAATTGTCATCACGCTGGTAATTTGATAAAACTATATTTATGCGTAAGGCTTCTTTCGCAAGTTACTTGATCTTGGCTTTAATCTAAAACTTCGAGACAAGCTATGCAAAACACGCACGGAAAGGATCATAAGTGATCCAAACAAACATCCGACTTATAGTGCATTCAAAGTCTTGAAGAAAGTCTCGAAGGGTACAGAGACTCCAGTGCACTATGCTTGATTGCCAACAAAGAGAAGAAGAATACCGGAAACAAGATTATAGCAAGCTGTAGAGCAAACAGGACTGATAATGAAGACCCCCATATTGTAATAAGGAAAGGGCGCAAGTGTAAGAGCCTCTCTGTGGCAGTTTGGTAGCATGTCCTTCTAGCTGCGAACAAAGAAACCGTCTATGTCTTCGGGGATACCTTAAATCCTATCCTCGTGTTGCACTGCCTCTTAATTCGCCATTTTGCTGTTTATCTCGATGTCTTTAGTATAAAACGGTAGCGAGAGGCATCAACCGACGCACTAAACCTTCCGGGATCATACTCCGTCGTTCATTGCAACTCGGTCCACGCATTTACGCAGATAGCTTGAATCAAAATATCAACTTAAAGACCTAGATTCTTCTCCTTACCGTCACCACGTTAGCTGACTTCGTTATCAGAATCGTATCTGATTTAGATGTGTCATGACCCTTGGATCTCACTTCTCTTCCCTCTTCCACATATCACATATTTGCATTTTCTTTTGAGACCAATACATCCAGTGTCCTTCACTCCCAGAGGCATTCATCCCGCAACTCTCATTTTTCCAATGTCACTATCCTACGCGAGATTAAAAAGTATCCGTCCTCTACTATGCACGTTATGTTAAATTGGCTGGTACTAGCAGGTTTCCAAGTCTTGTTGTGGTTTCTCGTGTACCCTATTCTGCTAGAGACTAGTGTGCACGTCTCGCGCTTAGGGCTTCTCACTTTGGCGCATAGTCTATTCCTAGATAGTGTAGCTATGTATGGTCTATGAACTACTCCGTCAATAATTTTTGAAGGTTATCCTTACGCACATACAATCAGTTGCGAGGATAGAACTTAGCACCCTTTCACTCAGTCAAGTGTTAAATTGGGATGTTAGATATCAGGGGTTTTGAGTCTAACTAGACTTACTTTTCACTTACTTGTGATCAGAACCAAGTCACTTTAGGCTCTTATACCTCTTCCCTACGCTTTTAATCAGGCGCGGGTCTTTTTTGACCATTGCCATTCACATAACTCTTATATTCGTCTCACAAGAATCTTACAGTACTCTCACAACATTTTCAAATCAATAGTAAAGGGGCGGTGGACGCTCAAAAAAAAAAAAAAAAAAAAAAATCATTGGCCCCTCATTGGGCCGTGGTGACCTCGATGCAAGGCTCGATGCTGATGGGCACCACCACGTCAACATCTTTGCCCACACCGAAGCCAAAGACGAAGCCGACGTGTGCGGCAAACTCACGTCCAGCAATGCATGACTTGAACGAAGTCAGCATATTCTCCCCGAGGGGAAATTGGAGAGGCACGGGCACCCAGGCAACGTACTCGAAGCCTCCAGTCAAAGACTGGGAGGACCACACCCAGGCAACGGTGCCGACCGAAAAGGTTGTGGCGCTCAGGACCTGTGATCTGGTCCATTTTTTGCCCTCCCTGGGCTCTGCCCTTTGGAAGGCCGTCTCTGCGATGAGCTTGGTGCTCATTTCGCTCATTGGTGGCAGCCCCCACGCCGGGTGGATTGGGGTGAAGCAAAGCTTCACAACCAGGTTGATGGGGACGCTTTTGGCCTTGGGAGGCCACGCCAGATAGAAGTTGTCGGGGCAGTATACCTCCACGCGAAGGAAGCCGAGGTCGTTCCACTCCTTCTCCACGTAGATCTCGCCGCCACTCTGCTCACTTGTTGGGAAGGAGAGCAGCTGGAGCTTTGGCTTGATGAGAATTGGGAGGCTTTTGTGGGTCTTGATGTGCCCATCTTGCCAGATTGTGATGAGGACACAGTAGGTGATCCTTACAAGGTCCGCAGCCTCATCCTTGTTTCCCGACTCGCTCTCACTAACCGTGCTTGGTGGCATTTGATGGTGCAGCATCAACTGCTGCTGAGGACTGGAGTCATCTGTGAAGTGCATGCATCTTTCTGCCCCGCATGCATCAGGTAGTTGCACAGAGAATCCAAATTCTCGGTCGGGGACGATGGCAGGGTTCTTCTGTGCTGCTCCGGTGATTTCGATGGTATCGGCATCGAGATTAACAAGAAGATGCTCGATGTCGGACAAGAAAGGTAGGTATCTGACTTTGCTGATAGAGGTGCGGATTCTGCCTGTAGAAAAGAATAGTTAGTAGCTGTGCAGAAAGAAAATGATGCAAGTGTAGACTTACCTTGAAGCTTGATGGCCATGCTCAATTCAGAACCATTTGCAACTTTCACAATTCCTGTGAGGATGTCGTTAGCCCAGCAAGTGGGAATTGAATCAGTGAGGGCCTCCCCATTCAATGAGGTAAGCTGTGCCTGCCGAATTGACGCCATTGTCCTGAAGATGGCAAGTATGAGACGAACGGATCAGAAGATAGTAGAGAGCGGTACAAAGATGGATCAAGAGCAACAGATTCTGAACGACATCGGATGAGATCAGATCAATGGAGAAGCCAGAGCAATGAATACAGGATCAAAGCAATGGAGAGACACAGCGTAATGGCGAGGCACAGTGTAATGGTTAGAACACAGTGAAATAGAGAGTACAGTGTATGAAAAAACACTGTGATCTCCCAATGGAGGATGATAGCAAAGTGGTGGAGGATGAATGACGGGAACAGAGACAGAGGCAGATTGAGGGTTGGGGATTAGAGCGGCAAACCTGCCCCAGAGGGTGAGACCATAACAGACGAAGATAGGCAAGCAAGACTTGAGAATGATGTGTCAAGCGTTGCAAAACAGTTGATCTGGATCATGAAGTGGAAGGGTGGGTGAAGAAGAGAAGAGAAGAGAAAGAGGATCGGGGAAAACAAAAGGAGCACGAGATTCGAACCCGCCAGGACCTCATCGCGTCAAGAGTGCCATTCACTGCATTGCTATTTATTACACGCCCATTATATCTCAATTGCCCTTTGAAAAGGCAGGCAGCAGAGGACTGGTTGCCGGAAGAGGATAGGCATATTCCTGAAGCCGGCTGACACCCATAGCGGAGGGCGGAGAGAATGTTAATAAATCAAACAAGGTGTCGCGTATAGATGCGTAAGAAGGTGTTCGTTAGCGACCGGTTCTCAGTATGTTAAAATCTTGGGAGTTTTTACCTATAGTTTCCTGGAAGATCCAACCAACGAACAATCATGTATGTTCCATTATTGGAGTCAAAAAGGTATTCTAAAATGATACTTGTCCGTAAAATACCATTTTATTGATATCAGATGAATGAGTGACTTATCTGATTAGCCTGCTATATGCTCTGTAGCGCAGTCTCATATCGTCGCGGTGCACTTAGGGCAAGTTTGATATCAAGCCTCAGGCACACATGCATCATTTTTCGGGCAAATTTGTTTGCATCCTCAAGAAACAATGCGGTCTGCGCACTTCTCTGTTTCTTTGTATTTCTCTTCGGGCTCCGGACTTGCTGCTCAGCCTGTCTTTCACGCTAGAGCAGATATAAGGGCACCCTGCAGCTTATCCCAGCCAACCGATCTCAAAAATCGACACACACCTACAGAAGCCAGGACTGGAGCTTGAGTCTGAAAAGGGATCATCTATCAATTCATATGGTCAAGCCAAAATACATCTCGGACATTACTGTCAGGCCGTATCGTGCCTACTGTAGATAAATTTAAGCCTTGTCTTAGTACAACAACGACGCTTGAGATGCAACCTCGGGACAGAAGGTTGTCTTGTGTCACAGACATATATGCACAGCACCTCTCTAGGAAGCGAGGCATCAGTCCACACAAATTGATTGATTTTCGGTATAGGGACTTCGGGTATTTCTTTGTCTCTTTGTCTTTTCCCCGTTGGCTTTTGTGTCACGGATCGCTCGATATCTATCCATCCATGGACGAGTGAGTTACTACACACTCTGGTCTTGTTCTAGAAGACCGACCACTATTTTGGGATATGTACAGAATATACTTTAGTCCTCGGTAGAGGAAATATCCAGTTATGACACCACCAGTCTATTAATCTTGATCTATCATACACAAAAGGGATCGCTGGTGGAAGACGACCTCATTTGAAAATGGTATTTGTCGCGCAGCAAAGCAGACGAAAAAAAAAAGAAAAGAAAAGAAAAACGACGGAAAGCGAAAATGCAAAGGAAAAAGCATAGCGAACAATAATTAGATGTATAAAACACAATAACGTAGCAAAAGACAGACAAGAGCAAGAAAACACAGATAAATAACCCATAACCAGATCCCGACCAGACAAGACACTCGCATCAGGAGCCAGCATAACAAAGCAAAACCAACCCCTTTCCCATTCCGAACCCATCCATTGGTACCCAAGAAGATAAAAATCCCTAATCCCACGCTTCTCTATCTATCCCACGGATGCAGTCCCAGTCCCAGTTCCAGTCCCAGTTCCTCATCTGATCGTGTCCCAGTAAGCAATGCCATCCACGCGCCAGCAATCGACAAAGGAAAACATAAAAAAGAGTTTGCAAGGGCAGTAAGCGGGCAGGGGATGACAACTGACAACCTGAAACAACAATGTGAAAAAGCGCAATAAATCCCAGATTCTGGAAACACGATCAGATAGTCCCGACTCCTTCCAGTTGTGCTGGATTCCCATCAACATCAATATAAGTACAAACGGATAAGAAAATGCATGAACACAAAAGAACAAACAAAGGAAATAAATGAAATTCGAGATTGTAAGGCTCTCGTGGGAATCAAGGGCTTATGCAATGAAGTAACAAAACAAAGGAAAAATGGGATATGAACTTCAGCTGTGTCCAGCGCATTTGCTTTGTGTGCATCATACAGCTGTGGACCATGAGTGGTCGCCTCGAGGCTTCATTTCGTAGTTCTCAGGCTCGGTGCTGGTAGGACGGCGGATAGTAGAGTTGGGGAAGTACATGTGCGGCGGCATGGAGGTGGGGTATGCCGGGCCGCTCGGCTCGGGGTAGGTGAAGTCGTTGGCTGAGCCCGGGGAGGGCATGCTGCCATGCGAGGGAGATGCCCAGCCTAAACTGGTCATGTGGGGGCTCCCGCTGACACTGTTGGGCCGGTGGTCGCTGTTGGCGGGCGGCTCCAGAGGCTGAGGCGGAGCATAAGGATGCGATGTCATGGATGGCCGAGCATGAGGCGCACTACCGTAGCTGGAGAGCGAGGGAGACGTCGCAGTCGGGGAAGCCCGGGGGCTGGCTTGGGGGAAATCGCCGCGCACATGAGGCGGGATGGGGCCGGTGCCCATGTAATAGTCGCCAGCGGAGCGGTGCATGTTTAGAGGAGGAAGTTCACCACCTGGTGACATGGATAGGTGCTGCGCAGGGGAGGGTGTAGAGTGGATTGAGCCGTGCTCGGAGAACATCCCTTCGCCGGGTCGACCACGGTCCTTGTTTTGGCGCAATTGGGCCTCGGTCTCAGCGGCGGCCTCTTCAATCGTACCAGTGTGGTGATTTTGGTGTCGAGTCAATGTCGTACGGCGCGTGAATGTCTTTTGACAGTTGGCGTACGGGCATTTATAGGGGCGCTTTCCGGAGTGAATTCGACGATGTCTTGCCAATGAGGACGAGTCACTGAAAGGCTGCATGCTTGTTAGTTTCAACAGTCAATAACACTATAATTCATGATACACACCTTGCCACAACGCTCGCACATATGCGGCTTCTCTCCAGTGTGCACACGGGAATGCACTGTCAACGCGGAACGCTGGATGAACTGCTTCCCACACCCAGGCCAATCGCAAGCGTGGGGTCTGACTCCGGTATGGATACGCTCTGTGAGATGTTAGCAGTCGAGATTGAATTGATTCGAAGATACATACCATGACGTGCAAGGTCGCTGCGCCGCGCGAATCCCTTGTTACAAGTCGAGCAATGGAAGGTCTTAGGTGGCGGGTCAATGCCCGACCTCCCTTGAGGAACAGGTTCCTGCTGCATCTGCGGTTCGCCAGCGTATCCTGCAGGAGCATAGGACATGTTTCGTGGAGTGGAGCCCGTGGGCTGTGCGTAGTAGAAGGAGTCGGCCAGCCCAGCGTCCATTTGCATGGGTGGGGGACCGTGGGGAGGGTATGCGTTGACCGGATTGTCCGAGCCACCAGACTCGCTCTTCATCGTGGGCGATGCTCCGTGCAACTGTGCACTCTGCTGAAAGTACTGTTGTTGTAGCTGCGCTTCGGCGGCGGCTGCTGCAGCGGCGGAGTTTTTCCTGTTCAGGATGGTCGTGAAGTCCATGACCCGACCCAGGAAGTCGCCAAGTGACCGTAGTCAAGGACTGCTTTCGAAGACGTCCTTCAGCAGGCCTATAGGCTGGAAGCAAGCTGGTTTTTCCGCGGAGGGTTCTCTTGTTCTTGATAATGTTCCCGTGCGCGTAGGGACCGGTGATTCGAGGCTCGGATTTCTGGGTTTGGATCCGTCACAAGTCGCAAGCTCTGTCAAAGATACTAAGAGTATGGTTAGAGTCGGAAACCCCTCATTAAACCTGACATAAACCGGGAAATCGAGCTCGGTGAGGACACCGTAAGGTCTGCGCGCGTGGGAAGACGAGGCAAGGAACTCACCCTGCGTCGGGATTACAGGTTCTTCGAGAGATCTGGATTCTTTTCACAGTAGATCTACGCGATAGACGATCAGGGCCCGTGGGTTGGAGCTTGAAGCTTGTCTGCGGGGATGATTTTCTGGCGAGGGGTGAGATTGAAAACAGTGGCCGGCTGGAGACGGAACGCGTGATCGGTCTGGGAACGGGACGATATAGGTGTAGTATCGCCAATGTATTTTCTATTGGAAACAAAGATTATTAGCATCCAAATTCCAGTGTCTGGTCGATTTTGCCATGCAGTTCTTGCTGTGCGCGATATAATATTATTCACAGAATGCGGAGAGGCGTCAAATAACCGGGATGTTGTGTATATCCAACACAAAGAGGCAGGAAAGACGAAAGACGTCATATCGCAGGAAAGAGAACATACCTTTGAAATTAACCGATAGAGTGAGAGAGAAAAAAGAGAGAATCAAGGTGCAGTAGGTGTGGGGGGAAGGTCGGGAAGAAGTAGGAATGAAGTTGGGAGATTAAAGGAAGATAAAAAGTAGAAAAATAGAAAGGGGGCCTGGTATTATTTAGGTGTGGTAGGTGCTATTTGCATACATTTATTCTTTATTATTGTATGTGTATTCCATTTCAAATATGATATCCCTATCCTTGTCAGATTCTCTATGTGTTTATATCTATATCCCATGTTCTCTGTTCAACATTCTATACATCACAACGCTGATGCCCAATCCATGTATCTCCCTTTTGGGCAATAGTCTAGTTCTCCTAGTCTGCCCCAGCGAAGCCCGCTAGAAGGAAAATTGGCACCAGAAGGCCCCCCGACAGCACTGGCTCCACAACGTGCGCTTCTCCCCGTTCCTGTTACAGTGGATCGATGACGATCTGAATCAGATTTTCTTCCCCTAAATCTCTAGGAAACAGTTGGCTATGACGAAGTGAGGCTAAAATAGTGGATTCTAGCGAAAGGGGGAAATGCCCGAGCCACCCCTGAAGCTAAGAGATGCAAAACAATAGAACAGTGGATTTTCCACTGCCGACTTTTGCGAAGGAAGATAACAAAAGAAAAGATCATAAAGAGAAAAGATCATAAAGAGAAAAGACACTGGCATTGAACTGCTATAGAAGAACACACAAGGACGCAAACCTGGACATGGTGCAACACAAGTAACTTATACCCAAACATAGACTATCTCGATAGTCTGATCCGACTATTGTTAGCCCGGTCGAACGCTAAAATGGGAATTTCCAGTCCTTCTAGAAGGCTTCCAATGCATCCACACCCAGTGGCACACAGACAATTTCCCACTATGCTATTGTAGGACCTCTGCGGTAATTACACGCCCCTTTTCCCGGGGACACTACAAGACTCCGGCATCAGCCTCTCCACTCTCCACCACGGCACGGCTCAGCCAAGCCTTCTCCTTACCTTCTAGCAGGCTTCCAGAAGGAAATCACCGAAGCCGTGGAGTGTCATTTTTGCCCGGCCCTCTTACTGAACGGTGCGGAGCCTTACGAGCGCATCTTATGGATCAAGTCTACGGTATACTACTGTGCAGTATACTGTTTATGAATCTTCACATTGAGATAATAACAAACATGATATATGCCCAACCTGAGTTAAAATACTGTATGGCTGCAACAAATAGGGGGTTGGGCACCAGTCACTCATTGTCACTATAATTATACTCCTTATTCCTATCCATTGTCGTGATCGACTTTTTGGCCCCTACAGTAACCATATACTAACTCCGTACATGTGCATACACCAACACCCCTGGCGACCCTGACGAAAGTGACGACACCTGCATCTGCCAGTTTTGTCGAAAACCGGTCCTGCGGGGGCTTGCGGAGATTATCTCCTACGAGGATCCCGTATACCGAAACGGTAATAGTAAAAAAGAATAAGTCATAAAAGCCTTGCGTCTCAGGTGTGGCGTGTGGCCAATGACCAGCATGGTGATTTGGATAATATTTAATTTTCTTGGTTTTTGCGTAGGGGAAGGAAGAAGCTAACGCGGGTCAGGCCGCATATTGGACGCTCGACACGAGACTATTCCCACATGGTTGTGGCTGAGACGTGTCTTGCTATATCATGTCTCACGCTAGTCTCCAATTTTCTATTAGTAGAACACCCCTAGCATTTCTGTTTGGGCTTAAAGGGTAGCTTGGTTTCTGACAAATTGGTACACGTACAATCTACCTATGTAGGTACCTACTATATGTCCTTTGAACCGTTGTATATACACCCATGTTTTTCAGAATATGTTTACTGCTCACACATGTAAACAAACATCACAAAATTCGCGGTATGACCTGACCCATTTTTCTGCTCTGATGTCACGATTCTCCTGGGGAAAAATACACTGGCCCACTGATGTGCCCAAGTCTTCACACCAGTGTACAGTAATTAGCAATACTAGCTTCGTCTCCGGTTTCTGCGGCAAATACACACGATCGCCCTGACAATCCCCTATTCTTCCGCTTAGGCCTGAGCTAATGCACCTACAATGTACTTGCTCCACTAGAGTGGCTCGGCCAAAAGGAACGTTACCATAGGATGTGGTGTATACAGTCCAAGTGAAACAATCCTATACACGCCTTCCTTTTCTCTCCTATCCTCTCATCTCTCCTGTCTTCTAGATCCCCTACAGAAGAAACACCCAACAAACCCAAAATTGGGCAACAATGTTCTAGCCTTCCAGGCAAAACCCATTTCCCTGTTCACCTGTTCACCTGTACACCTGTACACCTGCTCATCTTCCCTAGGATCTGTAACAACCTTTACTCCAGACTTGCACTTGCACCGGGCGCAACTGCCCAACTCCACATCGCAAATCCCGTATATCACGTCCATCTCGATCGACGCCCAACGCCGATCGATCTTCAGGGGTTCCATAGGATCTTCGCTGGGGCTTGACTGAGTACACATTACGAATCACGGACTGGTCACACAGAGGAGGCGCCTGAAGACGATAGTTCTTTGGTGGATCTACAGTAGTCAGGAGGAGCGGGGTGACTTCTGCTTTTCGGCCGGTGTGTGGGCTGGTGATTCGGCGTTTCTACTCTTTCAGACTTCGTATGCGTACGAGTTGAGGCTAGGACGGGGCAACGGTTTGCCCACAGGAAAAGCGATGGCCAAGGTGATGTCACGGTGAAGCTATACGCTGTGCTGATCCGAAATAGTTGGACAGGATGTGCTATTACTGTTGTCCCCCGTGCCGTGTCTTAGATGTATATAGGGGAGGGAGGTGGTGATGCCTTCTTGGTCCTGTAGATCTCCTGAGCCATGAGCCATGTGTTGTGGAACCTCAATGGTTATTGGTGTTGACCGTGGAGAGATGTAAATATCCCCTTTTTCTCCTTTCCAGTCTATCTGTGAATCTATATGTATCTTACTGTCTATGGATGCATATTATTACAGCTTGTACTGGACAGATCAAGTCACTCGCGCTTTGTAGTTATCATTTATTGCTGAGTGGTAGACTGAAAATGCCAGTTGCTGGATATTTTTTCCAGCCTAATACCTAAGCTCTATTGAGTACTCGCAGAGATTGGTTGAACCCACGTTAAGCCCGTCTTAACCCTGTTTTGAGTATGATTCCTTGAATCGCCATTACTGGGTATGTGGGGGACTTGCGTCCCATGATATCAGCTATCTTGTGCCGAGATGCTTCATCATATACAAGTCCTCTGGGGACCATGACAAGGGATTCACTAGACAGAAATAGAATGAACATGTCCTACATAAGAAAAGAGCCATGGTCACTACGGAGTATAACACAGAAGTCTTCGACATATAACACCCAAGCACAAACTTGTAAAACAAGTAACATAATTAATCTTAACAGTCACCTTGATTCTAATCCAAAGTACCATGACGCATTATTGCCTCATCCCAGGGCATTATTATGCAGAGAAGACATAAAGTGTATCTCTGGTCTATAAACAACAAAACTCCATGCAAAGTGAGTCCTTTACGAAGCGCCACATGTCTGGCGGGACCACCTGGGCCCAGATACATGAAAATGAGAGAGCCTGCACAAGCCAAGCGAGCCCCGAGCCATCCCAAACACCAAACTGCAAGCGACGAGCAAGCTGCCGGCAGTATGAGGCAAAAGAACCAAACCAAACGTATTTATTTACCTCTCGCGCGCCATGACAGCTCCAATATTTCATCGCCATACTTCGGATCGCGCATGATGTACCATTGCGTGACATGCTGGTCCTCAATGACGGCATCTTGTAGCTGGTAGCTCTTCTTGTCATCGTCTTTGCGACGCAGAGGACCCAGTTCGTGCAGGTAGGCTTCGTCGCTGGCACCGTTATGCGAGTCCCAGGTTTGCTCCATGGCGAGATCGCCGGCCTCGGGATCGTAGTGGTACCTGATGACCGAAAAACCGTTTGTTAGGATCCAGCCGTCCCCGAAGTGCCATTGACGGAGCAGACAGCTGTCGCCGCAGAGCTCGGCGACCACAGCGAGTTTCGGCATGTCCGCATGGAACCAGGACTTCCAGTGGTGCACTGTGAGAGGTGGTTCGCGGCCGGACTCGAAGAATCCCGATGCGTCGTGCATCAGGTCTAGCTGGCGCAGACGGTGGTCCACGGTCAGACGGGTCTGGGTGTAAGAGTAGACACACATGGCGATGCGACGATCACCTGTGAAGTCCATTTGGGAACATTCGTCATATACTCCGGCGAGTTGGGTCATGAGAGGTCGTGATAGGAAGACGCCTGCGCCTCCGAACCCGATCATTCCAAAATTCGCAATCTGTGGGATAGACTCTGACAGACCGCCGATATACATGGGTGTGGTGTGGTCGTATTTAGCCAAGGCATCTACGAGCTTAGGCATGGATAGGAAGAAGGTATCGTCGTCGATGATGCAGCCCCACCGGGTGGACTCGCGGGCGTTCTCCTCTAGCAGAGGGATCAGGGCAAAGTATCGGCGGAGGTAGTCATCTTCTGACTCAGTGATGATGAGATTGATGCCCATGGCGTCAGCCTTGGTCTTGACCTCGCGGATAGCCTCGCCTCCTGTCTCATCGGGTTCGAGCAGGGCAAAGATGCGAGTCCGAGTGTATCCAGCCCAATGCTGGAAAGCGTTCAGGGAATCGTTCAATCTGCCCACACTGGTGGCGACTCCAAAATCGATATGGGATGCAATGGTCAACTTCGGAGGTCTAGGAACCTTCACCTCCATTGGAGCAGGAATTGAGCATCCATCCTGCGCGCCCTCTCCGCCCTTTGCGATCAAGAATGGCGCATCGAGTCTCTGTGTCATGGGCAGATGCTCATCCGTAATGTCCACCACAATTTCTCGGCGAGTATACTGGGCGAGTTTGAGCACATCCAGTCGGGAGAGCAGATCGGTATCGATTTCGCATTTGACGTCGGACGAGATTGTGATATTGGAAACGGTTGTCAAGGGCAAGGCGGGTGTCTCAACCGAAGGCCATAGCATGGCGACAAAGCCTAGGATGACTAGGAATGCGACGCCAAATCGCAGAATCTTCTTCCACGCCCATGACGCCCCCGGAAAGCTCCGTCTCGCGCGTTGACAAGCATCTTGTATGATTAGACCGTGTGGGCGTGTCAGCTCCTACCGCATTGCGGATACAAGAGAGATCTAGAGCACGATTAAGGGCCCACGGTCGCAGGCGAGGGTGAAGGAGTTGCCAGAAGCAATGAAGGTGAAGGAAAAGGAAGAAAGAGAGAAGAGACGGGAAAACCAGGGACGATCATAGTTCCATGGTTAATGGCAGCCAATTTTCTCAAGGGGCCAAAGGATGATCATGACGTGCAGGCGGCTTCGTGGCGGAAGTCACGTGTGGTCTTCACGTTACAGTCTCTTTTCTCTTTTCTGTCTTTTCTTAGAGACTTTCAGGGATGTTACATATTCAGTTTCAACGACTCAGCCGGTTGAAATCCCATCACTATTACGAATTACGGAGTATGGTGGGCATGCTCAACAGACCCTGGACACAACTCGGTCCCCATGATTATCTTTGAACCCTCCCGGTGCCAAGGCCTCTGACCAGCACTCCCTCTCTCTCACTCGCCGTTATGGCTTCCGAGCTCCACGTCCGCGCGTCGCCCGCTCCCATTGCCTTGTTGCGGCTGTCTAATCTCTTGCAGGCCAAGGCGCTACGCCCTGCCCTACAGCCATCGGAACGAAGTTTTTCGTATTGGTTTGCGCCCATTCCATAGGCTTTTAAAGGCGCAAACTATTTACCCTTAGACATTCTTATGGAGCTTGGACACTTTGTTTGTTTGGAACATTATCTCTCAAGAGGATCCCTTTGCCGATCTGCCCCTGTCGATGACTGAATATTCTTCGCCCACTCCACATGGTCTTGATGGATTGGGGGTCTTTCCCTCAGACTAAAGCTTAGTCAACCAGACGCTTTCAGGGTCTTGATGCTCGCTAGTACAGTACTCTGTACAGTACCTGGAGAGCCCCTGGAACATATCATCTATCCAAGTATGTCTAATCCGGCCTGCCGGATATGTCAGGTGTACTCCGTGTACACGTACCGGACACAGCCCCAAAGATCACCGACTTAAGTGCGCTGATCAGAGACTTGGGGGCTATTTCCCGAGTCTGTCTCATCAAAGTTAGAAACAGCCAATCCAGTAGTTCTCACCGGGGCTCTGCCTCACCTATAGCACGCGCCCTAGTGTATACTTAGACGGGCCGAGCAGTGATAGATCATGTCGGCATATAGCCGCCTTCATTATGCCCTTGGATGTCAGAAATGCACGTGTCATACAAGTAGATGTCTTGTTTTTCTCCGGAACCGGTAATGTGTCATTGCATGGTTGCTTTAGATCAGAAGTATAAAGAAAGCATAGTCACCCATTCAATCCTTGAGATCAGAAAACTCCTCCCTAATTCAATGCATACCTCAATTACCAGAGGTGACCTGAATTGGAAGTATTTGGCCAGACTGTTTGCTGCCATTGCCACCAAATTTACGATAGTTTTATATTTTCTGCTGTACAATAATATTTAACCAAAGCGATCTGCACCGATATGGTATATAGTCAATCCAATGAAGGCGGGATATATTGATAAGCTCTGTTCCAACATATTCAAAGCTCATGCCTACGAAAAACCCTCTATATTCAATGCCAATAACGTACTGATGTCCTCAACACCATATCACGTGAGCTACGGTGGCTCACACGGCCAGAGATGCAGAGTTGCCCCAATGGGGAAAGAACAGTTCCGCACATTGGACTTTGATATCAGTTGACTCGGGGAATTCAGTGAACCGTGCTTTTCTGTTTCTGAATAACCCCCATTCGACACTACCAGGTGTAATTGCCATACTCAGTTTTAATACCTCCCGAAACCCCGATCTTCCCCGCCATGGTTGCGCAATCGCTGGCTTCGCTGCTGCAACGAGCATCGATTGACGACCACGAGGAAGTCCTCCAGTCGTGCAATGCAGTCCTCGCCAAGTCCAAGTTAGACCTGCAAGCGCAACACATGAAGGTTGTTGCTCTATTAAAACTCGATCGTTACGACGAGGCTCTCCGCACATTCGAGGCAGGAGGTGATGCGCTGAAGAAGAGCGCTGGGTTGGAATACGCTTATGCATCATACAAGTGTGGAAAGCTTGAGCAGGCTACGGAAGCTGTGACTCGTACGGCTTCTGGCCGTGGTGCTGATCATTTGGAGGCACAAGTGGTACGGTGTCCTATTCAGTGCTACTAGAGCACCAATGCTAATATACCTTTACAACGATAGCGCTACCGTGCTGAAGAATTCCGACGTACTGCTGAGCTTTACGAACAACTCATGCAAAATACGACATCCCACAGCCATGAGATCAACGACTTGAACATCAATTCGTGGGCCACCGATGCGCAACTACAGTGGAAAGGAGAGCCGGAATTCGTGCGCCATGATCGTCTGTCGAGGGAGGATTTGGAATCGTTCGAAACAACCTACAACGCAGCTTGCTTGAACATTGCGAAGGGAGCATTCAAGCAAGGCGAAGTATTGCTCAACCGTGCCCAAAGTCAGACCCCGCCATTATCTCTACAAGACGGAGCTCGAACTGACACTGCTAGTAGATATCTGCCGAACATCGGAGGACCTTTCACCTGAGGATAAGGCTGCAGAGCTGCTGCCAATTGCTGTGCAGTACCTGTATGTTTTGATCCGACTTGGTAAGCTGGAAGAGGCCGAGGCAGTTCTCAAAGATATCTCCGTGGAAGAGTAAGTGGAAACATACTGGCGTACATCGGGCAGAAACTTACATCTAAATTATTAGCATCCCCGAGTTATCAACCAAGAAAATCGCCCGGAACAACATTGTCCTCGCCCGCCAGACCGTCGCAAACCCCTTCATCCTCTACAAGGCCCTCCACGAGACCCCAGATGCCACCGACAACGACCGGTTATTCGATTTCCAGGATCGTGATCTAGTCGGCAACGCCCATGCCACTGATCTCCTTGTCCAGAAATACGATGGAATCATCCGGTCTACATCCAAGGCACTGTCCAAGCGCCCGTCGCCCTCAACCGATGCCACCACCAACCTTCTCTCCGTCTACAACGCCGCAGCTCACGCCCAAGGCCAGACGGGATCCAAGGCTATAAACCAGATCCTTCCCCTGCTCGAGAGACGTCCCACAGACCTCGGCCTCCTCCTGACAGTAGTCCAGCTCTACGTCAACGGCGGCAACACCACCTCCGCCATCCAAGCAATGGAGCGCACCCTCCGCAGCCTAGAAGAGTCAATCTCCGAAGCCGACCAAAACGCCCGCTTCAACCCAGGCTTCCTCAGCGTCCTGGTCTCCCTGTACCAGCTCGAAGGCCGCAAGGTCCAAATCCGCACAACCCTAGCCCAAGCCGCCACCTACTGGCGCACAAAGCCCGAGCCCCCAGCGTCCCTCCTCCGCGCCGCAGCCGCCTCCCTCCTCCACTCGGAAGACCGCGCCGACCTCTCCACAGCAGGCGACATTTTCCAAGAACTGCACAAGCAAAACCCGAACGACCGCTTCGCAATTGCCGGCTACGTCGCCTCCCAAGCAACCCTGGACTACTCTCAAATCGAATCCCAACTCAACGCCCTGCCCCAAGTCTCCGACCTAATCGCCGATATCGACATTTCCGCCCTGGAATCCGCCGGCGTCTCCCCCTCCGCCTCATCAGCCGCAGCAGCCGCCGCCGCTATCGCAGGTGCCCGCAAACGCACCGCTGGAGCCGACGACCGCGCCCACAAGCGCGTCCGCAAGTCCCGCCTGCCCAAGGACTTTGATCCTGCTAAGAAGGCTGACCCTGAGCGCTGGCTGCCTGTACGTGATCGCTCCTCTTACCGGCCTAAGGGTAAGAAGGGTAAGCAGCGTGCTGCGGCTTTGACGCAGGGTGGCGTTGTTGATGAGAAGGCCAATGAGGCTGCTAGTCAGCAGCAGAAGGCTGCCGCTGGTGGTGGTTCCAATGCGAAGAAGAATAAGAAGAAGGGGAAGAGGTGATTTAGTTCGTTTTGTATGAGATGATTCTACTGCATTGTTAGCTTGGAATGTGTATAGCTTGTGATGTATGGATCTACGTTACGTATCTTGTATCTTGGGCTCAGCAAGACTTTTGGCTGCTGAAAACTTGCCTGTTCGGCATGTTAGATAACATAAATCACTACCTAGCCAACCCCTACTTTTCATTTAGGTCCATGAACACCGTCACACAAGTGGAGTGGAGATTAAATGTAGACTAGTCTTTTAGGACCTATTAAAAAAACAATAGCTAGGAAACACAACTCGCCAGAAGCATGAGTATGAATGCAATTTCCCTTTCGATATCCAGCCCTAACGCCCATGAAACACCTCAAACCAGAGCTCAACCAAGCGGAGTACGAATAGTACCACACTGCCGATTATAATGCTCGAAGATCATAAGCAGCAACCGCAAATCCATAAAAGCATCCTCAGTAGTAGTCTTCGCAACCGAGTCCCCACCAATCAAATAAGAATGCAACGCCATGAATTGACGCTCGTATGCCTCTTCGCAGGAACAGACCGTCTCAGTGCGCTTGATGCGTGGACGAAGATTCTCATCCTCAGTCTGTTGGCGGTTTTCTTTGCCGTTGATACTGCCATTTCCATGACCATTGCCCACTCCCACCTCTTGCAGAGATCCAGCCTCTTCAACAACAACACGCACAAAAGTCCCACTACTAGTCTTCTCACCGGGTCGAGGGAAATCATACTCTACACTGATGGTCTTGTCAGCACCATAAACCGTCAAATGGGCATCACAGCGCGGAACGGCGTCAATGCCTGCTTCATAGACGAGCGTGAACGGATGACCATCGGAGGAATTCGTGTAATGGAAGATGGCAGAGTAGAACGGGCCTGTGATGGCGACGTTGGAGACTGCATCTGGGAAGCCCAGTGACTCGCGCATCAGGGAGAGGTCGTGGCAGCCCAGCATACCTAGGTGGCGACAGAACCCGATTCGGTCGGGTGTGAGGTCTTCGCCGAAGACGTCTTCTAGTATCTTGGCGAATTTCTCCGGGCTGTTGAGCTGTTTCACGGTTGTCGCGGCGCTGACCCCGTTGATGCCGCTTGGTGTTGAAGCTGAGGTTGCGATATTCATTGGACCGGCGATGTTGCGGCAGCGCGCGTATTGTATGCGGCCTAGATTGGACAGTTCTTTTTTGAAGACTTCCGTGAAGCAAGGCGCGTATCGACGCGCACATCCAACGAAGACTTTCGGTCCGTTTGGGTTGTTGGTGTTGCTGTTGTTGTTAATGTTGCTACTAGATCGAGCAGCTTGGCCTTTTTTGGTTGCGTCGCGGATGCGGCGCAGACTTGGGATGCTCATTGCGAGTGGGGCTTCGACCATTACGTCTTTGCCGGATTCTAGGGCTGTTACGGTGTGTTGTTCGTGATATTCCACTGGGAGGAGGTTTAGGACTACGTCCACGTCTTTATGGAGTAGGACATCTTCGACGGCGGTTGTACTGTGGGTTATGCCGAAGCGTGTTTGGCATTGCTTGACGATCTCTTCGCTGGGATCGTATATTATTGTGAGGGTGTAGTGGGTTTTGAGAGAACGTAGGACCGGGAGGTAGGTGGCTTGGATGGCGTTCGTCGCGCCTAGGATGCCTAGGCGGAGGACGGTATTGGTCATCTCGACAAGAGCCGAGAGGTTCGAAGTTGAGATCTGATGATGGTGAAGGGTGATCGATGATTGCTTTTGCTTTGTCTCTTTTGTGTCTGAGTGTGGCGAATGACCAGGTTGGTGTAGCAAGCTATGTTGTAGCAAGCTTAGGAATTATGGTAATCAAAAGGAAGCTGAATCCTGTTGAAAGCTGAATTTTAGGCAAGCCCGATGGCTAGTATCGTTCCAAGGAAGATTGAAGTGAGGTCAAACTGAGAAAGGAGGAAGTTGTGATGTATCAAGGGGAGCATGCCCTGTGACATCACCTACCATGGTCCAGGGTAGAATCCAGTGGTTCAGCTGAGTTGTACCCCGGATTCAAGATATCAAGATCTGGGATACTTGGTATAGTTAGTTGCATATCGATCATAGCTATTTGTCCATCCTGTATAGTTCGGGGGTGGTTAATAGGGGGTAGTATGTAGATTTGTCTGATGCAAGGGGTACTTTGTATCCATGTACCAGGCAACAGTGACAGGGATGTAGTAGATACTTCGTATACGCTAGGCATCTGAACTATATGAGGCTATGTAAGATGTAGATGTATGCAAGAACGTCAACCCACACCTTCTGGAAGCATCGCGGGTGGGGTTGTGGGCCTTTCAGGCACCGAGTAATCAGTCTTGGTCGAGCTTACTGTATGTCAAGGACACTCCGTTAAATCAAAAACATATTTTAACAATGATATACACATATGACTATAGATAACGCCGAAGCAAACAAGTCCTCTATGTGACTTTAAATGCGGTACCTAAAGATACGTCTTCACCGGGTGGAATCACGCGGGCGGCCAAGTACCCAGAGGTACCACACGTATACAGCTCAGCCTCAAATAAGAGGGGCACTTATCCGACCTCAACGTCATTAACCTGGACCACCTGAGCAGGCGCTGACTTCTTTTTCTTTTCAACTCCTCTTCCCCAACAATCATGGGTGTAAGTCTCCGAAACGAACACTGAACTGACAGCTCAATCTGACCCATCACTTTAGTTTGCACAGAAAATCGCTGCGAGTCAGAAGAATCAAATGCCAGGCACATACGGCGGAGCACCTCCTTCGGGATACACAGGAGGACCTCCTTCAGCGCTGCAGCCTGGACACGTAAGTATCTCCCGACGTCATGGAAAAATAGCTGACCCCACGCAGAGTCAACAATATCAGGCATATCCAGGCTCCCCTCCCCCTCAGGGCTCGGTAAGCAAGTTTTCCTAGTATTTTGTGTTTATTTTTTTCCTTTCTTCAACCTCTACATCCTCGGATTCAACCTCAAATCCACCATGTCGGGATATAACCAAGGATATGCTCCATACGGCTCACACCAACAATACCAGTCTGCAAATCCTTCCTCCCCAGCTCCTGGATCCTACTCGAGGCCTCCTCCGCAGCCCACCGCTCCCTACCCCGCACAATCTCAGGGCTACGGGCGCCCGCCTCCACCTCCACCGCAAGGCCAGCCCTATGCCTCCTCCGGCTCGCCTTACCCGGGACAGCCCTATGGACAACCTGGACAATCTGGACAACCATACCCTGGACAACAACCACCCGGGCCACCCCAGTATCCTGGACAGCAACCATACCCTGGACAACAGCCCTCTTATGTATAGTCGAACCCCAGTGCCCTATTGCTACATATTTTGTTTGATGTCGTCTTGCAATCGTCGTTTGAATGTTACACCTGTTACAGGATCATACTGACTAAAATAGAACCAAGCACCACCATATCCCACACAGGGACCTCCCCAGGGAGCTCCGTACCCCGGAGGCCAAACGCGCCCGGGATCCTCGCCTGCACCACCAAGCGGACCCCCCGGCCAGTATGGTGCTCCCGGCGGTCCTTCGTCCTCAGCCCCACCGGCTACGCAGCAGCAGGCTGCAGCATACAGACAGCTATTGATCAGCTGCATTCAAGAGAAGAATCTTCAGAGCTTCTACCCCCGGAGCGACTGGATCGACTTGTCCAGTCGCTTGCCGCTGAGGCACCGGGCAAGCTTGCTCGATTGATCCACGAATGGGCCGTGCCCATGGAGGTTGCTACTGATGTCATGAAGCTCGCGTTGTTCGATGTCGTCCTTTACGTGGACGATAGTGGCTCCATTGAATTCGAAGAGAAGGGTCTCCGGAAGGATCAGTTGAGACAGATCCTGGGCATTGTCGCTACTGCGGCATCGACCTTCGACCAGGATGGTATCTCCATCCGCTTCATGAATTCCGCAGAGCAGGGCGATGGAATCCGCGATGCGGAGGATGTCAACCGCTTGGTGTCTCGCGTCCGCTTCTCTGGGCTCACTCCTCTGGGCACCAACTTGAAGAGCAAGGTCGTTGACCCCATGGTCGTGGGACCGGCCCGCGCCAACCGGCTTGAGAAGCCTGTGCTTGTCATCACCATCACTGACGGACAGCCCGCCGGTGAACCTCACGGTGCTGTGGGCGATGTCATTCGTCACGCTGTCGAGGAGACATCGCGCACCCGTTACGGTCCCGGTGCCGTGTCCTTCCAGTTCTCGCAGGTGGGCACGGATTCGCGGGCTCGTGATTTCCTGTCTTCCCTCGATGAAGACCCTCACATTGGCCACTTGATCGACTGCACCTCCAGTAAGTTCCACTTAGTGTCCACGGTGGACCCAGCTAACGTGACGTTCTAGACTTCGAGGTCGAGCAGGATGAGATGTCTCGTGCTAATCCACCAATCCACTTGACCCGTGAACTTTGGGTATGTCTTTCTATCTTACGGTCGATCGAAGCGCTATAACTAACTGTTACTTAGTGTGCCAAGCTGATGCTCGGTGCTATTGATTCCTCCTACGACACCAAGGACGAGCAAGAACACGAACGTCGTGGACCCCCACCTGCACCCGCAGGGCAATACGGAGGATACAACCAGCCTCCTCCCCAAAGCCATGGCCCGCCTGCTTCGTACAACCCACCGCCAGGTGCCCCTCCAGGTTACAACCCGCAATCTGGATACCCACAGGCGCCCCAGCAAGCGCCCCAGCAACCCCCTTACCAAGCATCCCGCGGTGCCTATGGACAGCAACAGCCGTACGGATATGCACCACAGCAGGGATCTGGATATCCGCCTTATGGCCAACCGCCACGCTATTAGTGGCACATGACGTCATAGTGCTTTTCTTTTGCCATGCGGCTGTGAGGGATCGGCGATGATATTCGATGATATTCAATGAATGGTTTTCTCCACGACTGGAGTTTGTAATCTCAACTCAATATGAAATTTTATTTGAACCAAACTCTTCAACAAAATGGATGTTAATCTTCCAGAACTGGGATCGGCCCCGCCAAGACCCTTATAGTGAAGAGCGGTCTCGGAGGAAGGGCCACGCGTTCGGGGTATTCCCAAGACAGAGAGGCCTGAGCACTGGCTTCGTGTATGTGCGGTTGTATCTGCGTCAGGTGTAAGATGTTTAACGTTGGTACAAGGTTGCCACATAAAGTCAGTTTTCGACTTTGACGCACTCAGGGTGGAATGTGAGGTAGCCAATAGCGGCCGCAACCGACTGTACAACTGGATTCAGCCTATGTTCGCCCATGGATGCAGAACAATTAGCCACTTGGAGCCCTGGAGAACCGGCTATTCTTAAACCGTTGCGTGGTCTGGGGGCTGTGCCTGGCGTATGTCAGGGCCATCGGTTGCATCCATTGAGCGTTGCCTGAACTTTCTCTCTCCACCGTACCAGAAATGCCTTTTATGGGGGTTTGTTTTAGATTTTATTAGATTTCAAGAAACTCGCCTCAAACTCCAATTTTCTTGCATCTCTGCCTATCAAATCCTATACTTGCTCCATGACACTCTTCCAGAAAGGAGCCACTAGACCGTTTTGGGTATACTACCGGATCCGTGTTGCCCCCAAGTCTCTTGGTCTTCGACTCTACGCACTCTCTGTCTCTTCTGCACACTTGAACACTCATTGATTACACCCATTATTCTTCCTTGCGTCAGAGCATCTCTCGTTTGAGCTCGATCCTCGCAATAGAAATCCCTCGTTTGCTTTGCGACAGGGGAAACACGCCATACCCTGCAAAGAGAAGAATGAGTGACAGCGTGATTGGACTCAGTTCGACCGATTACACCAGCCCCAATTATATCTAAGCAAGAGACGTCGAGAAAGGACTCAATCAGACCAGAAAACGAAAAATTCAAGTGATCGTCGGGGCCTGTCCCGCGCAGGCAGTGCGAGGAATTCCAGCTTTTCGTCATGTCCCACCACGACGAGCCCGCCGACAACGAGGGCTTCCGACCGGAGCAGAACACCCAGACCAACGACGTCCTCCGCCGCCCTTCCCTCGTTTCGTCGCGAACACTCTCCGACTCTGGACGCCGCATCTCCTCACAACATGTCCGGTTCTCAACAGACCTCGACCGCCCCTCGGCCGAGGAACAAAGACAGACAAACTGGGACCGCCGTCCTCATTCCCGTGGCTTGACTATTGATACGGCGCTGGCGCCTCCGTCTGTTCCACCCGCTGGTCGCTCGCCTACATCGCCGCTTTCGCCTAATACCCAAACCCAAACCGCAAACGCGAATGCGACCCTTTCCCCGATATCCCCGTCAAGTCCTGAGTCCGCTGGACGGTCTCGTTCGCGAAACCGTGGCTATTCGCTACGTCGCACCATCTTTAACAAGACTATTCACTCGAATACGGAGCAGGATGATCTTGCCCTGGCTGAGCTGGGCGAGGCCAAGGAGCCTGCTGCGGAGGTGGCTCCAATTCCGGCTGCGACTGTTGAACGGGCTAGCTCCGATGAGAAGAATGCGTTGAGTTTCGCGCCGACGGCGACGCTGGATTCGCAGCATAAGGAGGAGGTTTCAACATATGTCTCTTCTGAGCCTTCTGAGAAGGCTTTCAAGGGTCAGTTTTCTATGCCTATGGCACACCAAAAATGGATTGGGAGAAAGGCTGCTGTTGAGCTGCGCATTCAGGAAATTTTGACTTCTGTTCAGAAGTTCATTCTGCGTATCAAGGATATCCCACCTACGAGGGATGGCCGTCATCTTGATTTGAATCCTTCTGAGGTTGATACCATGATCGATGAGCGCACCAACAAGCCTTACATTAGCAATTCGATTCGCTCGAGTCGGTACAGCCTGTGGAGTTTCTTCCCTCGTCAGCTGTTCGCTCAGTTTACCAAGGTGGCCAATTTCTACTTCTTGGTTGTTGCTATTTTGCAGATGATTCCCGGTCTGAGTACGACTGGAACGTACACCACCATCGTTCCGCTTTTGATCTTCGTTGGTATCTCGATGGGTAAGGAGGGTTTTGATGATTGGCGCCGGTATCGTCTCGACAAGGAAGAGAATAACCGAGACGCTTTCGTGCTCCGTCCGGGTCATGGTACGATCGCGGATGGTGCTTCCATTACCAGCAATGCTCAGCATTGGGCATTGATCAAGTGGAAGGATATCCGTGTTGGCGATGTTATCAAGCTTGAGCGGGATCAGCCGATCCCTGCTGATATTGCTCTCCTTCATGCCAGTGGACCTAATGGCGTGGCCTACATCGAGACTATGGCTCTTGATGGAGAGACCAATTTGAAGAATAAGCAGCCTTGCCAGCCTGTTTCAAAGCTGTGCTCGACGGTCGAGGATATCACCAACAACTCGCTACACTTCGTTGTTGAGGACCCCAACTTGGATCTCTACAAATTTGATGGGCATGTCACCGTCAATGCTCAAGAGAAGCTACCCTTGACCAACAACGAGATCGTATATCGTGGCAGTATCATTCGGAATACTGACCGCGCCCTTGGTATGGTCATTTACACCGGTGAAGAGTGCAAGATCCGCATGAATGCCAACAAGAACCCGCGTATCAAGAAGCCTTCACTCCAGGATAAGGTCAACCGTGTTGTCATGTTGATTGTAGTCCTGGTTGTTATTCTGGCTGTCATTTGCACAGTGGCCTACAAATACTGGTCGCAAAACGTGGAAAGCAAATCCTGGTACCTCACCAACGCCAGTGTCGAGTACGGCCCTATCTTCACCTCGTTCCTGATCATGTTCAACACCATGATTCCCATCTCGCTGTACGTCAGTATGGAAATCGTGAAGGTTGCGCAGATGCTGCTTTTGAATGATATCGACATGTACGACCCCGAAACCAACACACCCCTCGAAGCCCGCACTTCCACTATCAACGAAGAGCTCGGTCAAGTCAGCTACATCTTCTCCGACAAGACTGGTACCCTGACAAACAACTCGATGCGCTTCCGTAAGATGAGTGTGGCCGGAACCGCCTGGCTGCACGACGCCGATCTTCAAGAGGAAGCTGCCCGCGAAGGAGACCACACCAAGTTGATCCACAAGAAGCGAAGCGCCAAGGGAAAGAAGGCGATGGGCCGCAAGTCCAACGTCTCGGAAATGCAGATGGGTCCCCGCCCATCGAACGTCTCTGGTGCGCTTGATGCGATCCGCCAGCCTGGTCGTTCCGCCGTTGCCCACCGTACCGAGGAGATGATTGACTATATACAACGCAAACCATACACGATCTTTGCCCGCAAGGCCAAGCTTTTCATCCTGTCCATGGCCCTGTGTCACACTTGCATTCCTGAGGAAGATGAGCATGGTGTTACCACTTTCCAGGCTTCCTCGCCGGACGAGCTAGCCCTTGTCCTCGCCGCACAGGAAATGGGATATCTCGTGATGGACCGCCAGTCGAACAGCTTGACTATTCGCACGCAACCCAATGGCCCGGATGAAGCTACCAGCGACGAAGTCTACGAGATCATGGACGTGATCGAGTTCTCAAGCGCGCGCAAGCGCATGTCCGTCGTCGTCCGCATGCCCGATCGCCGTATCTGCCTGTTCTGCAAAGGCGCTGATACCACGCTGATGCGTCTACTGAAGCAAGCTGAGCTTGCACAGGAGAAAGCGAACGAGATTGAGCGACGCGCGAGTAGGCGCAAGGCCGCTGAGGCGACGCAGGTTATTCGACGCAACAGCGAACATCATAGTCGGAAGAACAGTGGAGTCCGCAGCAGCATGACCCGGCCTAGTTTCACGCGTCGACGCTCTTCTATCACTGGTCAGAATGGTTCGACTCTTCGGGCTAGTATTGATGTCTGGCTCCGGGATCGGGAGACTGATGGTGGAATTCTGAATAAGGAGGTTGATAGTGAGTACTACAGTCCTCGGCCTTCGGCGCAGTTAAGTCGACACTCTGCTGCGATCTCTGATTCTGGGAGCTCTACCAATGGCGAGGATGAAGGGGATCTTGTTGAGGAGGCACTTGTTGTTAACGAGACTGCTATTTTCGAGCGCTGTTTCCAGCATTTGAACGACTTTGCCACTGATGGTCTACGGACTCTTCTGTATGGCCATCGGTTCTTGGATGAAACTACCTACAACACCTGGAAGACTGCATACAATGAGGCGTGCACTAGCATTGTCGACCGGCAGGAAAAGATTGAGCAGGTCGGCGAGCAGATCGAGCAGCAGCTCGAACTTACTGGCGCCACTGCCATCGAGGATAAGCTCCAGAAGGGTGTCCCCGAGGCCATTGATAAGCTTCGACGAGCCAACATCAAGATGTGGATGTTGACCGGTGACAAGCGCGAGACTGCTATTAACGTTGGCCACTCGTGTCGTCTTGTTAAGGAGTACTCCACCCTCACCATCTTGGATCAAGAGATTGGCGATGTTGAACAGAGCATCATCCATCTTATTGGGGAGATTACACGTGGCCGTGTGGCTCACTCCGTTGTTGTGGTTGACGGCCAGACGCTGTCATCCATCGAGGCAGATGAGCCTGTTCGCGAGCGATTCTTCCAGTTGGCTGTCAAGGCTGACTCTGTCATCTGCTGCCGAGCCAGCCCCAAGCAGAAGGCCTTCCTGGTGAAATCAATCCGTAAGCATCTCAACGACTCGATCACCCTTGCTATCGGTGATGGCGCCAATGATATTGCTATGATCCAAGAAGCACATGTTGGTATTGGAATCACTGGCAAGGAAGGATTGCAGGCAGCTCGTATTTCGGATTACTCGATTGCACAGTTTCGCTTCCTCCTCAAGCTGCTTCTGGTTCACGGTCGCTGGAACTACATGCGTGCCTGCAAGTACACGCTTGGCACCTTCTGGAAGGAAATGTTGTTCTACCTCACCCAGGCGTTTTACCAGCGCTGGAACGGCTACACCGGCACGAGTTTGTATGAGCCGTGGAGTCTGAGTATGTTCAATACTCTGTTCACCTCCTTGGCAGTCATCTTCCTTGGCATCTTCACCAAAGACCTATCGGCATCAACCTTGCTCGCCGTGCCCGAACTCTACACCAAGGGCCAAAAGCACGGCGGGTTCAATATCTGGCTCTACCTCGGCTGGTCATTCATGGCAACCTGCGAAGCAGTCATCATTTTCTTCACAATGTACGGCCTCTTCGGCATGGCAAGCGTCAACCCAAGCGACAACGACACCTTCACACTCGGCCTCCTGACCTTCTCCGCCTGCATCGTGGTAATAAACCTAAAACTGCAAGCTCTGGAAGTCCACAACAAAACGTACCTCTCCCTAATTGTGATCATAATCTCCGTCGGCGGCTGGTTCCTCTGGGACATAATCCTCGACCAACAATACACAATGTCCTCTGGCAAAGGCGTCTACTACGTACCCCACAACTTCCTCCAACACGCCGGCCACAACCTCCTCTTCTGGACCGTCCTCCTCCTCACAGTGACAGCAGTCGTCCTCTTCGAATTCACCGTCAGCACCCTGCGCGCCCTCTTCTTCCCAACAGACGTCGACCTCTTCCAAGAATACGAACAAGACCTCGACATCCGCAAGCGTTTCGAAGAAGCTGCTGCCTCAGAACTCCAGCAGGGCTGGAATCGCGGAACGAAGAAATCTAGCTTCGAGATTGCGCGTGAGGATGCAGAGTCTGAGGCCCTTGAGCGGGAGCGTGAACGTCAGGTTGCCGAGTTGCTTGCTAGACCGCGTGTTATGCCGGATTCGAAGCCTGCTACCCAGGAGTTCGAGTTGGATGGGTACACCAGTGCTAGTGGCTCTGCTAGTCATAATGGCAGTGTGCCTAGTCGCACGGCTCCGATTACTGAAGAGGTTGGGACTCAGGGTGTTCCTGAGCGAGGTCATGGACCTGACACTGCTTCTCCTGGTGATGGCACTGGTCGTCGTCGCTCTGTCGAAATCCAGGAGCTTTTCAGTAAAGGCTTTGGTACTGTCCGGAAGGGCCAACTCAAGTGATTGTGGTTGGAATTGTCCTTGCTTCGATTTGTACATGTATACCCGTGTGGCTGTTTTTTTCCCTCCTTGCTTTTGCTTTTTGCTTCGAAAATATTCATTCCCTCATAGCGTTTGCGTTGTTTCCCCGGCTTGCACACACATCCCCACGTCTACCATTCCATTCCCTCATCGTACGATCCCTCCTCTCACTCTCTCTCACTCCAAAAAAAGAGGGTATCAAAAGGCGTTGGGTTTGCATGGTGCTTGCTTGGCTTTTTGTTTCTGTTCTTGGTTCCGGTCTTTCCTTGTATATCTGTTCGGTTCTGCACAGTCGCTGACAGATTAAGATACCCATACCCCTACTCTTGTTGGTAGTCTGGCTTTTCTTTCTTCCCCCGCCATTTTTCGAGATTGTTTCTTGTTGCATACGTGTGACATACATTTGCGCTTTTACGTATATAGTTTCCGTGACCTTGGAATTCTATTTTTACGCTTGTCTATACTACTTTGCCTCTTTAGACGTAATCAACGAGAAAAGGATTTGCACACTGTGCTCTTGTATTTAGGCTTGAGAGCTAGGGTGATAATTGTTAGACGTTCGGCTTGTGTTGGGGTTATATCTCATTTCTTTGTGCTTTATATCAATTGCAATATCCACGCAAGTATAGCATCACCTTGCCAGTCAGGGCTCGACTTAGGAGAGTTTGGTCTCTATAGCCACCGGAAGCAGACACGTTTAATCCAATGAAGCGAGAGAGGGAAAGCAGATAGTGAGCCACCAACCATCTTCCTATGCAAATTATTGACCACGACGAAGTCTGATATTCAAGGCAGACATAGAGATGTAAGTTAACTAAAGTCAGTCCAGTTAGTGGATTCAACAGGAAGAAGTCAACATAAGCTCATTCCAGAAAGACAAGAAGCAATTCACCAACGAATGACACGTACTAGTAAAAGACGCTGCAATTGGCGCAATAACCCACGCAATGACAGGGCCCTCTGGAAAGGACCCCATAGGCGCAGCATAATCCATAAAACAATTAAATTCTCAAGGAGTCACATCCGAGCTAACATGTTCCGGCCTCCAAGGCTGAAACGGGGTAAATTGCACATAATTTGCACTCCGTAAAGAAACATTGACATTCAATACCAGAATAATACACCTAGAGGTAGCAATGGGACCCGCAGCCTTGCAGGTCCTCATGGAAATGATCCGATAGAGCGTCGGCTCTGCGAGACAAGATAGAAGGTGGAGGCTGATTTGGCTCGATGGGGCAAAGACGGTACAGAATTCCGTACTGAGACATACATGGAGTGAGGGATGCACGGAAGTAAACTTGGTCCTTGCATTGCATGGCCCTATGCCTTTCTTGTAGGTTTGCAGCAGTTTGTTGATATCCTTGAAGTACGGTATATAGGATCTGGTGGCGGACATGGTAGAGCTGAGGATCTGAAAACCGGGGCATGTATATGAGCATAAGGAATCTGTCACTGTCTTCCACTACGGTAGAACACCCCTTATTGCCTCCCTTGCCATACTAGCTTATTGATATCGTGTTGAAATATAGCAAAGGTACCAATATCCGGAAGGTTAAAACAGAAAACCCACCACGTTTCACGCTATGGTAACCACGCAAGAGGAACAAGTCATTTAAATACAACCATATATTTCTAAGAAATAGCACGGTTACTGGCCAGAGTCATAGTCTCCCGTTCAAATCCCAATTCAAGCCATATAGGCCTAACATAAAACGGTTAGAAGCCGAACCAGAGCAGCAGATACAGGAACGAAACACCTACATCTCATACCCAGGACACCAATTCAAATTAAAAGCAATATATCGTTACAGCAGTCCAATGACAACATCACCGTAAAGCTTAGCGTCGAGATCGAGACGGACCTTGGCGTGCAGGTTGAGGTGGATCTTGATCTGCAAGCTGTTCTTCTCCTCTTTGCCGGGTGTGCCGGCAGTCACGCCGGGGACTTGCATTCCATCGTTAGGGAGGAGTTCCTTAGTGGCCTCGCCGGCGGTGCCGACGATATTGTCGTCGTTGCGGGCCTGGCGGCCGCCCAGAGCGAGGTTGTCGGTGACGGGGCTGTGTGGGAGCGGGGGGAAGTCAGTTTCACTTAAGCCCATGGGAAATGTATCGGTTGGAGATTGGGTGGTTTCCGGTGGCTGATCGTGGTTTGGGGGGTCGATCGGGGGTGGAGGTTGGGTGTTCTTTGGCTTTTTGGACTTTTTTGTTGCCTTGTTTGCCATTGTGGGTGCTTTTGTATAAGAGAGGGAGAGGATTGGGTGTTATGAGAAGGGATTAAGTGGGAAGAGGATCATTTGGAATGGGATGGGGGAGTTGGGTTGAAGTAAAGGGAGTTAGATATACCTGGCAGACATTGTGGTCTTAAGGGACAGGGCTTAGGGTTGACGTGAGGTTGGAGATTGAGCGGAGAAGAAGACAGGGGACTAGAAGAAATACTCTGAGAACAGCCAGACGAGACAGTAAAAAATATATAGGCCGCTGTGGCCATGAAAGTTCTGTTTATTTGACAGAACAATCTATCTAGGTCCCACTTCGCTGTGCTATGATAACATAGCTGAATGAGCTCGAGGATCTGCAAACCTCCTCACTCTCATCTTGAGTCTGTGCCGTGAATACCTGCATGCATCAATTTGTTTAGCTGCAGAAAAGATGATGCAATGTATGGAGTAAAAGTGGACATGTTCACTCCTAGTGCCATCTATTCCCCACAGCGCTAGGGAGAGCTGAAAGCTCGGTATTTAGCTGTTAGATCCATACGCCTGCGCATCTTTCCCATATACACATTCGGACGATATCTTGAAATTTTGACATCAATATCACATCATCCGCTATGGTTCTCGGAATAGTCATGATGGCGTCTATGCTGCCAACCATGATTGGGTTAAACGAAGCTACCCAGGGTACACGCGACCAAGAGGAAAACCGAAAGACCTCAGCTCGCAAGCAGCGATGCCACTTGGTGGCCACATGTGCTCTCAGTCAGGGCACAGAGAGCCAACGCGGCCAAGTCCAGAATGCCCGTGTATATGTGGGGCAAGACGGGAAAGTAAGTATCGTCATGCATATGAAACAGAGAAAAAGAAAACAAACAAAAAATCATGCTAACCAGTTGTTTCGTCGCAGCTCTATATCTCCAAGAAACCCAGCTCTGCGTTGTCTCCCTTCAATGGTGGCTTCTACACCCACCCTGATTTCCCTCCGAACAATACATCCGGTGTGGTGACGATTACTGGCGAAGAGACCCCCACCTTGCGATGGGTGTTCTTGGACGCTAACACGCACGAGATGCGCTGGGGAGGGCGTCCCGACACTGAAGGCCACGTGTGTGGGCCCTTTGACTGGACGAAAGACGAGCAATACATGACGCTGGAGGGATGGGAAGGGTGGCTGGCGGTTCGGTTGCCTGAAGATGACACGCGAGATCAAGCGGAGACAGACCTTGAGATCGGCAATGGCCGCGAGATTTGGCGCTTGTATTTTGACCAGCATGATAATGGAGCCGATCTTCCGCCCGGTTCCCAGGGCCTGGAAATTCGCCTTAAGCGAGTCATGGCGGAGTCATGAATGTAATACTAGACTTGGAATTCATGTATTTACGATCTTTTACAAGCGGGGAATAGAGACATGCAAGTTAGGGTTTGCGGACACGGATTGTATACTTCGGGAAGGGTATTCTTCGGACTATACTCCGGAGTATACTTAGTATCCACCTCATTCGACACTCGGACTTGCAGCACTCCGCATAGCATAAAAGCGTGATAACGATAACTCGGCCAATTTAACCCCAAATATACTGTATTCTTTATTCTTAGCGCCTGTCTGTATTATTTCGATCACGCTAGGGAACACCGGACGAACAGTGGATCCCACTCGAGCCAATGGACAATCCCTGCCAACTCCCCGCTACATCTGACCTCTGTGAGTTCGGATTTGTATGCAAGTGGCCCCATTTACGGCGATTTGTATGGCAATTTCGAGAATGCTATGTCTTCCGATACGCTGGTACACTTGGTCTGCTCAAACCTGCAGGACTTGGATTCAATAATCTCCCGGGTTCGCGACTCGGCAAAAATGACTTGCTCCGGAAGAGGATACGGGCTTACTGTTAAGTTCTAGAGTAAATAGCTATAATCCTGGCTCCCAGCTGTCAAATTCTATCTTTCTGCTGTGGCGTAGCTAGACCCTCCCCACTTCCGGTAGATCCAAACCCAGTTCGGTCCAAAATGGCGTCCAATGATGTTCACCCCTGAATATGCGAGCTGACCATGCAAAACAACCCAAGTTTGGGCCGAACAAACCCTCGGGGAAAGGATTTTGCCTTGCTAAGGAGTCCTTGGAAGAATTTGTGGAGAAACTACACAACTGAAGAAAACCCTGGTATGCTGTCCTTTGACTCCCAGACATTCCGTACTTTTGTCATTGGAGCATTTCAAAGCGCTAAACCAAGGGCTTGCAGGATATGGTGTGTTTGCGCAAGCCACAACCACGGCTGCCCCGAGCAGCACGAGCTCTGAGGTGGTTCGCAGCAACCCTGCGGCCTAGATCTCGGCGTTGTTTGCCCATTGGGCATAATCTGACTATTCATATGGACTATGCGTTTTACATGGGGTATTTTCAGTAGGAATTATATACATTCTTTGTTGATTGAGTAGGCGTCTACTCACGATTACAGTCAAAAATGGTCTTGAAAACAATGCCAGACAAATGCTGAAGAAACCCTTGAGATGATAATAACCAACTATAAGTTATGTCTCGTAAAGGTAAAGTTTCGCGCCGACTGTGTCTGACAATCTGATAGCAGGGCGAATATGCTTTTGAGGTCTCACTGCAGTCTCATCCCATGTATGGCTGTTTCTTTGATGCCACGCACGCCCGTTTCGGTAAACCCCTAGGTAGCTTTCTATCTTATGCACGGATATACCAGAACGGCACTTCAACGGCCACTCAACCTACCCAATGTATTGCTCAATGGTAGCATTTCGGCGTATCCGCCTCCCCGAGCTCAACATCTTCTCAGACGCCTGCGCCTCGATAGTCTCGACGCCTCTATGTGATGGTCTGCCAAATTCCAAGTAGGAAAGCGCCATCTGATGGTGTGCAGTCGGTGAAACCGGCGCTATCCTTGTCCGTCTTCTGGTCGTTACCATGATTCCTCTGATTTGTTGCCGTTCCCTATCCATGTCTGGTGGCTTTCTGTACAGACCCAATTCAGAAGCCCGGCAATGCAGCCCCTTCTATTCTCAGCCGGTGTTACCGTTTTGCCTGATTTTCATTGCTGCTCCCCCGGTAGGCGTCTGGGCTGGTGAATGACAGGGGGTAGCTCTGCTATATCTACTTATATAGGATGGGAGCCCGAGGAAATTTGTTTGCCAGGGAATTACCTTCTTCCATTTTCAAAGCATCTGTTTTGTTTCTATACCACCTTTCCTTTTATAATTTTGTGTTTCATTAGTTTTATACCCTCTCCATCTGATATGCTCGCATAGCTTTACCAGCAAACCTTCACGCAAACCCGTTCTATCATAAAAATCAGAAAAGCGTATAACCGTAAGTTGTGCTGCTGGGTTGGGCCGTCTAAATATACACTGACAATTGGACTAAATGCACAGCAAACTATAACAGAATATCAACATGGCTGCCCAGATTGAGAACGTCACCTCCGTTCCAGTGCCCGCCCCTTCCAATGGCAATGGCGTGGCTGCGTTAAAGAAGGCCCAGTTCTTCCCAATCAGCAATGGCCACACAACTGTTGTTTCCAATGGCCACTCGGAGTCAAACCGTCTTGGTGTTCTGCGTGAGCTGAACTATCGAATGACATCTCGCGTCTTCGGCAAGTTGGACGTTGAAGCTCGCTCCATACTGGAGAGTGTGAAGGTGGCCGATGATGTCTTCGATAGCATTGCCATTGAACGTCTGCGCTACATGCCCCGTGATGGTAGCCAGTTGGACCGTGTGTTCAAGTGGACTGCCTATCTCATTGCTCAACTGGATCAACTATCTAAGGAAATTCAACCCTTCGCCTTATACTCCGAGGAGGCTGCCCAGTCTATGTGGGGTTCTTGTCTAGTCTTGCTTTCGGTAAGTTGCCATGTCTGTCTCGAAATCGTGTATAGAGACTGATCTTATATAGCTCGGTCCTGATCAAATCGATCTTCTTTCCTATGTCTTTGGCACTTTCCACAACCTGGCGCAGGATGTTTCCCGTCTGACAGCTCAATGGCGCTCTCAGAAATCGGTCACTGATGCCCAGAGTGAGGTTGTTGCCGCTTACTCCGATCTCGTTGAGCTCATTTGTAATGTGAGCGTACACTATTACCGCAAGGCGCACAATTTCTCTCGAGCTGTTGATGTATCAGATTTCCATGCTCGTTTCTCTCATCACATTCATTCCTTCCAGTCTCACCGTGCTTCACTTATCGAAGTCTTGTGGACCAGCAGCTCTGCTACCTTGGAGTTTACCACAAACCCGGTGGTCAAAGTCCGAGAGATTCGCGAGTTCCTCTCTTTCCACGACCGTGCTGTCTCTGCCATTCTGTCTGCTCGCCAGCCCCGTGCAGCTGAGTACACCTGCGAGTGGTTTGGGAGTCACTTGGCTCAGCAGCAGATTCGCCGTCCAGGCCTGACTGTCATCAACGGTGGTGTCGGCAGTGGAAAGACTGTCCTATCACAGTGGATTGTGGACAAATTGCACTCCTCCCCTGACGGGGATGACACAGACGTGGTCGTCTACAGAATCCACGAGGACATCAGCGAGACCGCCACTAGCATCAACGTCATCAAAGGCGTGCTGCTTCAGCTCTTGGATCGCCAGATCGGAGATGCTGCCTTTCTCGAGGCTCTTGACCAGGCCATCCGCATCGCTAGCTCTAGTACCTCAACCAAGGATATCGAAGAGTCTCTTTGGAATGCCGCTTTGGTCGCCTCAAAGAGCCTCCGTGATGTAACAATCCTCATTGATGGTCTGAGTGAGCTTTCTAGTCCTTCAGACTCTGTTCCCCGTGTGTTGAGCCAACTTTCTCGTCTCACTTCGCATAGTTCTGGTGTACGAGCAGTTGTGCTGTCACGACCTCTCCGCTGTTCGCTTCCCCAGGGAACGCACAACTTCACTATCGAGCCAGCTCATGTGCTTGGGGACATCAAGACTGTCATTTCGACTACCTTGGAATCTATCGGACCATTCAATGTCCTCAAGCCCAACGACCGGGAAGAAATCCTCAAAACTATTGTCCAAAAGTCCCAGGGATCCTTCATCTGGGCTCTGATGGTAGTCTCTAGCCTCACTAAGCTGCGAACCTTTCCTGACATCCTATCGGCTGTGCAATCTACCCCTGCGTCTCTGAGCGAGGTATTCAACAAGCTACTCGCCACCATCAATCTCCAGGACACAGACACTCGTTCTCTACTGGCTTGGACTCTGGCATCTCACCGTCCATTCCGTGTCAGCGAGGTACGCGCCTTGTTTGAGACTGACACCAAGCGCATGGAACCTGTGCACCACATTGGCGACACCACTCAAGATATTCTCAGCGCCATCGGAACCTTTGTAACTGTTTGTGACGGTGTCATATCTTTCCGTTATCCCGTCTTGCGCCAACACTTGATCACCGTGGCTAGCGCGGTTACCGATTTCACAAACAACGGTGGCTTCCCATTCCACTTGAAGGAAGCTCACTATGATATCGTCACCCGCTGTCTGGCATATGTGAAGTTCCATGTCCAGGATGACCTAGAGGTGTCTTCCGTCACTGTCAGCCCGTCAACTCAGAACCACTTCTTCGATCGCTATGAGTTGCTTGAGTATACCGTACGTTACTGGCCCGCTCATTTCTCCTTGTCTCCCATGATGGAAGGCAAGGATACTTTCAAGCTCACTGCCACCTTCAAGCAATGTCTGCCTGATTCAATTCTCTTGGCTCTGCTCGAGACCAGCACCCAGCAGATCCAGTTCTCCTTGCATACCGCCGAGGAGTTCTTGTCTCTGTCTATTAAGCTCCGTCGCTTGCTATTCAATGATGTCTCTCAGTCCTTGCTGCAAAGCCTCGTGCTCCAAGGTCGTCTGACCCACATCCTCGGTCTTCGAACCAGTGTGGACTATCTCTATGAGTCTTGGGCACTTAGCGAGAAACTCCTTGGCTCACAGAGCAGCGTGGTCAAGGCTACTGCTGAGCTTTTCATGCAGTCTATGACCAAGGTTGACATTAAGGAGACCACAATTATTAGGAAGAAGGAGACTATACTCCGCTACTTGATCGAGCGAACCAAAGAAGAGCGGGGTGTCTCTCACGATCTGACCATCAAGTACACTCGCTCGCTTGTTCAGCTCTACGTTGATGTCAAGAACATTGAGGCAGCTGCCGCCGTTTGCAAGGAGCTATATGAGTTGAGCATAACCCGCTATGGCCGTTTCTCTTCTGAGACACAGGAGACTACCGACATCTTCTTTGAACAGCTGCAGTACTTCGGCAAGTCGGAGTTTGTTTCTGAAGTCATGCAGACCCGCCATAAGTACAACATCCAGCATCTGGAGGTCACTGATGAGCGTCGCATCACATCTACTATTTCCAGTGTGGAAGTCTTCGAGCAGCGCGGTGAGATCACCCGTGCCGAATCCAGTCTCTTTGAGCTCTGGCAGAGTCTGTCCAGTGTGGAGCAGACATCTGAGTCGGTGATCAAGCAGCAGGTGGATGTGACTCTAAAATACTCCGAGTTCCTCACCAAGCACGGCCGCAAGGACGAGGCCGAGAGCATTGTCAGTGGCATGTGGGTATCTCTGCAGCAGCAATCCTCTCGCTTTGAGAGCCTCAGCTCGACCATTGAGAAATTCACGTCTCACATCAAGACACAGAAGTGGTACTCCTTGGCCGAGTCAGCTCTTTCTTCTCTCTGGAGTCAGTACAAATCTGAAAAGCGCACCAGCAACTCTTCCACTGTTGCTGTTGCCTCGGCTCTGAGTGAGATTGTCCAGGAGTCTATAACTACGAGTCGCTCCAGCACTTCCTCGAGATCATCATCCTCCACTACCGTTCAGTCACATCAGCAGTTTGGGCTCTTGCGTGAGGTTTTCGAGACGGCTTCTCAGTCAACCTCGGTTTCCAAGAAGTCTGTTGCTTCTACTATCCAGATGGCAGAGACAATTGCCGAATCGTACGTTCAACAGGGCAAGTACGAGAAGGCCATTGAGATTCACCAGCGCGCGATGCAACGCATCTGGTCCGGTATTGAAAGCAAGACCTCCGTTATTAAGCTCACCTCTGAGACTACCCGGGTGGCTCGACAGGCCATCAGCCTTGCCCAAGTCTACTTTAAGAACTTGCAGATCGAGAAGGCTTCTACTGTTTATGAGAATACTTTCAAGTCTGTCATCTCATCGGTTTCTGTCAAAGACGAACTTTTCACCAGTGTCACCAAGGATGTCATCTCCTTCTATGAGACTACCTACCAGTTCTCCAAGGTCACCTCTATGTACCAGGAGATTTACAAGGTGCTGTCGACCCAAATTGGTAAGACAGATGAGCGGACTATCCAGGCCCTCTACAGCTGGGGTGACCGTGCTATCAAGTATCATCAAGAAGCAGAGGCAGAAAAAGCCTACTACGAGATCTTCGTTGCCTTTGGCAAGAAGGAAACTCTCGATGCCCGCTCCATCCGCGCAGCTCGCGCTCTATGCACCATCTATGAGAGCAGCAAGCGCTGGAAGGAGGCTCAGCAAGTGTATGAGATTTTGTGGAAGACCATCACTCTGCACGGCCAGGAGTTGTCCATCGAAAGTGAGGATATTGAAACCATCTACTCTCGGTACTCATCCATGCTAGAGACACACATAAAGGCGGATATTACTGTGATCCACAGCCTCGCGACCAGCTACCGCGAGACTTGCTTGAAGATCTACGGCGAGTCCCATGTCTCTACTTATAAGGCTACCATGAGGCTGGCCGAGATCAGCCACTCCAGCGAGAAGTACCAAAAAGAGTCTCTGTCACTCTACGAGTACGCGCTCAAGATGAGCTCAAAGTTCTCTTCCACTGTCGACACTAGCGAGGTTACCGAGTCGAGCACAACCACTACCACATCGACTACCAGTATCATCAAGCAGCGGCTTGCTAAGTTGTATTCGAGCAGCACCGAGACTGTTTCCAAGGCTGTTTCCCTTTATCAAGAGGACTATCATTCTTCTGTCAAGCAAGAGGGCTACGCGTCCCAAACTAGTCTCACTGCTCTTCAAGAGCTTGTGACATCCTACCACAAGCAGAACACCAAGACTTCAACCACAGAGGCTGTGAAGGCCCTTACAACGGCGACTACTTCTATTTTTGAGCAAGAGACAGACACTCAGCGCATGTACAAGTCTTCCCAGACTATTGCACAGATGTATAAGACCGTCGGCCACCAGGAGGCTGCATGGACTCTCCTGCAAAATCTTCGGTCTCGTCTGATCCGTGAGACTACCAGCACCGAGAAGACTACCATATCTCGAAAGGTTGCAGTCTTCATCGTCGCCTTTGAGGAGTCGCTCTTCCAAAAGCGCACTTACACCGCGATCATGGCCGAGCTAGTCTCCGAGATTAATCTGTACGAGTCGTTCTACTCTGCTCGGAAAGAGAAGCAATTCCTCGCTATCTTCATCAGTGGTGTTCGCCTGCTAAACTTCCAGCGCACTCGCAACGCCACAGAGGAGCTTCAAAAGACCGACACCGAGCTGTTCCGTCTGTTCACTGAGTACTTCTCCGTCAAGACTCAGTCGAGCAAAGTCAGCATCCAGGCCTTCTACCAGATTACCATTGCTGAGATTACCAAGCGCGAGTATGATACTCACATTATTACAAAGACTGTACTTGCTATACACCACGAGATTGAGCAAGGCCACTTCCAGGAGGCCTATGAGCTTTCTAGCATCTTGCACAAGTTTATTCAGCAGGTCGATGGCTTCAGCACTCACAGTAACACCAAGGAGGGTATCCTGCTTGCCAAGTATCTCCTCGGTCACGGCGTGAAGAAATCTCCGGATGCTAAACTGGTCAAGGCTATGTCAGAGCTCTCTCGTGTTGTGCTTCAGGATATTTTGATTGTGTACCGCGCTACTGGTGTCCGTTTCACGGATTTGGATGTGAGCGAGGTCAACGAAATCACCATTCTCTTAGGCGAACAAAAGAACTTCGAGGATCTCGAGGTAAGCAGACACTCTCTACTTTAATCAAGTCTTGCAACAGAAACTAATATTTCTATCTAGTACGTTCTCAACGACCTCTGGTCCTCCCGTATTGTCCAAAAGACCTGGTCATCCGACACAATCATCTCCATTGGCCGACGCCTCGTCGAAGCCCGGTTTTCCTGCGGCCGCAAGGAACAGGCCATTCGCCTCTGCGCCGACCTATGCTACAACATCGGCCGCGTATGGGGCCAATTCGACCGTATCACCTTGGAGCTCACCGCTCTGCTCTCGGGGCTATACACAGCAACAGGAAACTACGCCGCCGCAATGGCGGTGCATGAGACAGCTCTCCGCCAAGTAACGCACACCCAGACAGACGTGACATCCGCCGAGATGGGCGCATTTGCAGTTCAGCACACTGAACTCTTGAAGCGCGCTTACCAGCGAAACGGTGGTTGGGCTAAGCAGTCTAGTCTCTACACTGATCTCCTTAGGAACATTAATGAGCAGTTGAAGACTGAGAAGACTTGGTCCCAGTCTTCGCTTGAGAGTGTTGACAAGTGGCAGCCTAAGGGCGCTGATGATTTGGGGTTATGGCAGCCGCCTACTAACTATGGCTTCCTTACTGTTGGGAAGGTTAATAAGCATCAGAACCAGCTGCGGAAGATTAGTACTGGGAAGGTCTTGACTATGAGTCAGATTACTGCTTAAAATTTGAGATGGGATGTTGTATCTGTGGAGACTTTATTGTGATTATTGAGCGTTTGTTCTTGTTCTTGTTTCATGTTCTCTGGTTGATAAGTTACTTGATGTTTAAACCGTATCTATGCCTTTTCTGCTAGTTCTCGTTCTTGCTACTTAATTGAGACAGATCTTGTTCGCTTCTGAATATTGTAAGGTAAATCATAGTTTTTGTCGTTACAGTGAGTGACTAAATGGTGTCTAATTCTCTTCATAGCAAAATCCTGGTTGACCAGTTGGTGGCTACCTTGTAGAGATTAAGTTATTCCCCGAAAGTTGTTAAATGCAACCACAAACATGTCACCAACGCAAAATATCTTAAAAAGATCAAGCAGAGTGCTCTGTAATTATCCTAAAGCTTTATCTATTATACGCATTATGACTACACTTCCAATTTGCCTGGCATACATCAGGACTCGCCAGGTATAGGAATAGTCACGTGGCACTTCCCCTTTGACATCATCCAATCGCGTTCCTTTTGTACTTCACGCATATCTCACAAAAAAGCAATTCCATCTCAACATTAGCTTCAAGAAACAAGGACATGCCCTCGGGAGGTTCGTGAAATGCTTATATCCGGAAGAACCCGCTCTAACCATACAAGGCCCGGCCTGTATAACATGCCGTGAAAAGTGTCGCAAATGTGACCGTGCACAACCCGCCTGTCGACGATGCATCTCCAAGGGTCTTGAATGCAAAGGATATCCAGAGAAATTTCGTTTTGCGGGATTAGCCACACGGGGGAAGTGGAAAGGTCAAGCAGTTCCTACTGCAGGCCGCAGCGTTTTTCAGACTCAACTTGCAAATGATGCTCCAAAAACCAAACAAGAACTCAACACCCAAAGGGCTTCCGCTATATTAGTCAATCCAGATAATGGATTGTGCCATTCGGTTACTGATCATCCGCTGTCAAGTCGAGGACGAACTGTGGAGTTGGATGATTTACTAATGCTAGAACGAACGGAGCTTTTGTTAGCCCACTGTGGGTTGATTCTCTTCAATTGCCCATTCGATTATCGCTGATTGGTTCTTCTTCAGATGATCGGGAGATATGTCCGCATCAGATTGCACTGCCAACTGACGACGCAGACAACCCCTACAGACTCTATATCTTACCGCTAGCATATGAGCAGATTGGTCTACTATATGCAGTTCTCGGGCTCACAGCATGCCATATTGGGATCAAGAAAGATGATGCTTATCTTCGAGACACATTAGCAGTCGAGTACCAAGCGAGAGCTATCCGCTGCCTTGGAGAAACGCTACAGAATGGGATATCTGGCGAGTTAGGAGAAAATGAACGTGATGGAATTTTTGCCACCATACAGATCCTATTACTCCAAGATGTGAGTGATCTATTCAGAATCGCCAAGTAAGACCCGATGGTTGACTTGAAACAAGATTTTCGAAACAGGAATCTCTACTCATGGTATTCACATTACAGGCGCTCTATCAATTTGCAACCAGCTACGCTTATCTGATATTTTGACCGAGGACCATGAACGGACAATATTCTTCCTAGGAAATCTGGCATGGTAACTTCTCAAGCCCAGTCTCTTCATTCCATTCAAAGTCTAACGCAATATACAGGCTGGATATTATCCGATCTCTGGCAGATCCGCAAAAGCTGTGTTTCTCTCCTGCTCTTCGTGAAACCATTGCCAATCTAAGTGACTTGAAATTTGAGCAAGTCAACGGATGTCCACGCGAAGTCTTCCTAATAATAGGTACTGTTCTGGAACATGCAAAAGCCCATGAAACAGGCTACATAGACACACCCCAATACGAGCGACTTCTCAATGCCGCCCGGTATGATCTTCATACATGGCGTTTATTACCTGGCGTATATCCCAACGATCATTCACGATGGCCGGCAATTGCCGAAGCATTTCGACACGCTTGTATACTACACACGTCTCGCTTGTTAGATTTATACCAACCAGCTGAAGCAACGATGATACAGACTTCTGTGACGGCCATTTTGGATGCTATTGCGGAAATCCCACCTGACTGTCATCTGATTGAGCTGCTGGTCATGCCTTTATTCATGGCTGGGACCGATGCTTTATCCTCGTATGCTCGTCATTATGTCCTCCTGCGGCTCGAACATATCAAGGTCAGGGCAGGGTTTGGACATCCCACACCAATATCACTACTTCAGTCTGTTTGGGATGCACGTGGGAAACAGGCGAAAGATGATAATCGGAACGTTCCTTGGATGTCGTTTGTAAGTTTTCGATCTACTTGGGGGTTTCTCCGTCGCTGACTGCTTCAGACTCGCACCGGATCAGATCGCCAGCATGATTATTTGATTATTTAATTTGGTCCATGGATCTTGGGGGTATTAAGAGATGCAATCGGTATTAAGTTACACGGTTGTCTACTCCGATGACGAACGTGATCAGAATATATTCACTCAAACCAAGCACTATTCCAAACATAAGGAACGCAGGCATCAATTTCATCAATTTCGGAAAAGCCAAACTGCCAGACAATATCCAATTCCTGATGCACCCTCGCTTTCGAACCTTCGCATCCCATCTTTTCTCCCATAAAGTGCTTAGGCTCTCACGGATAGCTTGCATTAACTCTAGCTTTTTCACGCACCAAAAACTGATCAAAAGTTCCGAGAGGTAGACCCCACGCCTTCACTTTCTCCAAATCCACGAACGAGGACATACCGCGCATCATGAGCTGGCCTGCAACGAAGGGATTGATAACTCTCTGCTTATCGATCTCTTCATCAGACATGAAGATGGCCTTGAAATCCTTTCCGGTCGCACGCGACAAGGCTCGCATTATCTCCTCCGCTCCCATGAATTCCGATGCGATCTCGATCTCCTGGTTGTTGAACTTGACAGGGTCAAGAACTGCCGCAGCAGCAAATTGGCCGATATCGTTCGGGTCAACCATGGGCAGCACGGTATCCGGTGCGAGAGCTGTGGTGAATACCCCGTTCTCTGCCAAACCCTGGTACATTTGGTTCATTGGGAACAGGAAGTTGGTCATGAAATTGCCCGGTCGTAGAAGAGTCCAAGTCTCAAATCCTGTATTTCGAATTTCGTGCTCGATTGCTTGTTTGTTGAGCATCATCTGGCTGATTATGCCGTTGGGATCCCAGTGTTTGTTGCGCGAGGGATCGTTGGCAGACACACCGCTGGTATAGATGACTTGTTTGATGCCGGCCTCTTTGGCAATTTTGAGAAGGCGGCGGGCTTGCTCAAGGCTTGTATTGAGGTCTGTCAGTGCAGGCATCAGGTTGAGGAAGAGACTGGTGCAGTGGGTCATGTTTTGCTTGACAGATTCATCGTTGTCGAAATCACCCTCGGAGATTGCTACACCAAGTTTTTGGAGGCGCTGTGCAGCGGGAGAATTCAAAGACCGGGTAATTGCGTGGACTTTGATGTCGTGTTTTTGTAAATGATCGATGAGAGCACCTCCTTGAGTGCCAGTGGCACCACAGACGAAGACGGTTGGAGAGGACATTTTGAGTCAATGAGGTTATGATGAGAGTAGTATAGATAGTTGTGAAATTCCATCAGACCTACAGATATCGCATGCTTTATATACCATTCCAGCAGCATTCAACATCGGCATTTCCTATAGATGGCGGAACTCCACTAACTCCGCCGCTAATCCTAAACCCGAGCGACTTCTGATTGGCGCGCCACAGCCTCATTTGACTAGCGTGCGGAATTCCGCTGTCGTGGCCCATCGTAGAACATTCCTCCAGCGACTTTTCTCACGGTTATCAATTTCACTGTTTTTACCATGCTACAGACTACAGAGACCAAGCCTCCTCCGCGGCGCAAGTCCTGCGAGGCATGCAAAACAGCTAAACGGCGCTGCGACTTGGCATTCCCAGCATGCTCGCGGTGTATGCAAAGGAATATCCAATGCATGTACCCCGGCAGAGTGCCCCTAGCCTACTCCGAGATAATTGATAACACCCCCCTCATGGATACTTATGGGATTCTTGACGGTACTATGACCCCATATCCATCCGACGCCGATCTTATGGCGGTGATCAATGTGGGCTCGCTCCAGCCTGTCGTGGTCCATTCGCCGTTTCGGTACATCACAATACTCCCTCCAGACCAACGCGTCGATTTATTTGAGAATTCTCCACCATTACATGGCTTTGAATTGGCCTCGCCACGAACAAACCCACCAAAGCCTCTGTCTGGCATCTTTGCCAATCGGATTCAATTTGCGGTTGATGTACTCAAGGATATTCCCAAAATGATGGTCACTGAAACACAGACCCCATGGTGTCATCGCCAGCTCTATAAAAGTAACATGCCGAAAGAAATGCAAGGTAAGTGTGATCACTCCGAATTGAATGTCCTCAAAAGCATACCACTCACAATGTTTTAGATGTGTTCACTTGCTGTTCTCTCTACATGACCAAGAACGAAATCAATGCACCGGTACTCATGTCAATATTTGACTCCCGCATCAATAATCTTTTATCCTCACCACCACCTATAACACCTCTAGAGCTCCTCGCTCGAGTCCACGCCCTTATCCTATACCTTATCATGCGATTGTTTGACGGAACTACACGATCACAGCCATCTTCGCAATGCTTATTTGATGTATTGGAAACCTCAGTAGAGTCCCTACTAAGTTGCATCCATCTACCCCACCCATCAGAGCCATTGGAATTGCTCCCCATAACCATGGACCCCGTCATGAATTTCTGGGATTCGTGGGTCTTCCAAGAATCAGCTCGGCGCACTGTGATGATGGTGTTCTATTTTGTATCCATACATAACTTTATGCAAGGGAGACCAGCCCCGGTCTGTGACGGGAAGCTCGGACTTGAACTTGCATGGTACCAATCTGCGCATTTGTGGAATGCGCAGAGTGCTTTTGATTTTGCGGTTGCTTGGACTGAGAACCAGCATTTTATAGTGTATAATGCGGACTTTTCCGATCTTCTTCAGGATGCGAAGCCTGATGATGTGGATTTGTTTGGGAGGATGTTACTCGTTACGAAGCTTGGTATTGATGAGACTAAGGCTTGGTTTTATTCACGGGGTGGATCTTTGTGATATTTGCTTTTATATTTTCCCGAATGCCTCTTGTACAAACTTGAACAGACTTTAAAGAATAACCAGCCTTGGATTTATATGTATTCCAATTGAAACTGTGACATTTCATCTTCCTGTTACAATATGCTTTTCGTTCATCGAGCCATTGCCTTCTCAATCTTTTCTCTGACACCGTCTCTCCACATGTCCCATCCCAGACTGAAGCTCAATGTATCCCTCCACAGATCTTCAGGATCGCTTCCAGGCGGGAGGCCCTTTCCATTCCCAATTTTCCCATTGACCTTCCCTTTCACAAATCGCATATGCCAAGGAATCATTCCAATCAGCTTGAATCCCATCCTCTCAGCAAGCTTAACACTAGCAAGATTCATCGAGTTCGCCGACCAATGAACTCTGCACAATCCAAGCCCACCCTGCTCCGCAGAATCTAAAGCAAGTTGTAAAGCAAGTCCAACCGCGTTCGTTGCCACATGGGTACGTTGGTAAGGCGGTAGGATTACAATAAAGCCGATCTCTGCGCACAGATCTGTGGGCGAGGTCCGGATCAAGCTCACCGTACCAGCCAATTCACCTTCTGGATCCTCGGCAGATGCAGGGCGTGTCTTGTCGATAATGGCGAAGGCAAATGACTCAGGATTAGAGAATGAAAGAATGTTGCCTGGTGATTTGTCGTAGAAGCGGGCTTTGAGCTCGGCTGCTGAGCTTGGAGCCAACATGGGCATATGCGCGTATAGCTCTGGATGTGGGGAGGATAGACGGAAGAATGTCTCGCAATGCTGCTCTGGGTTGAAGGCGACGAGCTTGAGGCGGTCATTTGAGGCCCCGTGGATGGGGAAATGGAAGACAGAAGATGCCGTCATTTCAAAATACCGTGTGGGGTGTTGTGTCAAGACTATAGACTGGAGAATCAGGTATCTTGGTGACTGCAGATATCAATATACCATGGACTTGACTCAAATTATAGGAGAGCTGGCGAGGTTACGCCTGGGCGTCTTTTCTGAGTCATCCCCACTTTGGCCGGACCTCGGGACTTGGTGGGCCCTAACATCGCGGCTCTCGACGGCTCCTCGAACTAATATAGGCCCGTTTGAATCACCACGAGCCGTTGAAGAGCATCAGAGCTCAAGCATTGCAGTAGTCTATGAGTCAACCAACAACATGCCTTGGTCTGGCTATTTCCTCGTCGAGCTCGGTCACGGGCACAGATATAGGATGACCATGTCTGACCATAGTCGAGCCTTGAGAACTGAAAGTCACATCGTCAGTATAGCTTAATGGTAGTCACGCCCGCATGTCGATGCCATAGGTATGCCATTTGATAATTATTTGCTCTGCCCCGTCAGTATCTCTCTCACAAGACCCTCCCTCCCATCCCATCTTCATCGTTTCTCCAACTCTGGTTGGAGTTTCCCGCAAATATGGCTGACAATCGAACCCGAGCCAACATATTGCGGAGCTCACCTCGAATTTTGAGACCAACTACGTCTTGTTATACCCAGCCCTTGATCTCGCAATGTCCAATTTCCTCCTTTGTTTGTTGTCTTCATCATCGGTGCATGAGGCGATTCAGCTGGCGGTATTTCCCGGGCATACGCCAGCGCCGGCGCCAGTGTTCCCAGGAGTCTTCAGTTCTCGATGAGCTCGCAGGCGAGATCCGTACAGTCAACCCATCAATCAGAGTTGAGATGGTTGAATGCGAAACCACTTCCTCTGCAAGCGTTGAGGCCCTGGCTCTTATGATCAGAATCTAGCTTCACAGTTAACTCAATGTCGTCCACGTTGCTTGTTTGGCGTTTTGCGGTCCTCTGATCCCAAAATTTGAATCTCCTCTTGACTTCAAAAAGGCCTTTGAGGTTAATGTCGCGGGTACGTTTAACGTCGCCTATTACCTTTTTCCCTTACTTCTCACCAGCGTCCCGGGGGTCAAGATATTTATCGCTATCAGCTCGATCTATGCGGCCACTGTTTCGAGCTCTGTTGCCAACACAAACTTTTGCGCAAGCAAAGCCGCACAGGGGGTAATACAACTTTTATTACAATTGGCCCATCTTAAATCAAGTAAGAAGACCTCTAATATATTCAAAGCTACATTTTTACTCTAGTAGCCTAGCTCGTAGCCAACGTATACGTATGTGACGTGTCTCATAAGCTTGAAGCAAGGCTAGTAGCACTAACTTACATATGACTATAATCCTTGCATTCTGTTGCAAGAGGAACGGTGGCTGGCTGTAAATGTGCCAATGCACGGACATGGTTCCTCATAAGATCATCAATCTTATATACTATTCGGGTTAGGCAGCTCCGCTTTATTACAGGTTTAATGTCGCCAAACAATAATCCAGAGGCACGGTTGGATTCCTTGGCTGCAGATACAGCCACAGTTCCAGCGGTTCGTTATGCAGAATACCGGAGACGAGATCGCATGACCATTGATTCCCAGCCCCGGGAAAGACTGTTACACGGTAGTTACATTGTAGGCTGGATTTCCGTGTCAACTTTCTTGTTTAATTGATCCTTGTTGGCTATCAATATACAGAATATTTGCAAACAACTCCATGGATAAGAACGAACGTCCGCTCAAAGTGCTCGTGACAGGCGTAAGCGACAATCGAAGACAGCTACTCCATATAGTCGACAGATGCTTACTCTATACATAGGCAGCGGGTTTTCTTGGATCCAATTTGGTCGATTTCCTCCTTCAAAAAGGCCATTCAGTGATCGGGTTAGACAATTTCCAAAGTGGCTCATCCAAAAACTTGCAGCACTTGAGCAATCACCCTCGATTCGAATTTTTCAAGTAAACACCATCATGAGCCATGTACAAAGAAGATTTCTACAGATCGCTAACGGCACCGTTGACAAAAATAGTCACAATATTTATTGTTCACTTCCAGCGCTAGAAGGGCTCGACCAAATCTACAATCTAGCTTGTCCAGCAAGTCCAGTTCACTATCAAAAAGATCCGATTTCGACTCTAAACACATGTTTCCTCGGGACTCGAAATCTCCTAGAGCTCGCAAGATCAAGTAGTATTCGAATACTACACACAAGCACTTCAGGTAAGTGAGCCAGGCCTTTTCAGGTCTCCGCTATTTCTAACCAAAAATATTACGAGAAAATAGAAGTCTACGGTGACCCATCTGTTCACCCCCAAACGGAACATTACTGGGGCAACGTGAATTCATTCGGTCCACGAGCCTGCTACGACGAAGGAAAACGCGTCGCTGAAGCTCTCTGCTATGCATACCGCGAGCAACATGACATTGACATCCGTATCGCCCGCATTTTCAACACATATGGACCACGCATGGGCGCCAGCGACGGACGAGTGGTGTCGAGCTTCATTGCATCTGCATTAGCTGGGGAAGACCTCAAAATCACAGGAGATGGTACGGCAACACGGTCGTTCCAGTTTGTTACGGATTGCATGCAGGGACTTTATACTCTCATGAACAGTGGCTATAGCAAGGGGCCGGTGAACATTGGAAATGATGGGGAGTTTACTATAGAGCGACTTGCTGAGCTTGTTATCGATCTTGTTTCGCGCATGACGTGCCAACCTCGAGTTTCAATTTCGCATCTCCCACCACTTGTGGATGATCCTGCCGTTCGTCGACCGGATATTGCTTTGGCGAGAGAGGTGTTAAATTGGCAACCTGTGGTTCAGCTGGAGGAAGGGCTGAGGAGGACTATTGAGTGGCATATCAATGAAAGCCGATCTGACTGAATGGTCGGGAGGACTATCTTCTAGGAGCGAAACTAGCACAAGTGCAAGTTTAATGGAGAAAGTCATTGATCTTTTATCCCGGGGCATCCTTTGTCCAGTCCCAAGAATTAGTGGACAATCACTCATGCGTAAAATTGACAAAAATTTATGAAGTCTCACCAAATAGACGGTCTCCTATGCAATTTCACGGTGCAAGTGGTCGGAGCAAGTGGTCGGAGCAAAAGTAGTCGATTGTTGGAAAAGCGTCCACATAGTTTATGTAGATTGTCTGCAAGCACTGCAGTAAACTTCTCAATTTTCTAGGTTTCCTCACCCTCGACATGGGGAAATCTTCGCCCATATGCCAGGGTGAAGACAGTACTGATAGCAGATCGACGAAATACCATCTGGAAGGATTTGCGTTGCGACTGTAAAAACTGGTCGGGCATGTAATGGTATTGAACGGCTCACTCAGTCTGAGCCCGGACTGACATTCACCCAATGAGTCTGACTTTGAGTCCCCTCATAGAAGTAGCGGCAGCTTAGATAGGGAACTCCGAGAAGTATAGCCAGCATGCCAACGTGGGTCCGACAAAGATTTCCTCTTTGGGATTAGCGTATAGCGGGCAAGTATGAGCTTCAGCGACGTGATAATGGCGGATTTCACCAATCACGGCGATAAGCTGGGTTGTGCTTTGAGGATATTTGTGCTGTATTATCAAAGTTTAGTTTTGGGTTATAAATTCCCTCCGCTCGCCCACCTGTTCCTTCTTCCATTCAACCACCATCACAGACTATTCAGTGACAACCACCTCAAAAATTTTTACTTATACAAAGATATCAAGCCCTAAGACATTATGGGAGACTATACACCAGATGTGGCAGGCACGGGGGTGCCAACACTTGCTGGAAAGCATGTCGAGGCCGCCGATGTCAAACCCCCAAGCGGGGTTCTATACCATCAGCTCCGCAGAGAACCCTTGAACATCGTTGGTGGAAAAGGCAGTAATCTCATCACTGATACTGGTCTGGAAATACTAGATGCAACATGCGGCGCAGCAGTCTCCTGCCTGGGCCACAGTGACGAACGAGTACACGAAGCGATCCTGGAACAGCTCAAGAAGATCCCTTACTGCTATTCCATGTACTTCACCAACAGCGCTGCGGAGAGTCTATCAAAGTTCCTGGTAGACTCCACCGGAGGCAAGATGTCTCGTGCTTATATTGTGAGCTCGGGTAAGGACCATCCCTACACTCGAACAAGTACTGTTGCTAACATCTCTGGCTTAATACAGGTACCGAGGCTGTTGAGGCCGCCGTCAAAATGTCTATCCAGTATTTCACAGAGTTACCGGCTCCTCAACCTCAGCGTGTGAATATTATATCTCGAAAGTCGTCCTACCACGGCAATACACTTGGGTCTCTTGCTGTTGGACATCATACGTCCCGAAGGAGGATTTATGAGAGCCTTCTGTCAAAGAATGTGCACCATATTTCACAATGTTACCCCTACAGAGGGATGAAGACCAATGAAAGCGTTGAAGACTACGTTGTGAGATTGGCTCAAGAGTTGGAAGACGAATTTCAAAGACTTGGTCCTGATACAGTCTGCGCTTTCGTGGCAGAGACTATGACCGGCGCTGTGCGTATAACTTTTCCTCGCCCCGTTGCCTACACTCGCTCACCTGTTTCAATAGACACTCGGCTGTGTGCCCCCATTGCCAGGCTATCTCAAAGCAATGAAAGCAGTCTGCGAGAAACATGGTGCCCTCTTGATCCTGGACGAGGTTATGTCCGGCATGGGCCGCACGGGAACACTCCATGCCTGGGAACAGGAAGATGTCGTTCCAGACCTTCAAACTATCGCCAAGGGTCTAGGTGCAGGGTACGCGCCTATTGCTGGTCTGCTCATTAACAAGCATGTCGTCGACACATTAAGCAATGGAACGGGTGCTTTCGTTCACAGCCAGACATATCAAGGTCACCCTGTTTCCTGTGCGGCAGCGTATAGGGTACAGCAAATCATTAAAGAGGACAATCTGTTACCGAATGTTCGTGCGATGGGCGAGTATCTGGGTCAGATTCTTCATGAGCGTTTGGATTGCCATCCTCGTGTTGGTGATATTCGTGGCCGAGGTTTATTCTGGGCAGTAAGTTCTTTCGCTGGCCATTTCTCTTGTGGTTGTTACTGACCCGCTCGTAGATGGAGTTCGTCCAGGATAAGGCGACGAAGGAGCCGTATCCGCCATCCAAGGCGCTTTCTTGGACTTTGCACACCACAGGCCTTAAGCCTGAATATTCGATTTCTCTGATGCCTGGAAGTGGTGGCATTGATGGTGTTAATGGTGATCATATTATTCTGGCGCCACCCTATAACACTACTCGTGCTGAGATTGACTTGATGGTGGATCGGACTGTCCGGGTCATTAAGGAGGTTCTGGGAGAATAGGGTTATTAAATTTGGCTTCACTGTATCTGATTGAAGGCTTGTTATCGGACACTCGCTATATCTTACATAGGGACTTAATCAACAGTCCAATATAACATGTTCGTGAACTGAAGAATCATGGCTTCCAGTATACGAATGTTCGGTCTAATACTACACTAGAGTCGCATATATGCTCAAATCACATAAGAACAAAACCTCGAAATGTAGAAAGACAGACGCGATGTATACTACGACATCCTTGATTGGTCGGCTGTTAGCATGTGACCGGCCGGTGTAGGGTGGAGATAAGCCTGGGAACCCCACTCACTCCTTGACAGTTACAGATGTCCTAGGCAATTGTTGGTGAGCAATCTAATGATTGAGATGCCACGAGGTGAGACATTCTCACGATCGCGAACTGGTATCTGGACTCATTACAGCCCGAAGAGCACGCGCTAATATACGCATGCTAGGATGTCTACAATGCCGAAAGAAACACAATAAATGCGATGAGCAACAGCCAAAATGTTCATTCTGCGCAGTCCGAGAATTAGACTGCAAATATCCGTCCAATATAAAATGGATTCAACGAACACAGCCTACACTGTCAAGACATAAACCTCGTCGCAAAGACATCCGAATCGCAGAACTAGAATCACTAGCTCGTTCTCCGGCGCTGTTCGCAGATACGTGCTTCGAATCCACCGAAGAAAAGTCTGCATGGGAATACTGTATGTGCCCGCATTTAAGCCAAATCAAGTATCAGGCCTGATCAAGATGATCCACCAGACGTGAGGCTCGTTTCATCGAATGTCCCAGCGCTAGACGGACCAGACAACCCTTACCGACAACTTTCCATCCCAGCTCTATCATCCCCCATTCTCCTCGAGACAATCATCTGCATAGCAACAGAGCATATGCTAAATTTCGGCTTAACAAGCGTTGATCTTGCCGCCCGACGTCAGCAACGAATGCTAAGAACCCTGGGACAAAACCTGATCAACATAGATGCAGAAATCAATAGCAACCCGGCAACCATTCCGACAGCCAACAAACCCGAAAGAGAAGCCCTTCTCACAGCCGTCGTCCTACAAGGAATTGTGGTCGCACAAACAGCGGATGGTGTCCTGGAGCCCCATGTCAAATGCGCCTCTTGGCTGATGCAAGCACTGGGTTACTTCGCAGAAATACCACAGAACCCCATCGCACGCATGATAGTCCAACGCTTCGGCATGGTCGACCTAATGCTAGCAATATCCCGACAGCGTAGACCATACGCACCGCAAACCTTCATCCTTAATCAACCAAACCAAAACCACTGGGACACAACCGAGCCATCATTTCATAAAATGACAGGATGTCCACAGCCACTAATGTGCCTCCTAGTCCGAATATCACACCTGGCATGCGACATGAGCGAAAACCTAGAAACTGAAGCCGGCACTGAAGCCACTATCCTCGCCGAGGCATTCCAACTAGACAGCGAACTCCGCGCATGGGGCTCCGAATACATGTACAACGGCGAGATCCCAGCGGCGTGTGAACGTACACCGTTGGACATCCTAAGTGAATGTTTCTATTGGACGGCGCATCTTTTACTTGCGCGCCGCGTCTTCCGAGACCAGACCTGCTCGCTGCGGGTACAGCATCTGGTACATATATGTTTCGGGTTGATGGATCATCTCTCGACGGGGTGTGGACCTGATTCGTCTTTGCCGCAGCCATTTTACCTTGCGGCGAGGGAGGCTGTATCACCCGAGGATCGGGCCTGGGTTCGGCGGAAGCATGAGTCTATGACAGCGTACTATCGGGAGCAGCAGCGGAATTCGGCTATGGGGCTTATTGAACGAATTTGGGAAGTTACTGATTCGCTACGGGAGGCTGAGGGTGGGGCTGTGAGATCTAGTCGGAGTGAGTTGTCTATTGTTGATAGGTATGTTCAAGCGCTAGATAGAGGGTCTTGTTTCTTTATCTTTTGATGGCTGGTCCGAAGCAATAATGTTTTTTATGTGTACAACAGGGGTCGTAAATGTGTACACAGTGTCATGAAAAGTATTGGACAGACTCCACACGATAAAGCCGCAAAGAGAGTTTACCGTCTCATGCATTGCTTTCGCCCTACTTTGGCCTCTTTTTTGCCACCCCTTTTCGTACATTTTCGAGTCCCTCGGGTTAATTCATATAGATTATTTATAGATGCGCGTATGAAAAGACTTACAACCTATGACTATAATCGGGATTGACGTGTGTCGACGGATGACAGGGGTACCCGGTTGGTGATCCCGGTAGCTTGCATGTCAATAATGGCGGATAAAGTCATTTTTGAGCCGGATGATTACTGCATGCAGTAGCCAAAGCAAAATAAAGTGAGGCACCACTAGACCGAAATGGCTGGAACGAGGCGAGCGTGATCCTGGAAGGTATACGCAATCGCCTACAATTAGTCGATATACAGGTTTTACAAAGATGTGCTCACAATTGTTCTCCTGAGTGCAGAACTCGGAATTGACGGAAGACGCACGGCCGTTCATAGTTCAAGCCAAGACGAGACAAATTCAGTCTTGGTCTGGACCTGTCAAGTCTTCTTGGCCAATCATAATCAACACTGAGGCGGGTACCTGAATGTTTCTCCTCTGGTGGTCCACGGAACTGCACGTGTAACTCCAAGCTTATTGGCTGAGTTCACTGGATCAGCCCCTGGAAGTGTGTGGCGCTCAAGGGAAAATGTGTTGGGAAAGACTCTGCCAACATTGGCCAGGTTGTCGTGGCTGTCATGGCTGTAACAGGTAAGATATGTTTCGAGTGTCGCTCTTGTTTCCCCTTCGATATGCAGATTGCCCCCGATCGAGCGACGATAAACAGTGCCGGTGTTTCAGATTCCCCGCGGATCTCACGTGGATGCCGTTCGGCGGCATTTGGCGACGATCAAGCGATGGCCTGTTTCCCTTTGGTTCGACGCCACGGTTCCCATGACAGGTTTTCCCCTGGAGGTCGCACCGGTGCAGGACACACAGTCGAGTAAGGAGAGTGCGCTGTACCCCTCAGACAATGGAGGCTCAGGCTGTGCCCTCATTGATCGAGACCTCCGTGACGGTGTGTGGGCACCTGCAGGCTCTGACGCAGGGGCCAGAACCCAGGACCGTTGTCTGTTCAGTCCACAGTCGCTTTCCACCCAAAGGAAAACAGCACGATGACCTCTGGTACAGAGCGTAGAATCCACCATAAAAGAAAATAGGCAATTCGAGACCCTGAGAAAACAATGGGGCCTCGCTTGTGCCCCACGAGGTGCCAATAGTGTAGCACCTTTCGACCCAAACACCCGTAGAGAAGTTTGGTCCGGTTCTCCATGCGTAGTCAGCATCTCCTGATCCTCCTCTCTTTGGGCTCATCGCATCTCTTACTCTTCTCCATTCCACCCATTCTTTTCTTTTTCGCTAGGTCGTTCGTTTCATTCTTTCACGACGTCCGTACCGCTCTTTACACTCTTTCTCTTCCCTCGCGAACGGCTGTTCCCCCGTTCCCGCCCGTTGATCGATTCAACCAGGCATTGCGATTTCTCTGACTTCATCAATATTTGATCGAGGTCTAGGATTATATCTCTGCCCTTCCTTATCAGCTGCTTTGGCCAGCCTTTTATTTATTCCCTCATTTGCTGGACGCCTCTGCGACGCGCCCTTACCCAACCACCTCCCAGTCTCTGACGTGGACGCCCTCGAACGCGATTTCCCTACGCCAGAACATCCATTCATTTTAAACCACCACTTGAACTCTCGCGCCTGAGGCTGCTACGAGAGGAATAAGTCTTGGAAGTCCATCCACCCTTTTTCGTACATCCATCCCATCACTTGTCGGCCGGATCGTCACACTTCCCACCTTTTCTTTCCGAAAAAACCACTATATACGCATCAAAAAAAAAGCATATTCACATTGACTACGAGTTTGAATTTGTGTCCTAGTATATTTCTTACGTGGCACTTTCCGTTATGTCTTCGTTGACAGACATGAATTACCCGCCGAGCGCAAATGCACCCATGGCATCCTCATCCTCGCCTCCTGCCTCCACGCCCTCTCCTTCAACTTCGAGTGCCACCACGGCCCATTCGTCTGCCGCGCGCCGACCTCCGCGCAAGAGCACTTTGACTCAACAGCAAAAGAACAACAAACGCCAACGGGCTACCCAGGATCAACTTGTCACTCTGGAAGTGGAATTCAACAAGAACCCTACCCCCACTGCGTCTACCAGAGAGCGCATCGCCTCAGACATTAACATGACCGAGCGATCTGTTCAAATCTGGTTCCAGAATCGGTAGGCCTATCCTCGGAATCAATTGTCTAATTTCAGGTCGCTAACCCAAGATAGTCGCGCTAAAATCAAGATGCTGGCGAAAAAGAGCATCGAGACCGGTGAAGGATGCGATTCGATCCCTGAGTCGATGCGACACTATCTCGCGATGCAATTCGACCCGAACAAGCCCGGTGCAAGAGATCCCTTTGGACGTGCGGGCGCATACAGTGCGTCTAACATGTACACAAACGATGCCAACCCCTCTGGCAAAGTTGGTATGTAATCGGTTTGAACTCGGTGCTTTTCATCTGCTGACAGTCTCAGTGATTTCTCACTTCACTTGCCGTTCCTTGACCGTCGGAAGTTGGCGGCGCATTGGACAGAACGCCATGGACTTGGTCGTTTTCTACTCCCCCGATAAGGCTTGCATGACATACTACATCAACAACGATGCCGCCGGATATAAGATCGAGTACCCTTTCTCATACATCAAGAACATCACTTTGGAAACCGGTGATCCCTCTCCTGGTCCGAACGGGGCACCCCCTCGGCCAGGTGGTCTTGTTGTGGAACTGAACCGCCCACCGCACTTCTACATGGACTCATCCAACTCTGGAGGTTTCTACCAGTGTGGTGATTTCACCGAGGAACAGCAAGCCAGCCAGATCATGGTTCATCACCTGGGAGGCCACCCCAAGGTCTTGAGCGTTCAGCTCGCCAAGCTGGTGTCGTTGGAATCCTTCCAGAACCGTCTGGCTTATAACAACAACAGCTTTGCTGTGCCTGATGCGCCAGCTGCCATGTCCCCACCTTTCATCCAGCGCCCAGCCTCTCAACCCAACCAGTTCGCCGCTCCCACTTACATGAACATGTACCAGGACAGCAACCACCTGGGCTTCAATATGCCTGCGGCTCGTGGCCACAAGCGCCAACGAAGCCGTTCAGTGCCTGCTGCCGTTGATATCTCGACATTCCAGAGTCCCATGGGTTCCTTCCATGTGCCGCCACCACCTCCGCCTCCGTTTAACCACACCGAGGCTGGTATCTACGCGCCTGTCCCGCAGTCCGTGCACCATCTTCCCACCGACTTGCGCATCGACACCCAAGGATATGGACTGGATTTCCGGACTAATCCTATGTCTGCTACCACCACTGGCTCGCCCCCTGAATTTGCTAGTCCAATGTTCAGCAACGCTGGCCAGGGCGAGTCAACGCCAGTCGCTAGCATGGCTCCTCAGTTCAATGTCCCCTATGTCTCAGGAGGCTCAACCGATGCCTCAACCATGGGCTCCCACGCACCTTCCCCCTACTCCAGCGTGAGCCCTGCGGACCCATTGATTGCTAACCACTCGCCGCCACTGTCCAACATGTCGCACGGTTCGTCCGACATGTACAACTTCTCGCATGATCAGCAGTCTGGCTTCGATGATGGACTTTCAATGAACGATATGTACTCGAAGCACCAGGTCAACTTTGGCATTTCTCATGAGAACTCTAGCTTCGAGCTGCCTGTGCATGGCCTCTCTGCCCACCCCTCTCCCGGCATGGGTGACTACTCCCACGACATGACCAACTTGGACGAGATCAACTCACAGGGCATGCCAACCGGGTCATGAAAGTGTCAGGGCTTTTAAGTTTGTGTATCTCCTTTGTCTCTTGATGTTTCACGGCCTTTTTTGGAGTCCATGCGGCGCTTATGCTTGTGAATGGGTTCTTTTTGTTTCACCTTTGGAGAGGTTTCTTAATTGGCCATTGCGGTCAGCCGTGGCGTGTCTTTGGGTTTGGCAAAGTAAAGAGCCAAGCCCATAGATATTGTCCCTGGCTATCCTTTGGTCAATTCTCGTCTCGCTGGCGATGGCTAGGGAAGCGATTTTTGGTTCTGTTTCTTGCGTGACATACCCTTGTGTCTTGTGTTATTAATACCCTTTCGATTCTGGGGCCGGTCCTGAAGCGATTTTTGTGCTTTACTTTTATTTCTCTATTCCCGGCTGTCCCGGTCGAATTCAGATTTCTTCTTTGTCTCCCGGTCATTTTCCTTCTCCCTTTTCATTTGATTTACTGACCGTGATTTTTCTTCACCTTTTTCTTTACGTGGTTATGCCAACAGACCGACTTGGACGGCGACTCCATTCCCCTCAACTGTTTCGTTTCCTTTTTGTTCTTTTTTGACCTTCTTGTGGTTACGGCCATTCTCCTTATCATGGGTCTGGAGTCAGTTTTTGCACATGAGCTTGTCCCGTCGGTGCCTGTTTGGTTCTGACAACCAGCCAGCCAGCGCTACTCCCGCGGCTTGCACGGAGTTGTGATATCTTCTGTGCAGAGCTCTCGATATAGGATGGTGTTGGTCTGGTGGTATACGAGTGTGGGGGATTGACACTAGGCTCTGAATCAATTCATTTTGTTTCGCAATGTTTCTCGTAGACTGTACACGGGAGACTATAGCCCGAGTAGCTGTATCATGTTACTATTATACAAGGGTATCTTGATCTCGAATATACCTCCCCAGTTCAGCTCTCCCATACCTCCCACATCTAGTCCAACATATGTCCAACCCAACCCCAAAGCTCAAGTCTCAAACCTCCTTCTTACTCTCCTCCCATCCCCGAGGCACAGGCGCCGTATACCCCCACCCCCTCAAAGCCCCCTCAATCCAAACCTCCATCTTCTCCAGGACATTCCTGGCAGGCTTCCCAACCTCCCCAACCTCAAATACCCCCTCCTTACACCAAACACTCCAAGACCCCATCATCCCGGCCATAAGCACATCAGTCCCCAACCGATCACCAACAACAGCAATCTCGCCGGCATCCTTCACAACCCCCCGATCCCGAAACCAAGCAACAACCTCCTCCCCACAGAATGGCTTCTTGTCCGCGCCGGCAGGCAATCTGAATACGGGGATTTGGAGATGCTCCAGCTGCGCTTCTAGCTCGCGCACTTCGTTGTCGAAAGTTGCGTGGCTGCCGGCGCGGTTGGAGACTATCAGGATTGAGTGTGGGCTTTTGGTTTGGTTGAAGGGGGATGTTGCGGAGGTGCGAAGGGTCGTTAGTTTGTTCAGGATTTGCGGTGGGAAGGTTGTTGTTTTTGCGGGGCAGAGGGTATTATCTTTGTCTAGGACTAGGGCGCGGATCGTTGGTGTGGGTAGTGCGGTTGTCGGGGTTGAGGTTGAGGTTGATGGTGGTTGTTTGAGGAGGTGCTGGCCAAGGTTCTCGGGGAGGTGGGTGATTGTCGGGATTGTTAGGTGTGGGAGGAATTGGGTTGGTTGTTTGAGGAGGGTTTGCACGGCGTAGTTGAAGCCGCGGAGGTTGGAGTTTGGGGAACCGGCCATTGTAACGTTGTTGTTGGGAGGATGTGTGGAGTGAGGCTGTAGACTGTTGTATACAGAGGGAGGTGGTGTGAAGGGTGGTTGTGGGGGCTATAAACTCATATTGTGGTGGAAGTAGAGGAATATAAGTTGTTGGTGAAGTTGATGCGTGACCCAAAGCGGAAAGGACGAGCTTAGCCGCAAAACTCACCTTCCGCCAACCTCGAACCTCCTCCATCGTCCCACCATCCCCAACGCCTCATTGACCTGCTCTGTCCACTTTCAGTTGTTTAGGACAGCTGCCGCCGAATATTGTCGTCTTCGCAAAACCTCTTTCGAACCCCCGCCGCACATTCTCCGTCAAAATGGGCAAGCTCACCAGCACGATCGGCATCCCAATTAAGCTCCTCAACGAAGCGCAGGTGCGTTAAATCCCCCGAATCGCTGTCAAATTATCTGTCGAAGGAACAAAACATGGAACTCAAGGACAAGAGCGACAGCATGGATAGCGCGAGACAGCGCTGACTTCAATTTTCAAATAGGGCCATGTCGTGACGCTCGAGATCACATCCGGTGTTGTTTACCGGGGGAAGCTTTTGGAAGGTGCGTGATCTCATGTATTCAGGATGTTTCCAGTCCGATTTCCGGATTGGAGCCTCGGGCTGCGAAACAGCTCCTGTGATGTCCATGTCCATGTCTCCCTCAGCGCGGGTCGGCTCATTACTGACATTTTTCTTAATTAGCCGAGGACAACATGAACGTCCAGCTCAAGGATATCACTGTCACCGCTCGCGACGGTCGTGTCTCGCATCTCGACCAGGTGTACATCCGCGGCAGTCATGTGCGATTCTTCATCGTGCCAGACATGCTGAGGTACGTTTATGCCATACCCTTTGCATCGCAGTCTCTTTACCGCCATATTGCCATATTGCCATACTGGAAACTGCACATTGTTTCAAGTTACTGACTGCTTATAGAAACGCTCCCATGTTCCGTTCACGAGGCCAGCGCGGGCGCGGTGTCGGTTTGGCGCGTGGTAAGGCCACAGTGCAGCGTGCGCGCGGCCAGCGCCGGGGTTAAGTGTTTGGAGAGCGCAGTTTCAAGACCTCACCGATACAGAGTGGTTGGCGTTTTTCTTTGTTGTTTTCTTGGTTAGGGGAATTTTTCTCGGGCTTCTTCGGTCTTGCTGAGTCTTAAAATACTGGCATTTCTCCTTGTGGGATTTTCGTCATATCACAAATTCAATTTATGAATCAATACCCTATACTATCTCTTTCTACCGTATCAATGCCTGGGAGCAGTATGAGAGCGACCTCTCTGAAGGGCATACATAGTCTTTGCCTAGCGATAGCTACTTTATGCCCTCATGTATTGTCAATTAAAGTCAAGCAACGACAATATGTGTGAAACGAGTGTTCGTACTCGCTTCACGAAACATACGAAGCTGCTTCATAGTATATGTACGTGTAGTTGATAATCTGACGACCACTCCGCAACTTTTTCTCCCGATGCGGGGGACACTCACCTTCAACACCAATTCCCCCAATGGACTAAACCAGCTTCGATTCACCACCAAACAAACCTCAATTCAACAACCAGGCCCTTCAAGAGTCTCCCACGATGGCCTCTTCACCCCCAACAAACCCCGCAACAAGTGCAAAATCCACCCCAAACGTCAAGACAATCTCCAACCCTCGCCGCCTCCTAATCCTCTCGCCAACCTCCCAATCCATCTCAATAATCCCTCCCCTCCTAACCTCCCTAACCGGCACACCCATCCAAAACCCACCGCAACAAAACACAAAAACAAACCCGCCTGATGATGCATCACCGAACCCCGAAACATCACCACCAACCACAACCACAACCACAACTACGTTCGCCGGCTACACAACCCATGCCCCCCTATCTCTCTCAACAAAATACTACACAGCCGAGATCCCACTCTGGGTAGATGAAATCCCCCTCGAAACCACACCCCAAACCTCCGAACCAGCAACAGAAACAGCAACACCAACAGCAGAACAATGGAAAACAGAATTCCTAAGCCCAGAAGCTGAAATCGTCCGCGATGCAGTCGGTGCATTAGTCGTATGCGTACATACTCCACACATATCAAGCGCACCAGCTCCGAATCCGAATCCAGATGCAGATGCGCAAGGAGACGCAGACCCGGCTAATCGTCCTGATGTCCGCGCTCTGCTTACGCTAATGCGGAATATTGGAGCTGTTAAGGAGCGGATTGATGAGGAGAGGGGTGGGGTTGGGGATGTTCCTGGTGTATTTGTTTTAGTTGGGAAGAAGGGTGTATCATCTGGAGTTGGATCTGGATCTGGATCTGGGTCTGGGTCTGGGAACCGCGATGCAGATGAATTAGCTCTTGGTGTTGATGATGGTGATCTTGGTGGTGAAGATGTAGCCCCGTTCTCGGTTGGGTGGTGGGAGGATCAGTTTTATGATATTGGTTTGTTGGGGTGGGAGGTTGTTGAGTGGGATCCTAAGGGGGAGGAGGGGGAGACGAGGAATATGTATGGAGGTGAGTTGCTTTACTGGTCCTTTCTGGGGGGTTGTTTGGTTATGGCTTTTTCTTTTTGCTAACACTGTATCTCTGGTTAGAGCGAGAGGGCATGCCTCGTATCAAGGAGGTTCTTGAAACGCATGACTGGTCTGCGTCTGGTGGATCGGGCGGTCTTGGGTATGATGGAGAACATGATCCAGATATGGACTCTGAAGACGATCTCCAGAACCAATTGTTAGGTCTTTCATCTGGGCAGACTCGTGGGTTTGGGGATGAAGTCCATGAGTTGGAGCGCGAGATGTTTGGTTTGCGGATGGCTATTGAGCGGGGTGGGGGTGATGGTTTTGAAGATGAGGAGGAAGGCGGGAATGGAGATGATGAGCTTGATGTTGAGTCTATGGAGGCATTGATGATGCGCATGCAGGCTATTAAAGGTGTGTTTATGTCTTGAGTTGATATTTCGGTTTTGTTGGGGACCATGCTGACATGTTTCTTATCTAGATATGAGCTCTGAATTGCCTGAGGATCAGCGCAAACGATTTGCAGCTAAGGCTGTGCAGGATATCATGCGCGAGCTTTGATTATGGTGATATTAGCTGGACTGCGAGATCCATACCCTACGAATTGCTAGACTGCATAGAATAATCATGTTGCAATTATTTGAACTAATTAACGCAATTGGGCCGTCTTTATGTACTTGGCCATCAATTGGTTGACATCAAGTCTTTTGATACAGGGACCTTCTCTGCCGCACATAAGTATGAAGGGCATGATATAGGTCTTCTCCTTCATAACACATCACTCAGAACACTCCTCCCCCCCTTTTATGGTAATCTGTTGATTTTGCTGACAAAACCACAAGTCGATTGTGTTGTTTAATCAACACGCTTCTTACCGCGCATGACCTTGCGGCGCTGAGCAATCATGTGTGTGTACAGAATGTAAGAGCCTATAAGACAGTCAGTGATGAGCGACAGTAGAACTAATCAAGGACGGCGCCAACATACCAGGAATATAGATCGCAAGAATAGCACTCAAAGCCATGCGGAAAATAGGGTGAATCTCTCCAGCAGGCCCAAGGGCCTTGATAATGAGAGTGCACTCGCTAGAGATGCCAATGGGGTAGAGAACATAGAAAGTGTTATACCTGTATCAATCAAACAATCAGTAAACTTAAGTCGTGCCACCAAACCACAATAGAAAAAAAGGGAAAAGCCATACCGCAACCACGTCCACCAACTAGGAACCGCATTCCCAGAAAGCGTAATAGCAAAAAACCCATAACGAATAACCTCGGTAATTCCCCAAGCAGCAACACAACCCAGATAAGCATAATCACCCAGCTGAGTACTGCGCGCACCAACAATCTCCCCACCAAACTGCGCCATAATGCCCCAAACCAGCAACAGCCGACTAGCAACCTGCATAGCAGTCGTCATGACTGGTGCGCGCACAAGCCCAACCAGACTATGCACCACCTCCAGCAGGGCCAGTGACTGTGTGGCTAGGAGCAAGGGCGAGAAGGTTAGGTTGAAGATGTTCGGAATGCGGTTTGTTGACACATGGGCCGGGAGGAGGGTGGCCGTGTACACCAGGCAGGTGCCCCAAGTTAAGAGGTTCAGGGCATTGTAGGTAAATAGGTAGGCTCTCGTTAGGCCTGTGGGCGAGGAACGGGGATTTGGTGTGGCCATTGTTACTGGTTTGCTGTGTTGTTGGTTTGGTTGGGAGTTGGGACCTCAGGTGTCAATCTGGACCTCGGGAACGGACTAGAGGTTATGTAATCATTCTGGAAGATCGAAAGTGGACCTCAGGAGAAAAGTGTAACTTTGTGTGTTTGGCTTTCATCGGATGTTTGACATATGGTATTTGATGTTTGATCTCTGATGTTGATCTCTGTATCTGGGCTTGGCGGTTCCCTCGGTTAGAGCGAGAGACCGCTGGATAGTCACCGTTCGTTAAGAGGTCAGCCGCATCCATTAGACCATATGGCTTTGTTCATTGGTGCCGAGTATAGTCCGTGACAGGGATGTTGTAGCCGGGAGCAATGACCCAAATGTCGACAGTCTTTGCCGAAGGGATATGTTCGGCCCACATCCCTGCAGAGAACTACGGCTAATCTGGTTAGGCGCGCTAGGTAATTGACTACATGAGCCGATACCCAAGCGGAAGCCTTCCTTTAGGGGCGTTCTTGGCTGAGATGCCGGATGCTGACTCGATAGCCTCGTAGTGTGTGCATGTGTGCATGTACCACTGCACGATCTAGTCCAAACTATCGTTGGGGGCGTCTGTCACCTCGTATTGCGTGACGGGGATTACATATACTGCACAGGTGTGTCTGACTTGACTGGTTTTGGGGTGTTGTCCGAGACTGACATCGGGGTTGTGGTCTGTTCCTCGCACTTGCATTGATTGTACCGAGATAGGCACGCACTTGGGCCCAAGATAGGAATGTGCTTAGATATACATGTACTGTAGAATTGTGGATTCCCCCACCCCCACGTCAGTCAATAGCCAACAGTCAACATGTGCGTGCTCCATCGTCTCGCTTTTGATACTAAATTTGGTGTTCTTCCACGTTGGAGTGTGGGCTCTATACTACGGAGTATAGCCGCAAGTGGAGCGACACACCCACTCGTGTCTTGAAACTAAGACATGTTACACTCAGAGTATATAAGCTGATATCCTTGGTATCCCTATCCATACGCCTGTAGTCCGTATAACATAGCATTCCCTTGGAGTATATGATGACGTAGCGTAAACAGTAATTGCCGTTACGGGCGATGACATCAGAGGCTGGCAAATCCCCACTCTAATGATGTCATGGCTATGTTAGCCAGGTCTGATTGGAGCAAAAAGGGTTTGAACCAACCACTTCGCGTGCAAACCAGCAAAAGGCACGAAGATGCACAATTGCCCCATTTCTATATAAGTAAAAGAGATGGCTGCGATGTGGGCATTTTGTAACTAGCATTGAGTCCAGCCTCCCGCCAGCCACGGGAACAACCGAAAAGGAAAATCGCAAATCACCTGCCATTGGCAATACCTCAGCAGACAACCGCCCCCTTTCTTGACAAAGGATCCGTGGAGCCTTCAGCTCTACGTCAGATGCGGTTCACCCATACAACACACATTCATTTCTTGGAAACGGTCCTCGGGGGCCCAGACCTGATCAGGTTCCTTATAGTTCCCCTCATGATTACGTGCTAAAAATTTTGCGAAGAGAGATATCTTGTCTCAGAGGTTGAGCGGAAGTTCAGCTGGTGGATCTCTAGGGAGAAAACCTTTACTGTTTGACCTCCGTACAGTATACAGAGTCCTCGTCTTTGTGTGACAGGGCTACAATGACGTTCCTGGGATCGGCTATGATGTCGTCCCGTATAAGCATTTACGGTCAAAATGTGTTCTTACCCTATTCCCCACCATAGACGATAGGTGGGCAATTCATTTTTATTCTCTCAAGTCTGTGACTATGAAGATCGTGAAGCTAAGATAATAAAGATAGATAAAAATGATGAGAATATAGAAAAATGCTAAGTTATAAAATACTCTCAAGTTGCCGATTCCATACCCACCTAACGTTCTCCGCCCCTCCGTTTCTCTCTTTTCCCCCTCTCAACTTCTTCCACCCCCTTTCTTCCTGTCCTTCTCTTTCTTTTCTTTGGAGCTTCATCTGCTCAATCCAAAAACAAGGTAGGATTTCCAACTTACCATTCTGTGCTTTTTCCCCCCACCCGCCCTCCCCCTCTCCCCTGCTCTGGGACCCTGGCTTTTTCCGCGCTAGTGGCTATATATGCGAATGTTCGGGGCTCATATACCACACACTTAATCTCCCCCACCTCCTCTGATTGCCTCCCCTGTACTCCCCGGCTTGCGCTCACAGTAAGCTACGACCCTGCTGTCAGCCATACTTCGATCTCTCTGGCTGTGCCCCTCTTCCCTTGACCATAGACCCCTCCACCCTCCCCGCAAAATCCCTTACTACCTGCGTGCCTGGATCCGTAACACCCTGGCCTTGTAAGACAACATATGCGAGTGCTGATATTTGCGATTTCGACGTATCATCCTTGGATCTAACTGACACGGATTTGCAGATCCGCCTATCCCACCTGGATTGGGCAACAGATCGGAAACACGAAACAAGCGTTCCTTCCGTGATCGGCGTGTGCCACGTTCCTCCTTCATCTCTCTATATTCTCACACAGCGCACATCATGGCGCCAGCCGATGCCAAGAAGGCCGAGTCGGTAAGTGCTGTTGGTTTATTTTAAGTTGTGCTTCATGGACTGACGAGACTTGGCCAAGCAGGGTCCGCCCAAGCTATCTGATTACAAGGAGATCCTCGATGAGAGCACATTCGAACAGATCCTTGAGATGGATGATGACGAGGAAGACCGCGATTTCAGCAAGAGCATCGTCTATGGATTCTTCGAGCAGGCTGAAAACACCTTCAAGAAAATGCAGAAGCAACTGTGAGTTGCCCGTCTTCATCATTTTCAGTGAATAATGGCTAATACCGAACAGAGACGAGAAGAACCTTAGCGAACTCTCCGCTCTTGGTCACTTCCTCAAGGGTTCATCTGCCACACTCGGTCTGGTCAAGGTCAAAGATGGCTGCGAGAAGATCCAGCACTTCGGCGCCGGCAAGGACGAGACAGGCAGCATCGACGAACCGGATAACGAGGTCTCTCTCAAGGCGATCAAGAAGACCCTGGACGACGTCAAGACCGCATACCGCAAGGTCGAGAAGCTCCTGCGCCGATACTACGGCGAGGAAGTGAAGGACGAAGAAGAAAAGAAGCCCGAAGAGAATAAGGAGGAGAAGAAGGAGGAAGAGAAGAAGGAACAGAAGAAGGAAGAGAAGAAGGAGGAAAAGCCAAAGGAAGAGCCCAAGAAAGAGACCAAGCAAGCTTCAGCTTCGAAATAGGTCATGGTCACGGTCATGCGGGCTGGTTGATATACCTCCCCCTTTTTCTTTTTAGCGACGGATGGAGCATGGCACACGGCTTTTTCCTTTTCATCATCTTTACCCTACCCTCTTCCATTCCCTTTGCCTTTACCTTTACCCCTAACCTCGCCCTATCATATCCTTTCCTGTTCCCTCCTATCCTTTTTGAACCTGGCTTTTTTCTGGCTTTCTTGACGTACATAACCGATTCCCCGCCATCTTTTTCCTTTCTCCTGGCAAACGGGTGTGGACCGGATATTCCTGGTCTGTCTGTCACGTAGGTGCAGGCGCGAGAATCGTGACGATTCCGAGGAGTCTTGGGCAGTACCGAGATATGGAAATCCAAATGGCTCTGTCTCGCTCTGCTTCGTTGAATTGTTAGGCAGTGTGTAGTCATGGTTTGTAGATTGTAAATTGCAAGGAGAATGAATAAGGAAAATGGTTTCCGGCCACCTGGGCAGGACTGAAAGAAAGCCACATGCGAGCAGAAACAAAAGACAACGTTCAAATGTAAAAAGTCCGGGGAACTAAGCCTCCTTATACTTTTATACATGTACAGTACAGTCGATCCTTAATCAATCTAAACCAAGCCCTGGACCCGGGTGGCGCCCTAAAAAGCTTCCCTCAGCCACTTGCGTGGGCCTGCGCAGATAAGCTTGATTCAACTTGTTCCTGGCAAGCCCGATCTGGGAGTGATGCCCGACCTAATCGAAGCTTATTTTCGATCGATGGGGTTTGGGGCTGGTTATTGGTTGTCTGTTATGTTGGTTTTAGTTCACTTGGGCTTGTTCGGTTTGGTGGTTTTTGTAGGTTGCATCATTTCGCATTCAATCTATTTCTTGTGTATTTAGATGCGATTGGTTTTTCTTATTGAATGTATTTATTTTCGTTGGTTTCTTTTCTTATGCTCGTGTGGTAAGAGTCTTATTGTGCTGGGAGGGGTGGTTGCATGGCTCTTTCTAGTGTCAGGTAGGTTGTATACTTATATGTACGTATAGAGCTCTATTGCTGTATCTGCGCTTGTAGTCGCATTTGTATAAGGACAGAGAGTTGTGGGCGGATACCGACTTACTCGTGTATAGGTAGAGCATTGAGCTTGGATGAAGGTACAGCGCCGGTTACATTTAGATGCACTCTCGTACTATCTTCAATTGCGGAAGTCCTTGTGGCTAAATCCATCTAGTAATGACCCGTCGTCCGCAATCAGTGGACAGTATAGAGGGCAAACAATCTAACGAGGTGTCTGGCACGGTCAATAGACTAGTCTCTTAACGGTTGTGAAAGCATGCAATTGTAGCCTCGGAAGTATGCATCGTCCAGATAGTATGCATTGACTGGATCGCACCTCGTGTACTTATGTCAACTTTGTTGAAGCAGGTGAAAGGAAAGACAACAATGAAAAGCCTGACAGCTCAGAGATTGGAAAGTCGATACATCATTAACCCCTTCACGTCCCTTCTAATAAATTGAAATTAGTTTAACCCCTAGCCAGGCTAGCTTCGCGCCACCGTCAAATTTTAGATCTCGAAAGGCAATCCATCACACGACAACTCAATATGATAAACCGAAACCTACATCGAAGTGTCTAGACCTGTCTTTGACTCGCCACATTGCCTGTCCTCAACCTTAATCACCAACTTAACACCAAACGAGGCTTGATACATCGCATTGCACGGAATATATCACAAACAGAACCGGAATCGAGTGAAGCTGTACGTACTCTACGTCCTGTACTCCCAAGTCCCCCGCAACGGAAGCAAGTACGCGCCCAGAAGGCAATGTCCTAATGTTAAAATCCGAGACGCAATAACTGCACCGTTTGGAGTCTCGGTCTGTCGAGACTACCAAATTGCATCCTGGCCCGGTCTAGTCTGGCTGGTCACACAGCAGACTCGAAGGGCGTTTTTTCCTGCAGGATACCCGGAGGCCAAAACCGACGGATAGATACAGGGGGCTAGTTCATCTTTAATTCCCACAATTAGGGGTTAGTTATTCCGCAGGTGCTAGTTTAGTCTCAGAAAGCCTCGATACTATTATATACGCAATATGACCTCTCGGGCTCGAGCCCTCTCCACACGCCTGCACAGTATCCGGCGCACGTCCTCGGCTATATCTGCATGTTCCCATTTTATTACAATCACACTAAGCTCTCTCTCCTCTCTATCGTCCCCCTCACGGAAGTGTACTGGTGCGTGGCTATGAGACCAGCCACCAGACCTACAGTACTGTAGATATACTTACCTCTCCCGTTGTAATATAGATCTGGGCGTGTACATTTCCACCTGCAAAGCTAAACCTCGAAAACTCCCTCTTCATGCATCCAAGCTACATATATCTCCTACCCGTCTGTCTCGGATAGCAGATTCGACCTCAAAATGCCCTCGGTAGGTACCTAGCCTGCCTATCGCCATTCGCACTCAGTCCTCGAACCCGGGTTTGGATCCAAGATGACTCTGTTTGTGATGTTTTGCTTGTCTCGACGGTAACCTTTCGACTGGTAGAAAGTGGCAATGGAAAATAGGCTTCGTACTACGAGGTACTAGTTCAAGTACCCTCTTGCCTTTTTGGCCCACTTCTTTGTCTGTCTCGCTATCCCTAGTCCTAACCCCCTAGCCCCTTTACTCTCTTTGACCGTCCCACTGCGACTCATGAGTTCCAGCTGCCCCAACAAATTCCCTATTTACCCAGCCAGTTGTGGAGATGTATCACCCACCCGGGGCTTGCACTCTGCACTGCAGTCAGCAGCTTGCGGTTTGCAGTGTGCAGTTTGACCTAGTCCGGGGTTGTATATCAACGGGTGGGCTGTGATCGTACACGTGCATTGTACAACCCCGAAAACGCAACGTAAATGCGACATAACATCTACTGCCGAAGAAATAATTTGTAGGCGCCAGAAAGGCGAAAAAGGCGAAAAAGGCGAGGAAACAGCCAACGATCTTACTGGTCTCCCAGCCTGCTTAGCCCTATGTATCAACTACCTACCATACTGCACAGTCTACACTATCCCCCGTCAATTACCTTAGCCATGCATGCAACATACACACATATCCGAAGGAAAGAGTAATCAGCGTATGTCTTAGCCTCGAACATATCTTAGCCTAGTCTTCTAGCAGCTAAGTCCAAGCTAGCCCTAGGAATAGAACCCCGGTCCTCGTACTCGTGCTCATATTCATGCTCGCGCTCGAGCACTCATCCTATCCTTATCCTCATCCTCGTCTATCTGATTGCCGGCTCCTCATTCCCCGCTTGTCTGATTGTCTCTGTCTCGCGCCTGGCCGTTCGCTGGCTCTGCCTCGTTCCGCGCTTTGGATCTGATTGCATCGGCTCATCGACGGCTTCGGATTTGTGCAATTAGTTTGGATTGGTTAAGGCTGCCAACGGCTCTTGGGAAGGGATGGGGAGGGTGGTAGGTAGATAGGTATTTGTTTTGTGGATGGACGGAGGGAGTCTGTTTGGACCTCCTTGGTCGTTGATATAAAGTCTTGACTTTGGCTCTGGTTATGGGGGTTCGTTCTTCAACTTCGTGGCTTTTCTTCTCTTGAATTTTGCATCTTGCATTTTGAATCTTATACCGCGTCCGGATTTACACTCTGTATTTGAGGCAATCTCCTAAATCCCCGTCAACGTTCTACCAAGATCAAGATCAAGGAATCCATCCATCAACCAAACAATGCCCGTCGGACCCCGAGTCTCCAAAGAAGAATTCATGCACGCACTGGGTCTAAACCCCCAAGATGTCCACCACGAGCAATACTACCGCGCCATGCGCGTAAGTAATCCAATCACCTACCTTCTCCCTCTAATCATATCCAATTCAATCCAATCCAATCTAACACTAAACCCACTTCCTCAGGACGAAGCAATAATGGTCTACAACCGCATGAATCAAGACACCTCCGACCTCCTCGACAACATCCGCGCAGACCCAAACACACGCCCGCCGTTCTTCTGGCACCACATCCGACCAGATCGACAGCGCTGGGCGATTCTTGAGATCTGGCGCAATGCAGCACCGCTTACGAGGCCGTTGTTTGATCGTGGAATTACCAATGGCGAGTATGGACCCAATTGGGTTGCTGGGTGGTTGTTGTATAGCGTCTTTCGATCGCGGGATGTGAGAAATAATCGGAATCGGAGGAAGGGGGAGGCTGGCGCTGCTGGGGGTGCGGTTGAGTCTGGTATGTACATGTATTCGTTTTGTTATTTTGGTATCCTTGAGTGGGCGTTGTTGCTGACTTTCGTGCGCTTGTTCTGTAGATAGGCGCTCTAGGCAGGTTGAGGAGACGGCGCCGAAGAAGTATTATGATCCTGTGCGGAATGGGACTTTGTGATTTTATTTTTCTTTGCTTATTTGTTCTTGGGTTGTGTATTATTCCTTTTTTGTCGTATCCAGTCTGTCTAATATCTATTGTTGCAATAATGAACCGATATGAAACGAGATCTTTAGTACAACGAACAAGTCTGTGTAGACTAAGGGATGATGAGAGAAGACAAGAAGAGAGACAGGACGATCAGTCGTCGTCCTTGTCATCCTTGTCATCAGACTTGTGCTGTTTGTTGTTCTTCTGTCTGCGCTCAGACTTGAGGACTTCTGTCACGCGCCGATCTTGTTCATCAGCACGCTCATTCCATTCGGCATCATACTCAGCAGCGATATTCTTGATCTCCCAACGAAGAGAGTTCCCTTCGTCAATCAAAGACTCCCACAACTGCAAGTCCACCTTGTGCAGTTGATACAGCTTCTTCTGTCTGGCACTGATCGTAAAATCTAGTGCTGACTTGTAAGAAATCTCACGGTTGTGATACAAGAACCACAGATAACCTCCCATCAAAGTAGACAAACTGACCAAGTAGGTCACCGGCTCCATGGTATCCCATCCCAAGTCAGTTTCAAACGTCAACTTGTAGACCGTGAACCACCAGACGGCAAGAATTCCAAATCCACCAATCGCAACGCGCTGAGCCCCCCGATGCGCCAAGGCGTCGCATGTCTCTTTAATTTCCGCCAATGTTTGAATCCGCCGCGAGAGCTTACGCAGCCGCATGCGCAGGTAGTACGTGCGTTCATTGAATGATGGTACTGCAACCCGGATCTGGCCAAGACCCGCTGGTGCACCCTCAATAGTAACGATGAACTCGCGCGCTCTAGCGGCGTCGCGGATGAAATCGCCTACTTCGGTGGCTTGAGACCAGCGCACGAACCGGTCTAGTTCGCCGTCCTCCGAACCTTCCGAATCCGTATTTCGCGGGTAGCTGTAAGTTTCTGCATCTTCATCCTGAGTACGACGACGATGGAAGACTGGCTTGCTGCCGATTGGCTTACTGCCGCCGACACCGTCGTTTCCTGGGACGAAATCTTTGATATTGATGTTGTCCGGGTGGTGTGCATCAAGGTCAATATCATCTTCAATCCTCTTTTTAGGTTTAATCGCGTTGTCTTCGTGCTGAAGTGCGATGAAGGATACTGCTGGTGGTCGGAGTTTGTCTGTTTCTCCTTTGATTGGGGGGAGTTCGGACTGGATCAGGCGTTCTAGGTAGGATAGAGGTTGTTGTGGGTGGACGAGAATAGCTATCGGTTCGATCTCTGTCGATAAATGAGTTGACTGGCCAATGCAATTGCAGGTAACTTTAGCTTACCTTTGTCATGGCCGGGATTTCCAACGATTGTTAACGGAATGATCAACTTGAAAAGTCGCGATGGCGTCGTCAACATTTTACCTATCCCCAGTCAGCATTAATAATCCCCGATGAAACCCATTGCATCCATGCCTTTGGTCATCCTTTCGGGCCATTCCTCCCCCTGTATCACAGACTGCTCGCCCTTGCCATCCTCACTGATAATATGACGCTGAGGCCGAGCCTCCTGATTCCCTTCTTGGACCTCAAATTTCTCCAAAAGCTCTTCCGTCTTCTGATTGTCGCCAGAGACTTCCGAATGGTCTGCTTGACTGAAACTCCTGAACTGACTCCACCCAAGACGATTAGAGGGAGCTGCAACGCATTGCGTGTTTTTGGCAGGTGATATCCCAGAGATTTGGAAACCATGATCTCTCCTTGAAATCAAATGAATGTGCCGTGTTGATAATCCAGACCCTTTCCCAGTGCAAGCGTTCCACCCCGCTGAGCCCAATCTCAACGAGGCATATGGGATCCCGCGTGATATCCGCCCCGTAGCTGTGGCTGCCGACACGATAGGGGCGCAGTGTCGTGCCGGGAAATGCATTTTGCAACGGTGGAGTTGTTATGCTACTCCGGTGGCTTATTGTATGTGCTTTTGTCGGATTGGAAGGAAACGACGGGTTATAGTCTGGGGAAACGGTATTTGTAAAGAGGCGCAGCAAGCTCAAGACATGACGAAGCGGCGTCTCGTGTGCACGTGGAGAGCAATTATGATGTATGGCGCTAAATGATAGTCCAAGCTATCGACTAGTCAAGATGAATCAGGTACATCTGGGCAGGCTGCAACAGCTACTTCCTTGGAAAGTCGCCTGACGTCACTGTGGCACAGGTGTCAACGTCCGTTGATTGTGGCTGATGCTGTGGCGGTGTCGGGTTCTCGACATGAACAACGCTTACTATTGGCCAGATCGCGACTGTGCAAGTCTTATCCAGTTCATGCAGCGTTTGGTCTTCACGCCCGTTGCAGGGAGTACCCTATCCTTGCTTCTCGAGTGCTACAAGAAAATCTAAGTCTTTCCAAGTGTTTCGGCTTTTAGAACTCATGCATGTTAAGGGATTTGTCACAGCTCAGATCATGTAAATTAGAGAACTACATTATAGCTCAATCTATTGCTTTTATTTTGCGGTTCCGTCTGCGATCAACTTCTCAACTAACTCTAGTTTAATTTCGATCTATGCAGGGTAGGGGGGTGATGCTCCGAGATTATATATATTTCACTGGACTGTCGGGTACGCAAGTAAGTACAAAATGCAAACAAGTCCTTCAGATAGGTTATAAACCCAAGATAAGCAGATGTATGTCCCCATTTTCCTTTCAAGGAATATCCCCGATATGAGATTTTTGAGTGTTGATGGGCTTCTCAATACTCGCCGCTTATACTTGACAGTCGTATTCAAACCAGACTTGGGAGCCCATGACATGATGAAGCATATTGTTGATTATTATTTTAGGTTAGTGCACAGCTAACAGGTGCTATAGACCATTAGAGTTACTCTGGATCCAAATTTCAAGTACATCTATAGTAATCAAATAGTAGTAATAGCATGTCTAGGAGCTTTGTCCATAGCCCTAACACAGAGAGAGAGAGATACGAGAGAGAGAGATACGAGAGAGAGAGATACGAGAGAGAGAGAAAGAAAGAAAGAAGAACTTATATAGTTGTAGCAGTATAATATCTGGAACATATCCGATTGGATGGAAGTCATCTAGCTCGCTAAAGATGGTATCCGGCACCACTCATAAGTAAATATCAGAATGCAAGAGAAAAGTCGACATTGATCATAAACTCATCGCTAACCACCGCAGCAACAAATAAAAAGCACAATTGGGAGATTAATCCCAATCCACCATCTAGATAAGCATCATTAGCCTGGGCATAATAATCATCAATGGCTATAGTAATAGTCACAGCCACAGCCAAGTACTCATCAACAAGAACAGCAGTGCAGCTTTTCCATCTATATAACCAAAAACAATCACAATCACAATCACATCATATCAAAAAAAGTGGTCATAAGAATCATAAAATCATAATCCACAATCACCACCACCACCATTCCTATCCCACGATCATCTCATCTCCCCAAGCCTAACAGGACTACTCCCCCCACTCCGACTACCACAAACCGATCCACCACCCGAAGACCCAGAACCGGACCCATCAATATCATGATCATGATCAAACTCCCTCCCATGCTTCCTCCCAGTCCCAATAGCAACCGGAATCCCCTGTACAACCCCGCCATGGTCATGGCCGGCCGGGTACATACCGTCATTCACAGAGAAATTGCGGCAAATCAGGTACGCGCGCATAGCGGCGCTTTCGCGCGCTAGTGTTTCGGATGCGTACACGGTGTCTGTTTGGTATTCGCGGTTGTTGACGCGTACTACGCATGTGTACCCGCTTGTGTTTGTGTAGGAGTTGTAGGTTGGTTCGGGCCAGTGGCGGCGGCGACAGAGGCCTGTTTTTTGTTAGTTTTTATTTTGTTTATTTGTTTGATATGCATGTGCATTTGCATTGCGTTGGAGTATGCAAACGCAATAAGATAGAATAGTGTTGGACATGTGTGTGTACGGTACTTACTCGTCAAGTAGAGGATATAGTACATCTTGAAATTTGGGACGGGATAATTGAGGCGAGGTGAGGCGGGGAAATTGGATAGGATACGATTGTGCGTAGCCGCTGTTGACTCTACGACGAATCGAATCGAATCGAGATAGGTATGTTACTCGGACTGCATTGGATAGATTGGGGTCTGCTGCGAGCACGGGACGCTAGCGTTGAGACTGAGGCTGCGGCCGAGACTGAAACTGGGACCGAAACCGAGGATGTCGGATAGGTGGAAGATGCTGTAGTATGCGGATCGGGATGCCCAACTGTCTAGCTGGTGCTGTGAACTTGTCTTGACTGGACTGGACTGGATTGGATTGGATTTGACTAGGCGGGAGTGCGTTTGCTGGCTGGCAGCAGTGGGGGATGTGTGTTGGCACTGGCGTACACAGTGTACTTTGGCACAAGCACACTGATAGCAGATAGCAAGTGGGCTGATTGAGAGGGAAGACGAGGAAGAGATTGGAAACTAAAATAAAAGCTTGACAAGGACGAAGATGCCACACCCATATACTATACTCTGTACAGATTATACCAAACCAAACCCCCGTACCGGGAAAAAATAAGAGGAATCTTAATGAGGGGGAGAGGCAATTGCTTCCATATAGTTAATTTACTGGAAAACGGGTGGGGCAATTGGCGTTGTAAAGTCATAGTATGAGTTGTCCAGCGTACACAGCAGGTACACACACATAGTTACGGTAAAGACGGTTGCAATTGCGACAGCGCACAAAAGAAGCGACAGTCGAAGCTGCAGACGACCTGAAGAAGGAAAAGATAAGACCAATTAAAGCAAAAGTCAAAACCCGATTTAATACCCACCGTGGAAACACTTGCAAACTTCGAGTACTGTGGGCATGAGGGTATAGTATAAACTACGGAATTGTCGATGTCAGTACAAAGTAGAAGACAATAACAACACATAGACCCGGGCACAAAAGCAGACAAGAAGGCAGCAAGAAGGTAGAAAATATAAAACAAAGAGCTCAAGGAACTGTACAGTTTACCCAAGTCCCGTTTCGTGGCCGGTTCGGCGGATTTAAGACTGATGCGCTGGCACGTCTCTTCGCCAGTAGATTCAAACCAAAGAGAGAGAGAGAGAGAGAGAACCGAGGGACAGGGGGTGAGAAGAATCCCCAATTCGCCGATGGATAGACTCGGAGACTAAGATGGGACCTAGAAAGACCTGCTGCAATGGCTGCAGAAAAGTGACGTTTATCTACTGTTCTGTTAATGCCCAGGATAGTGCTAGGAGGGCTATGGCCTCGGAGTTCTGTGCACAAAGTTGCGTTGTTGTTTTGCCCCGCAGTAAACGCATTAGAGAAAGTAAATTTGCCGCCCCTTGATATACATATGGAGACGCGCACTTTTCTCCAGGCGGTGATTGGCGAGGGGGAATGTTGTGCAGAAGAGAAACAAGAGTTAGAGGGAAATGCAGGAAGTTACTCGACAGGCATCGGATGCAGTGATGAGCTGGCATATGTGGGAGGGTGTTGAGTTTTATTTGATTGTTTTTGCCCTCTTGGGCCTTGTGCATGTGGCAAACATTGGAATAGATCTAAATATCATGTTTGCAAGAATGGAATGGAAATAGAATTGACTGCTATGACGATACGTGGGCTCTTTCTCAAACTCCCAGTCGTATATCCCTTGCGTCTTCTCCTTCGTATTTCCCATGTGACTTATCCGCGTGGCTCCCATGTTACTATGATCGCGGGGCTTGCAGTTTCTAGGATGACCAGGTCATGCATGAATAGGTTCGCCCAGAGCTCCTAGTTACCAATGTTGCGATCTACCACATTCACCTGGGTTTCCTCCGTGGCGCATGGCCCCGTATCTTCTTATTTCGGGTGATAATCCGTTTCAGGTCAGACATTGAGAGGCTGGGCTTCGGACCAGAGCCGCATTTTCTCCGCTGCCTTGTGTGGGATCACATACAGGGGATGCAAGGGTTCCAGCCGATCGGATTTGTCAAAGACATTGTCCTCGGCGCGACATGGGGTAGACTTCCAGGAGAATGCTGATGCAAACCCCCCGCTGGAGACACTCGAGTCTGTGCGGTAGTGGTTATGTTGGGTTGCGCTCAAGCCTGCCAGAACGTAGCAGGTATGGTATGAATCGACGTGTCTGGGGTTCGGTCAGCTACACCTACGGGAATTCTGCCATGGAGAAAGGGTTCCATACTTGCCCGGTTTGTCACGAAGACCTCCGGTGTGGCCTTGACAGCATCCAAGGATGTATCTTGTCAGACCTTCGCGACTGAATAGACTGCCCACTGGTGTTTCGGCGTTGCCCGGCTGTCCGTTCAAGGCCGACTCGAGCAAGGGCCAGCATCCTCCGACCCAATGGCTGTAGCACCCGTCTACTAGCTTGTTTGTGCGACCCGAAAGACCGCCCTCTGGGGCCGACTGGCGGGCAGAAAGCCAAGATACCAGCATTGGAATGTCCATATGTCTTAAAGGCTATTAGTATCCGATCAAGCATCCCGCCAGTAGTACTAACCTGTGGAATATCTCCTCTGGGGCCCCCATGATAGATAGACATGCCAACGCACAGAAAGCATAAGCGCCATGGGCCTCTGACCCAGGGCTTCCAGAGATTCCCCCTTCAAAGGTTTGGCCTAGAGTGATGTCAGCACTTTATCAACCAAGTTGATCCATCGACTCTTACATCGTGAGAGATACTGGGGAAGACCATGAGTCAACGTCTCCAGACCCGCCAGCCGCGCTTGAGAATCCGGAGGCAGCGTCAGTGGCAGGTCCAGTAGCGAGATGATCGTTATAGCGCAATACGCGCCTCTGCAATGACATGTCAGAGCCACGGATCCAGCACGGGGGACATATGAGCTGCATCTGCATCGGGCTTACCGCACATCTTCCTCCCCGCCTTCGCAAACACGAAAGCCCCCATCGACCTGCTTCAAGCGGCCCAGCCATTGCCACCTAAAAACCGGGTCAGAACGTACATCACGCACATGCAGGAATCTGCCGGCGAAGAGAACAACTCACATCGCGTGTCGATCCACCAATCTAAAGGCCTCCTCGCCTCCTACCATCGCCAGCGACAGCACGGCCGCATAACTGCCTGCCAGATGAGATATCTGGCCATGGCCACCACCGAAGCCACCGGTGGAGTTCTGCATAGGCCGAAGCGTAGCAAGCACCCTGTATTGCACATGTTAGAGAAAGCCATTTATATTATCGTAAGTAGTCGATCCTTTCCCCCTTTGAGGTGCTCCAGGTCCTCTCCCGAGAGGCTTTATATGACAGAAAAAAGCAATAGAAGCGGGAAGGCAGGCATAAAAGCAAGGCACACTCACCGTTCGCGGAATCGACTCGCATCCTCGCCCAGCATGGCAAAGCTCGCCAATGCCCAGTACACCATCCACGGGCGGCTAGCGTCCATAGCAACAAAGCCCGCGGGATAGTCCTCTAGGGAGTCATAGAGGTATCCGACATGATCGTCACGGAGGAGTGCGGGCACCCCGCTAGCATTGAAGGGGCCTTTCTGACTACTGTGAATTCCCTTGAGAAAGGGCAAGCATTTCTCAAGCGTTGCATTCTGCAGATCAATTGTTTCTGTGATGAGCGGGTCACGGATGGCCGGCGGCTGCGTGAACAGGGCCGGGATCCCCGGGCGCGATTTCTCGGTCATTGTTTTTCCTGCGCGTGTGGTGGGCTGGACTGTTTGAGTGCGCTGGAATCGAACTTTTCGTTTTCCCGGCATCAAGGGGGAGTTGGGGTTTTGTATTTGTTGAAAGAAAGGTGTTGCTATTGTTCTTCCATGAATGTGTAGAGTTAAGATTGTTCATTGTTTCTCCCGCGGGGGTTTTTTTCCCACTTCCTTCCACTTCACTACAATTCTGCTCAACTTCACCTTTACACACATGGACATCGATAGTATGCGACTCTTTTTGTTTCACTTCGGCATATTTTCTCTTACTGAATCTTCCCAATCAGGTTTAGGTTATTAAAAAAAAGGCAAAAAAGAAAAAAAAAAAAGAAGCCAAGCCACCAAAAGGGTTGGGTTCTCGTGGGCCAAATCATAGAGGCTATTGCTCCGTGAAGATGACCTGCATAGGCCAATCGCCATGATGTGATGGATCCAATTTTCTGTTTCCTTATGCTTCTCCCTTGCATTGAAGTGACCAGTCGACTCCAGGGTTCATGACGGTTAGGCTAACTGAACGGTTAACATAGCGTGGCTATCCTTGGCTATACCTAGGTATGGAAATCAGGGAATTAGGACATCCTCAACACTGCGCGGTCAGCATCCAGAACTGGCCCACTAGCCAACTGATGCGGTATGGCGTTATGCGCTATACGAATTCTCTCTGTGATTGGGTCTGATTAGGAATGAAGCGTATAACATGATCTGACTGTCAGATCGTGCTCATCCTATTGCCACGGCTGATCTGTATTGGCACTAGCGACTAGTGATGTGGCTCATTTTTCGTGCTCTCCACTGATCTCCCGTCCCGACTTGTTCCCGTGTCTTACCATAGATTGGAGATAATTATGGGTAAACATAGCAAGATAGAGACCCAGTCTAATAGTGTAGTATAATGTATAAGTTAATGGTACGAAGTACATAGACTAGAGCGACTAGAAGAGTATATGAAGTATGTAGAAGGCAGGCAACCCAATTAGGCAAAAGTTCAATAGATCTCCGAGATCATGGGACCACCTCACCAACCACCCACTCTCTCCAATCTTTCCAATCTCGAATCCCTGTCCTCAATGCCAAGTGTCCCCTCAACACTATCTTAGCGTCGTGGAAGCAAGATATTTCCACATCCTCTCTCCACTCCCCACAGTCCCCTAGCGCATTTCTTCCTCACCGCTGCTTTGTCCCCCCCACCGCCTCACTTTCTCTCTTCTTGCCTGTGTGACTCTTCTGAAGAAGGTCCTCTCATCCAGGCTGGTCCTTTATTTCCTCCCCTTCAACTTCACCTCTCAGTCATGTCCAATGTCGATATATCAAGCGATGGCCTTATTGGGGTCGATTACGACTCCAGAGGCTATCTACAACACTGGCCCGTGGTAGATCAGCCCCCACGGTCCGAAGAAGGCCACGGTCTCTCGCCTTTGCAAACCAGCGGTCACCCTCTAGAACAGTCGGTGACCCAGGATCCGAATCTCATGGTCGATTGGCACTTTCAACCGCTACAACACACCCCTCATCAGCAACACCTTCCATATTCGCCCGAAGACCCGTCAGCGCCGCAATTTACCACGAGTTATGGCATGCCCATGCAGTCTTCCCCGGTGGATCTCATGACTGGCCAGGGCCAGATGAACGCCGGCTTGCTCGATGGTCCTTATCTACCCATGTCAGCACCGGTTGATATGGTGCCATTCACGTATCAGGAGTTTCAAGCGGATTTGATGGCGTTCCCCAACGGACCTCCGGACTTCTCATATGCCCCGCACCCCGTGCTCGAGAGCAGCTCCCCCACGGATACATATCTGGAAGTCCGCTCCCTGACCAGTTCCAGCAGCGACAACGGTTGGAGTACTGTGGACCATCGCCGCTCTCTCGACTTTGGCTTCCCTGAACAAGGTGTTTTCGTCAATCCCACTCAGACACTGCACGACCGCAGCCTTTCAGAGTCTTCATATTCCACCTCATACGGTAGCTTTGTGGATATTGCGAATCCGATCGGCTCCCCAGGCTCCGAGAACAACATGGACTTGCCCTGTTATAACCATGGCCATGGCCACAGTCACAGCCATAATCACAGCCATAGTCATAGCCATAGTCATAGCCACAGCCACAGCAGCTCGATCGGCATGCCTCACCCTTCCCCGACCAGCAGCGCCATCGTTCGTCGTGAGCAATCCTCGTCAGGCTCTCGTTCGCCATCCGCCGTCAGCCCCAGTGGAATGGTGCGGCCGATTCCAGTTCCGATCAAGAAGTCCACATCGCCCGCCCGCTCATCTGGATCTTCCCAGGCGTCATCGGCCTCGCCACCAAGCCGGAAACCGTCCCGCAAGAGCCCCATTGCCGCCAAAACATCCGAGACCAAGGTCCGCAAGCAGTCCCAGACCGGTAAGCCTGAGACTGAGAAGCGGGTCGGCAAGAGAAAGGGCCCTCTCAAGCCCGACCAGCGCAAGCAAGCCAGCGAGATCCGGAAGTTGCGTGCTTGTCTGCGTTGCAAGTTCCTCAAGAAGACTTGTGACAAGGGCGAGCCGTGTGCAGGATGCCAGCCATCCCACGCCCGGTTATGGCAGGTGCCATGTACTCGCATCGATATCAAGGAGATTGGGTATTTCATGAAGGACTGGAAGGCCGATTACGAGCGCCATATTTCCATGGGATTCTCGGTCGGCAATATCAAGGGATTCTCCGACCAGGAGCGCACGCTGTTCATCACTCACGGGTATGGCCAGATCCTGCCGATCAACGCCCGCGAGGTGTATGTGCGCGATGAGCAGTGCTTCACCGTCGACTGGATCGAGTCGATGCAGCGTGATCCGACACAGTACGAGGTCGAGACTGCGAAGCTCTCCGCTGGTATGGAGGGTATCTCGCACGCCATGCTATCCGACTATCTCGACCGTCACATCGACGGCAACGGTACCTTTGAGAAGTTTGTCGATGACTACTTCGAGGGCACACCGTTCCTGACACAGATGCTCAAGACTGCTTTCCGCTTCTACTTCCGCACCAAGCTACCTGTCATCCGTAAGGCGCTGAAGCTAATCGTTGCCTACAATCTTACCCTCCATGTTACCATGGTTGAGGGTATCGGCGAGGAGGAAGGTTTCATGGGCAAGATTGAGAACAAGTCGTCCAAGTTCTCTGGCAAGATCATGGCTCCCGTCATGATCAATTTCCAGATCAAGTGTGCCATGGCTAGCATGTGGCGTGAGCTGCAGAAGGATGTGCTGGAGGAGCTTTCAGCACTCTATTCGAGCGTGTACAGTGGAGACAAGCTGAAGAACTGGCCCACGATTTTCATTCTGGCCTCCATTTTGCTGGCTGTTTGGGAGGAGATGCAGTTCGACAGCCACTACCGCACGCCGGTAAGTTCGAATCCGAGACGAGAATAATGCATAGCCATACTAACCATGAGTAGGACCATGCTGCCGTTGACAAGTTCTGTACCGACATGGAGACCACCCCGGTGGGAGTCATTGTCGGACTCTTCCAGGCCATCTCCCAAAAGCTGCCTCCCTTTACCGAGTGGGACTCGCAAAAGCACCACCAGCTCCTCTACTCCAACCCCGATGTCTGCAACACGATGACAGAAGTGCGCCAACACGTCGAGCAGCATGGTAAGAACCACCCCCTTTCCACTCTGTGGAATCTTGACTAACCCACATTCCAGAGAGCTACCTCCGCAGCCGCTCCGGCTCCAAATTCAACCGAGGCGATTTCGACTGCCTATCAAATAAGTTTGTGTCGCGACTGGTGATTCGCGCCAACTAAATGACCCGATGCGCAAACGCGTTATGATGATGATATTTACACGACTATTGTTTCCAGCAGCGAGTACCGTTCCGCGATTTCGTTTTTGATTTGCTCAATGACACGAACTGGATGAGAAAATATGCCAACTTGGTCGTGACGATGCGCGAGCGCATACGTTTCCACTCTTTTAACGATGACTCCGACGGACACCTCCTAGTGAGGTGGCCTTCTTGCTTGTATTGTGGTTCCAGGGTGAACCGACTTTCATTAGCTCTTTTTTTTTTTTCAGCCTTGTTTTGGTCTTGTCTCATTTACTCATTTTATTTTATATTTCCTGTCTCCTTGGTCATTGTCAATTTTTTACACACTTTTTTTTAACTTGTTACTTTGCTCTTGTCTTTGGTGTATACCTTTCTTCGCATAGCTTTGTCTCCAGCGATGAACGAGGATCAATCACGACTGTCATGACCGTGTACGGCCGAAGGTGTTTTTTTGTTTTGTTTTCATTGTGGCACCTGGCACCCGCCACTGACGCAACAATCAAAGTTTACCAAGCTCTGAAGGTGAAGAACGGGGTGTTGAAGACTGTCCCAATTGTCACGGCCTTCGGATCCGGGAAGAGGCGTCGGACCAGTGTGGATTTTCCAAGCGTTTGTTTATATATTGCTTATTGAATGGGCTTCGGGCCATATACTCAGTGAAATCTCTTTTTAAATTCAACCTTAGTGTAAGAGTGTTGACTACTGAAGTATAACGAGGCGGTGTAACCGGATCCGGGATATCATCTGACCTGAGCTAAGTTTGGAAGCGGGTACAGGGTACCCGAGGCGCAGAGGCGGTTGCCGCATACAGTCCCGTACCAAGTACCTTCGGGATTAGCGTAGGCCCACCCCCTTTTTTGCGATAAGCAACGTCATCACCCCTTGGAACATTGCCGTAAGTGAAAGAAATGACTACAGTACTCCGTTGTGGTATATGGCAGAAATGTAATATATCGATTAATAAGCTATTTCTAGAATGTTTACCCGACAGGTTGAGATTTTCGGTGGTGGCGTCAACGATAGGCAGGAGTGATAGGCTGTTCCCAGGCACCTCTTGACTCACATCCGGCATCTTCTGGCACAAGCCACTGGCCATCTCGCGTCACTCTGCCTGACTAAGACGCTTCGCCCCCTCGTCGATACATAAGCCGACTTTCCCCTCTCTTTTCCTTTCAACTCTCTGGTGCTCTTCTACTTTCCCACCTTCCCATACTCTTTCTACTGCGTCCACTGAATCTAATTTTAATCTTGCAACCATGCAGATCTTCGTCAAGACCCGTGAGTTCCCCTTGTCCCTGACCGACATTCACCGGCCTCCCGGCTC